CCCAGACCACTTCATTAAGCTGAAGTGGTCTGGGTGCCTAGAGTGGTCCTTTAAGTACACGTGGATGGATACCATCAGGCCCTGGAGCTTTGTTTATATTAACTTTCTTTAGTTGCTGCAGCACCTTGTCTTGAGTTCACCAATTACAATTATTCTGCAAGTTTGTAGTAGCAATCATTTGCACATCTATTGCCATGGGTTCTTCCTTAAAAGATAACAATAGTCACCTAAATTACTTTAGCTAAATAAAGCAGTTTTAGTGTGTAGATCATTCCCCTGCAATTTCACTGTTCAAATCACTGTCATTTAGGAGTTAAATCACTTTGTTTCTGTTTATGCAGCCCTAGCCACACCTCTCCTGGCTATGATTGACAGAGCCTGCATGAAAAAAAAATTGGTTTCACTTTCAAACAGATGTAATTTAACTTAAATAATTGTATCTCAATCTCTACTTTAATCACATACAGGAGGCTCTTGCAGGGTCTAGTAAGCTATTAACATAGCAGGGGATAAGAAAATCTTAATTAAACAGAACTTGCAATAAAGAAAGCCTAAATAGGGCTCTATTTACAAGAAGTGTTTATGGAAGGCTGTGCAAGTCACATGCAGGGAGGTGTGACTAGGGTTCATAAACAAAGGGATTTAACTCCTAAATGGCAGATGATTGAGCAGTGAGGCTGCATGGGGCATGTTCTCAGGGCCGGCCTTAGGCAATTAGGCGCCCTGTGCAAAAAGTCTTCACGGCGCCCCCCCCACCTCCCACCAAGTTGCCTGAATACAGTAACACACACAGGCACCGGGGACGTGTGTATCACGAGGCAAACAAGGCATCTGCCTTGGGCGCCACTTTGCAGGGGGCGGCAAAAAAAAGCATCCCTCCAAACCCCCAGGCAGATCCCTTGCTTGCCTCGCATCCTGGGGGGCTCAAGAGCTGACCGGCTGGCCACTTTTGAGCCCCCCCAAGGCTGGCAGCGGGCAGCGAAGGAGCATACTCACCTGAGCTCTTCCTGCTCAGCTTCCTCTGCGCCGCTTAATGAAGCCGGGAGCCAGAATATGACGTCAGTCCGGCTCCCGGCATCACTAAGCGCTGCTTACTCAGCCTGTGCGCCCCCTGCCTGCCTGCCCAGCAGCCACACTGGACTGCTGGTAAGAAATCCACTCCAGCTTTCCCAGGGAGGCTGGGTGGATTTAAAATAAATGTAAAAAATATTAGTTTGTGAGTGTTAGTGGAAATGTCTGTGTGTGTGTCTGTGAGTGTTTATTTTGAAGTGAATGTGTGTGTGTGTGTGTGTGTGTGTGTCTGTAAGTGTGTAATTGTGTGTGTCTGTAAGTGAATGTGTGTGTGTCTGTGAGTGAATGTGTGTGTTGGTCAGTGAGTGTATATGTGTCAGTCAGTGAGTGTGTATGTGTCAGTCAGTGAGTGTGTATGTGTCGTCAGTGAGTGTGTGTCGGTCAGTGAGTGTGTAAGTCAGTGAGTGTGTAAGTCAGTGAGTGTGTAAGTCAGTGAGTGTGTATGTGTCGGTCAGTGAGTGTGTGTCGGTCAGTGAGTGTGTGTCAGTCAGTGTGTATGTGTCGGTCAGTGGAGTCGTGCATCTTTCAGTGAGTGCTTGCGTCTGTCAGTGAGAGTGTGCATCTGTCAGTGTGTGTCCAAGTAATAGTGTATGTGTGTATGTCATTGTTTGTCAGTGTATATGAGAGTGTGTGTCTGTCAGTGAGTGTGCGTCTGTCAGTGAGTGAGCGTCTGTCAGTCAAAGTGCGGCCTTGACAGGAAGGGGTGGGGGAAATTTAAACTCGGTTACAGGCATGTACACACACACTCAGTTAAAGGCAGTCACACATACAGGCACAGGCACAAACAATGGCACAGCTACAGCGACACACACAGACAGACAGTCACATAGGCAGTCACACACACAGACAGACACACAGTAACACACACATAGACAGTTATACACACACAGGCAGGCAGTCACACAGATAGAAAGTCACACACACAGGCAGGCAGTCACACACAGACAGATAGTTACCGACAGACACACACAGGCAGGCAGTCACATACAGGCAGTCACACACACAGGCAGTCACACACACAGACAGACAGTCACACACACAGACAGTCACACACAGGCAGGCAGTCACACACAGAGACAGTCACACACAGAGACAGTCACACACACACACACAGAGACAGACAGTCACACACACACACACACAAGGACAGGCAGTCACACACACACACACACACAGACAGTCACACGCACACAGGCAGGCAGTCACACACAGACAGTCACACACACACACAGACAGACAGTCACACAAACAGGCAAACAGTCACACACACACACTTACCTCTTTCCAGTGGATGCAGTTGGCTGATGGGGAAGCATCTTTCCCTCTTCCTGTACAGCAGGGGCTTCGGGAGGTATTAGCCCCGTCTCCGCCTCTCGATAAGCCCCGCCTCCGCCGCTCGGTAAACCCCGCCCCCTCTGCCGCGATTTTTTTTTTTTTTAAATAGACCCGGGTGGAGAATAATTAATCCTCCAGCCAGGTACCTCTTTTAGCTCCCCTGCACTCCGGCCATGAGTGAGCTGTGTCGGCCACAGGGCGCCCCCTGTTCCATGGCGCCCTGTGCGGTCGCACAGCTCGCACACCCCTAAGGCCGGCCCTGCATGTTCTATACACCAAAACTGCTTCATTAAGCTAAAGTTGTTCATGTGACTATAGTGTCCCTTTAATATATACGGAGGAGAAATAGTTATTTAAAATTCCTGCCTTTTCCTGGTCTTCATTAACTAACACCCCATGTTTCAGTTTTTAGTATACCTACACTTTCATTTTTGTTTTTGTTTAGAATTTATGTACTTTAAAAATGCTTTGGGGTTGGTTTTGCTCTCTCTAGCTATCATTTTTTCATTTTGAAGTTTAGCAAGTCTATTTGCCTTTTGCAAACATTATTTGCTTCCTTATATCTTTTATAAGATGCATTTGATTTGTCCGATTTAAATGCTTTAAATGCCCTTTTCTTATTTTTAATCTCTTGTTTTACTCCTCTACTAAGCCACATTGGTTTTAATTTGTTTCTTTTATATTTATTTCCCAATGGTACCTACTGAGAAATGTACCTTTCTAATATTTGTTCGAAGATGATCCATTTATCCTCAGTGTTCTTTTCACTAAAAAGTTTATGCCAGTCAATATATTGTAAAGCTTCCCTTAACTTATTGAAATTGGCCTTTTTAAAATTATATGTTTTAGTATTCCCCATGAGCTTTTGTTTTTTTGAGTTTATTTCAAAGGACACTATATAGTGATCACTATTTCCCAAGTGCTCACCTACCTGAATGTTGGTCAAAAGATCAACGTTGTTTGTTAAAACCAGGTCCAGGCAAGCGTCCATTCTAGTTGGTGCTTGTACAAGTTGTGACATGAAGGTGTCATTTAACAAGTTTAAAAACCTAATTCCCTTTGCTGAGCTACCAGTCCCACTGTCTCAATTTATGTCCGGGTAATGAAAAACTCTAATAATTAAAGTGTTACCCAGATTTGCAGCTTTCTCAATTTGCTCAAACAGCTGTTGTTCCTCGTCAATATTAACATTAGGTGGTTTATAACATATCCCAACCAATAGTTGGTTTCCCTTCTTTTCCCCCAAGCAGATATTTACCCATAAAGCTTCCACATTTTCCTCATCGCATTCCATTTGCTTAAGATTTGGCTTTAAATCATGGTTGACATACAAACATACCCCACCACCCTTCTTGTTTTTCCTATCCTTCCTAAATAACATGTACCCATTTAAGTTACCTGCCCAGTCATGTGTCTCATCCCACCATGTTTCAGTTATGCCTATTATATCATATTGTTTAGTGTATGCTAATGCCTCTAGTCCCCCCATTTTGTTATTTAGGTTCCTTGCATTAGTAAGCATACATTTAATATTATGCGTCACTTGTATATTTTGTGAATTATCAACATTACATAGCTTCTCTGTTCTGAGCTTGCCCCTCCCCGTCTTTACCCCCCTTATACTGTGCTAAAGCCCATCTCCTTTCTGTCATATCTCCATTTTGTAGATTGCTATGACCCTCCCCCCCACTACTAGTTTAAAATCTCCTCCTTCTCCACCTTCTCCTTAGGTTATCTGTACGGAAAAGAACCTGCTTCTTTGCCAAAGCCGAGACCCAGAGCTTGACCGACACTACAATTGGGAATAGCACCAAGAAGAAATCTGACAACGCCAACGGCCTGCACATCATAGCCCTCAGAAAAAGCACCAAAACAAACCGAGTTGCAGCCTCCGTGAACAGCTCAAAGGCCAAGTTAGACACTGTTTAACTGCGCCAAAATGTCTGACCCAAAGGGCAAGTAAAGTTAAAAGGTAGATGAATACCAACCACAGCCAAGGAAAGTCAGTGACTGAAAGCACGCCCCGTGGGCATGACTTACAGCCAAAATTCAAATAGCCCAGTAGGGATTGCAGAATTCAAATAGCCCAATAGGGAGCCCCTCGAACCTGATCGACTAGAGATGACAACTTGAAGCTTGGTCTCCAGCAAGTGAAACACTTTATTAGCCAACTGTATCTAAATCCCCAAAAATAAATTATCGTACTAGGGCCCTCCGTTTTCTCCTCAGCCTCTGTAACCTCAAAATCCGCCATAACCCTATAAAAGTGGAACAACAAGTCCTTACAAACCTGAAAACCCGACTAGTGCAGAAGAGATAGACAAACCACTACATTGTGATGAATTAGCCGGACCGACAAGCAAGAAGTCGTCGAGATAGTGAAGGAGGGAAGAACATCCAGACACCCGCACCACGATCCATTCCAACAAGCAACTGAAAACTTCAAAATAAAAACAAGAAATCGAACAACCCATGGGAAGGCATATGTGAAAGAAAAATCACCCTGAAACTGACACCCCAACAGATGAAAACAATCTGGGTGAACTGGCAGCAACCGAAAGGCTGACTGGATATCGGGGGTCGCCAACATTGCACCAAGTCCAAAGCCCGATCGAAAGAAGCGTATTTCACCTGACAGTCCTCCTTTGAAATCCCATCGTGAACCGAGGACCCCAAAAGGTAAGACAGATTTCCACCTCCTTCCACAGGTTAGGCGCAATGACGCCTCTCCGATGGAGTAAACAGGAACGCCTGGGATAGAGTGCGAGCCACGGCACAAGTCTTTCCGGCCTCACTGGCATCCTCTCCCTGAGGAACGTCTCCCTGAGAGGCTTTTCACCTCTTAAAACAGCGGACGGCTGGCTCAGCCCCACTACACTGGGAGCAAACATGTTTAAACCTACAACTGCTGTACCCTCTGCAGTGGCTCTCGTTAAAGAGCCAACAGATGCCCTTCTTGTGACCTGCCGACGCTCCTCCGGAAGTGCCGGAAATTAAAATGCCGAAGGACGACAGGGATTAATGAGAAGCAACCACAGGTTGCCATCTTGCACACAGAAATCCAGGTTTGGCCTAACCGTCATTTTATTTATTTTTTTCTTTCTTTATTTTTTTAAATTGCTGATCGTATTTAAACCAGCATTGCTCCCCGTACACCTTATAAGCACCCCAAATCAAGTCCAAATATAAAAACAGCGACAGGGCCTTTTTCGGAAACCTAGCTGATAGGATGCTAGCATAGGTAGCAAATCCTTGCAACCAATTCCCAAAGGTATGGGGTAGATGCTTACCTTTTCTCCCTCAGCTGCGTCACACCGACGCAGTCTATCCGCTGACTTCTTGTCAAATGGGACCAAGGAAAATAGGTCCACATACTCACCCTTAAGTATCTTTTCTCTCACCTCCAAAGACACATGTAACTGCAGGGAGGCAATGTCACAGACAGGTACCCCTGAAGTACTCACCTCACCTGTACCTGAAGAGGAAGGCCCAGAGGGAAGTGCGGAGCCCTGCACGTCACCCATTGCCCCAACGGTCCCCGCAGGCACCAACCGGCCAAGCACTAAACACAGCAATTGCACCAATTCTCCTTGACCCTCCCCCACTAGCCCTCAGTCCCCCCTAACTCCTGCCAAGCACAAGCGCACTCCAACTCACAGTTCAGGAGAAGGGGTTTCTCTATCCCAGGTGCCAATTTCGGTCCTTCTTGCTGTTCCGCCAGGGGTGCGGTGGCTCACACCCCAGGGAGTTCCGGTCCGTCCATGCTGAGCATGTGGAGGGGAATCCTGCGTCCCTCCCTGGGGCTCCATAGCCTCCAGTCCAGAAGCCGGTGAAATCCTCCGCCAGCCCGTTACCACCCACTGGCCTGCCCCACTCCCCCGATTTCCCAGTCCAAGGCGCTATGGAACTTACAGGTTCAGCGGGGACCTCTGACATCTGCTTTCCGGGACATGCATAGGTCACGTACGCGCCACCCGAGTTACGGCAGCGGCACACCGCCTCCTCCTGCGTGCGGCGGCACGCGTTGACCTCACTTCCGCAGCCACCGGAAAAGAACGGTGAGGACTGCGGGTCCTCACTTCGCCTCAGGCGCCATCTTGGGGACCGCCCAGCCTGGCCACCTTGACTTCCGCAGCACCTGCTACCATTCCTGCGCCTTGTGATGCCCGCATCCTGCCACCTGAAACCAGCCTCACTCGGCACCAGACCCTCTGGCGATACCCCGACCCTGGACCTCCGCACCGGAATAGGGGATAGTCTGGAATGGCAGGCCTGACGTCCACTCCTGGTCTGCACCTGATGCACCAGCCCCTCCTGAGCAGCCTGCTCGCCCTGGACACTGTGGAACAGCGAGTTGAAGGATTCAGCCCCATGGGTTCTCTGGAAGGCCTGCAGTAGAGTAAGCAGGGCCTCCCTAGACACAGCAAGGGTGTGGGCCAGCCTATACTCTATCAGTAGAAGGTAAAAGTAATTTCTACCTATTTTTTTTTTTTTTTAGGGGAAACAGCACTGCCAGGTTCCCTCAGGGAGGGAAACTCAATTTAATAAAGTAATTTTTACAGAGACTACCAGAGGAAAGACACTTAGCAGGCTCCCTCTGCATTGTTCATCAGTAGTCTGGTCATTTTCCCCAGGATTCCCTGCTTTTCCCTGTAAAACCAACTGTATCCTTTTGGTTGCTATGCCAACCCCTCAGGGCAGCAGTCATGCTCCCCCCTCCCTATTCGCTCCGGGGGTATTGGCCTTTACTACAGTCGGGGAGGGTGGAGGAATGAATGGACTAAACCATTTCACTGTTAGTTATACATTAGCAGTCCAGAGATTCATAAAGATTGCTTTAGTGGTTTTACACATCTTTTATCTTAGAAATATATGATTTAACTGTATTTATTGTATGTGGGCATTCATGTCACAAATATATTTTATAAAGGATGAACAAATTAATGAAAAGTATAAATTGTGTAAATTTACATAATTTTAATTATTATGTTTGTCTGCAAAACAAGCTATACACAAAAAAATTGCCTTGTCATGATATATATATGCAAGCTATGCCTTCCTTATGTCAAACAAATTATATGCTAAGATTTTTTCTAATCAAAAAGTGCTCGGTGATGAAGAGGTTACAGAAGGGATACAAATTATATATATTGTTATGTTATTATTAATATGGCACCAACAAATTCCGCAGCGCTTTACAATGGATGGACGAACGGACATGTAGCTGTAACCAGACAAGTTGGACACACAGGAACAGAGGGGTTGAGGTCCCTGCTCAATGAGCTTACATGCTAGAGGGAGTGGGGTAAAATGACACAAAAAGGTAAGGATAGTATTAGACTAGTGACAATTGCAAAAGAGGAATCAGTCAGGAGCTATTAACAGTTTAATTGATACGCTTTTATGAAGAAGTGGGTTTTTAATGATTTTTTTGAAGGAGTGGAGACTGGGTGAGCATCTAACGGAGGAGGGAAGCCAGTTCCACAGGAACGGTGCAGCCCTCGAGAAATCTTGAAGGCGAGCATCAGAGGTGGGGGTACGGACAGAAGATAGACGTAAGTCTTCAGCAGAGCGTACGGGCCTAGACGGGACATACTTGTGTATAAGGGAGGATAGATAGGTGGGAGCAGCATTATGTAGAGATTTGAAAGCAAGAACCAGAATTTTAAATTGAGTCCTATATCTTACAGGACGCCAATGTAGGGACTGACAGAAGGGTGAGGCGTGGGAGGTGCGGGTGGACATAGATTAGAGGGATTTCCTGCTTTCGTGCATTTGTCTATGTTCGGGGAAGTTTCCTCGAACATAGACATGCGAACCAGAGCAGGGAATCCCCACGACTGCTCGCACTTACACCTGGTCGTAAGTGCGAGCCGGCATAAAACAGGTAGGTCGCTAAATAAAGACCACCTGTACTTGATATTATGAGCTAGCTAGCATTATATGAGTCTATAATAGAAATTTGACAATTTAACCACATTTTGAAACCATTATGTCTCTTCTTCCTTTGTTTCAGTGTGTCTAAATATTCATCCCCTGTTTGTACAATGAACAAAATTATTTTTGCATAAACTATATAAAGCGCTCTAGATAAGAGCAGCATATAAGAACTGTAACATAAATAAAATAAATGTCTATGCTGTGCCAATAGCACTGCTTATGGGATAAGCTCAACAGTGCTATTGATTCTTTATTCATAATAAAGAATATAGAATAATTAAACAGAGAAAAAAAAAAAACAACAAAAACAGTGCTATTGAAAGTAAACTGACTGATCAGACATAATTTCATGGTTTGACAAGAACTCACTGCAGATCCTGCACAGTCTTGTGATTTGCAGCAAATGTATGCATTTCAAACATGAAATCATTTTTTTATTTTAAATTGTAAGTTCATTAAGGGTCCTCAACAACCAATTGTTCCTGTAAAATTTTGTATTTGTCTCATTTCTTTTTGAATTTTTCCCAAAGTGCAGCAGAATAAGTTGGTGCTCTATAAATGCCAATAATAATAATTATAATAATAATAATTATTATTATTTTGAATTTATTGTTTTGCATATTTGTATGCTCTAAGATTATGCAAAAAATAAAGTAAAGTGAAAAATCCAATCTGGAGTGACTATTTAACCTCACCACACCTTTGATCACTAGGTAATTGCACAATGTTTGAGTGTGATGTTGCAACTCAATGGATGGTAGCTATGTGGCGGTGTAGCTTTAAGGTTTATAACGAGGGCTGTCCCTTTAATAGGCGGAGATACCAAGAGTGTACTATAATAGCACGGGGAAGCCTGATGCCAGTGTGACAGACACAGAAGCACACCCACCCAGGCTGACAGAGTGGTCAGAGGCGGAAGAGGGGGACACAAGCCCAGGTTCCAGAATGAGTGGCAGAGTGGGTGACCTGAGCCCCAAGCAGCAGGAGGCCCTGGAGAAGGTGAGCCATGACTCAGAATGCACAGCATCACTACCCTGAGACACAGCATCATTGTGTGAAGTCCTTCCCTGAACACACTGTACTCACTGTTACATGTCACCATTCCCTGGGCAGATTGCACAAATACTGCACTATTACTCCTCCATCTAAATAGACACACTGACTGTACTAAACCTGAGCATCCCTCTTAGCTGTCTGCAGATTACACAGCAATTTTTATGTAACCCTTTCACTATCAACATTACATACAGTACTCTGAATTACACAGACACTAATTTATCTAATTTATTTCTGTAAATTAATAACTCTTAATTAAACCACCACATTCATTGACAAGATGCAATGATTCCAAGCCCAATATTAAGTATCAGAGAATATCCTTTATAAGATGGCATTATAAATGTGAGCCAAGGTACTGACACCAGGGATGTTATATCTTAGCTACAACCAGCAACAAAAACGTTATTAATGCATAGATATCAGATATTCCTAGCGATGTCATTGATTCTTTATGACCAGAGACCTACAACATATAAGCATAAGAATTAGGGATAGACCGATTATCGGTCCCACCGATTATTAGAGCCAATATTAATCATTTTACCGATATTTGGTATTGGCCTTTAATTTACCAATATCACTGATGACTTACTTCTCCCAGTCACCACACACAGTCTTATGCACCTCTCTAGCCACCAGATCAATGGAGCGCCACGTTGTGACATCATGTCACCACTTTCTCTGCGTCCCTGCATGTGAAGCTCAGCTGAAAGCAGGCAGGTGAGATTGTGAATAATCTACTGGGCTGGCTGACAGAGTCAAAGAAGTGTGATTGCTGTCAGCAATCATACTCCTATCAGTAACTGCACTGTACATGCTCGGATCTCACTGATCCCAGCATGTACTGGCTGCCTGAGAGCGATAGGAGTGTGATTGATGTTATCATGTTCAGTTAATGCCAGATTTGTGTAGAATTGTGTTAGTTTTCCAAAACTTTAAATGTACGGAATATCAGCACCAGTTATTAGCAGTTGGCCAGAAAGACGACCGATTATTGTCATCAGCTCTGAAAAAATGATATCAGTCAATCCCTAATAATGATGTTTATTTTAGTTAATGTTCTTAATGACAACTTTTTTTTTCTACTTTTCTTAGCATGTCCATTGCATGGACAATATAGAACGTATTGTAGCAATTACAAAAAATAAAGACATACACACCCATTTCAATAATAATATAACCAAAATAGAATAAGCCTTAAGCTTAAACCAAAACAGTCTGCCATGAGAGCCATATTGTTATTGTTGCATCTATGTCCACCCCCAAAATTGGAGGCAACCTTGCCCCTTGACTTAAAGTGTACGACAGATAATTGGGAGAGTGGGTGCTTGTCCAGATAAGCTGAGGGAAAAGGTCTAGCCTGCCAAAAATGTTGCCTATATATAACTATAGTGTTGCAGGAGCTTGAAAAATCAGATTATCAGTAAAAAATGCTCTATACTTGACCCTACCTAAACTACCTGGCCTACATGATCTAAACTTGAACTGTTCACTATGTCCAGCAATAGGCAGTTACAGCGCTAGTTATAATGCCAGCACTTTGCAAGATTGCAGAGAAGGACGGAGACAATTGGCCGAGTTCTGAACCAAAACAAAACCTGTGAAGCAGGCCCTGATGATGCCAAAACTATGGAGGACTGGCAGCGACTGCCATCCCGCACAACCGCCCATGACACGTAAGACACCCTGAGGTGCAGGTATGCAGGGCTGCATTCCCATGTTAAGCTTGGCCCAAAAGACAGCAAATATCCTGTCCAGGTTGGTCATGGTACAAGATGGCAGACCATGTGAGTCCGAAGGCTTACGGCACTAGCCATATTAGGGACGATGGTGCCCCTTATGGTTGATCACTGAGGTCTCTATATCTGTAGTGAGTATACTGTTTGTGCAAGATATCCCTCAAGAGTAGAGGGGGGAGGATATCAGAAGGTGTGCGATAGTTTCAGACTCCGGTTCCAGGGAACTATGGGGGGAGAGATTGGTCGCCTCTTCCGCACCCATACCACTATCTAAGCTGGAAAACTATCCAAATGTCAATACTGCTTGAAGAAACTCTGTGATGCCCTAACTCTACTCCCACTAGAGCACTGTTAAATTGGGCAAGTATACACCCCAGGCAGCCTAGCAAGTAAACTACAAAAAGGACTATTTGAAGTGAGTTCTTTTTCATGTCAGTCAGGCTACAAGAAGTAGCGGGAGGATCAATTTGGCACAGGGTGCAGACGGCGCCATTTGGGGTGTACCAGAGGTCGGACTCCGGAGTCGCATACTGGCAGCGGCAATGTGAGTGGAGTCTGCTTGTTGGCTAGAGGGGGCTACTGGGATTTAGTAGAGGGGGAGGAATGAGATTTAGTAAATGGGGGGACGGACTGGGATTTAGTAGAGGGGGTGCTGTGGTTTAGTAGAGGGAGATGCTAGGTTTTTTTTATACTGTACTTTTCAAAATAAACCTAAGTTTCTATGAAAACAGCCTACATAAACTTAAACCTTGTTTATGTGGCCCGTGCTAGACTTTGAGTTTGACATGCTTGGTGTAGAGTCTTTCCTAACTACTCTTTTGTAGCAGATGCTACACTTTTTCTGGGGTGACTTTTTGGTGGCTGTGGTGGGGATTCTTTGCTATTTTTGCCAGGGGTCAGCTTTTTGGGGAAACCTTTCCGGTTCTTCCGCACTGTGCCACAGACTGCGGTATCAAAGTAAAATACATTTTTAAATAAATCTATGCTGCCATAAAAGGATCTAGCCATAGATGATATCCCTTAACAGGAGGAAGAGAATCTATTCAATTTTGCTGTTTGCTCCCATAGAATCAGGGCAGCCTGGTGGATCTAATTGACCATTTTATCCTGCAAAAAATGCAAAATGCCCAGGTATACCCAGTGCTGCATTCACACAACGTATTCAATTTTATTCCATAGCGAGCCCGCTTGTAAAACTGCCAACAATGCTCTTTCTGCCTCTCTCATATCATTGGCTGTGTATCAGTGATTGCGGTGATTTCCTGGGTTGCCAGGCGGTCCCCCCGATCGGATTCCACAAGGTCAGTATGACATCAAGTCTACTGTGGTGCACCCCAAGTTGATCAAGTATTCCCTTGGCTGAAGCACTCTTGCAAAACAGCCATTGAATATTTGCCAAATGTTCTACATTTGCCATGTTAGTCCTATGCCTTGGGCTAATGTCCCAGCAATAATTTGTTTTTGGACCTGACCTGCATTTCATCTGCAGAACTACTGTGGGCTACTACAGGGAAATATGTGTTCTCTTTATTTCTGTGTGTGTGTTGGTATCTATTGATATGTATTTATCTGTGTGTCATTGCGCATGTATTGGTGTTTGTGTGTCTATGTATATCTGTATGCATACTTGCCACAAAGTATCCCTTTCTGCATTTACACCGTTGATTTACACTTTGGGGCAAATTTATGAAAGTGTTCCAAAAACTTGTGCAAAGATGTAAAAGGGAGGAGCCATCAATGGAATGTATCTGCAGGTTCCACTGGTTCCCATGGTGACTTCACCATTTTAGTATTTTTCACTATTTTCACAACAATTTGATAAATCTCTACCCCTTTCCAACCTATAACTCAGACTCCTGGTAATTTCAAAATTAATTAACAAAATCTGGTTCTTATAGGTGTGAGCAAGGGTTGTACTCAGGCACATTGTCACTGTTGCTATTTTGCTCTCTGTTACCACTTTTGCGAGTTTGGGCAATTTTTTATGTTTAAAGGAACAGTATAGTGTCAGGGATACAAACGTGTATTCCTGACACTCTAGGTCCAAATAGCTCTTTAGGCCCCCAGATCCCTTACCTCCAATTAAAAAGATGATTTACTGGCAATTTTACAGCACTGAGGTCCGCTTTTGGCTGCCCACACTCTTCTCCCATGGCTGAGATAATCAAACTTGATGATCTCAGCCAATCCAATTTTTTTCTATAGGAAAGCATTTGGAGGCTATCGCGCATGTGCAGCAAAAATGCTGCTCTGTGCCAATCAGCATCTCCTTATAGAGACTCCGTGCATCTCTATGGGAAAAGTTTAGCGCCTCCATGCAGAGCGTGGTGCAGCACGTTGTGCAACAATGACCCCATAAGCACCTCTAGTGGCCGTCTGGAGGTGTCCCTAGGCAGTAATGTAAACACTAGAAAAGGCAGTGTTTACAGCAAAAAGTCTGCACAGACTGATGATACTCACCAGAACAACTACATTAAGCTGTAGTTGTTCTGGTGACTTAAGTGTCCCTTAAATGTTTATGTGAAAACTATGTTTTTTTTTGTTTGTTTTTTAAATTAGCATTTGGTAGCTAAAGTTTAAATGTATTCTCTGGGTGCACACCCTAATGTAATGTACTGTGCACACCTGTGCTGGTTTATTTATTTGCACAAACTTAAGTGTTGGGCAAGGTTTTCGTTGCATAAAATACATGTGGCTAGCTTTCTTCATTTTCTTCTTAGTCAAAGTAAGTCAATGTGGTAAGTAGATTTATAAACTTTTTTAGTGTTGATGTGTGAGTTTTAACTGGGGGTTCAGTTGGTGTGAGAGGGAAGAAGTTAAAGGGACACTATAGTCACCAGAACAACTACAGCTTTATGCATTTGTTCTGGTGAGTAGAATCATCCCCTTCAGGCTTTTTGCTGTAAACACAGTCTTTTCAGAGAAAATGCAGTGTTTACATTACAGCCTAGTGATAACTTCACTGGCCACTCCTCAGATGGCTGCTAGAGGTGCTTCCTTAAGCAGTCCTGCCTAATGTGCAGCACTGCCATTCAGTGTCTCCACCCTCTGCACGCAGACAATGAATTTTCCTCATAGAGATGCATTGATTCAATTCATTTCTATGAGGAGATGCTGATTGGCCAGGGCTGTGTTTGACTTGTGCTGGCTCTGCCCCCGATCTGCCAGTCGTATGGGAAAGTATTGTGATTAGCTCAGACCAACACTTCTGATGATGTCAGCAGACGGGCAGAGGTAGCAGCTGCAGACTTGAATACAAGTAAGATTTTAGTATATATAGAGAAGCAAGGGGTGGCCGGGAGGCTAGATGGTGTTTTTTTGGTTTTGTATTCTTTATTTTTGTTGTGCGTAAAGATATAACAGTTGCATGTGAGGTACCCCAAAGGCAATCCTCCAGCGCATTAAAACAGTTAAACATAGAGGTACATGATATAACAAGCACATTTTTGGGGCTATATACAGTATGGATTTACATAGATATCATGATATAACGTGGAATTGTTAACGTTGGAACCTTGGCTTTAGTGTAGGTTGCTTTGTACGCTGAGAATCAGATCATGTTACAAGTCGAGTATTGAGCAGGCTGATACAAAAGAAAGGATGTCACACTCTGATAATAAGGCACAAGTTTGGACTAGCGTGTCTAGTGGTACTAGTGAGAGTAGGCTTCTGTGTTATGCAGGTAAGTTCCTAGGCATGTAGCTACAAAAGAGGTTATATGGTAATGAGACATTTACAGGCTAGGCACATGTTACAACTACCTCTGTCACAGTGGGCTACCTGAGATCTGTGCAGATTAACGATCTTAGCATTGCAGGTTTAGTATGTAAGCTAACATGTTGCAGGGTACATTCTTGTCTAGTCATCTGAAGTAAGAACATTTGAACTAAACATAACATAAGAGTTCTGTGTATATAGTCTATCTCTGCTTGAGAAGTTTATATTTCAGTAATAACAATATGGCTTGTGGTGCCACAACAGTAGGTAAAGTTATAGTAATAACAGACAATGTATAATATGATCATGGCTTGTAGATGAACTGCACATTTTTTATAATATTAAAGGACCACTCTAGGCACCCAGACCACTTCTGCTGAATGAAGTGGTCTGGGTGCCAGGTCCAGCTAGGGTTAACCGATTTTTTTCATAAACATAGCAGTTTCAGAGAAACTGCTATGTTTATGAATGGGTTAAACCTTCCCCTATTTCCTCTAGCGGCTGTCTCATTGACAGCCACTAGAGGCGCTTGCGTGCTTCTCACTGTGATTTTCACAGTGAGAGCACGCCAGCGTCCATAGGAAAGCATTATGAATGCTTTCCTATGTGACCGGCTGAATGCGCGCGCAGCTCTTGCCGCGCGTGCGCATTCAGCCGGGAGGAGAGAAGGAGGATCGGAGGAGGAGAGCTCCCGCCCAGCGCTGGAAAAAGGTAAGTTTAAACCCCTTTACCCTTTCCAGAGCCGGGCGGGAGGGGGACCCTGAGGGTGGGGGCACCCTCAGGGCACTATAGTGCCAGGAAAACGAGTATGTTTTCCTGGCACTATAGTGGTCCTTTAAGATTTATGAATCATGGAGTAGAGATTTTAAAGCTTATGATAAAGATAAACAAGATATATTACTGCATCCTCAGATACATGAGGCAAGAGTCCAATAGTGCAAGCCAGATGGGGACTATGGATTGCCTGTAGGGTGATTTTCAGCCTATGCCTGTTTCAGGCATCATTAGTGGATACTTGATGTATCCATGGAAAGCTTGTTGTTGCTGTCCCTCCACGAGTCTTCCTGTGGCCCATATGCGTTCCGGCTTGATTCTGGTTGTTGTCTGCGCCCAAGAGTTCGTCCTGACAGAAGGTTCATCTGTTGCGGGTGAGTATACTTTCCCAGCCTGGACCGGGATGACCCCCACTGGTCCAGGGGGGGGGTTGCAGGGTTTCACGGTTGTTGCTGTTCAGTGCGGTCCCCGTGTCGGGAAATCGGCCACCCTTCCCCGCCACGAGGCGCCTTCCATGCTAGGCCTCAAATGTGGCGTATAGTACATCTCTGCGGAGAGACCTGGAGCAGGTCTCCACGGGCTCCCACTTAATTCCTCTGATAGCCACAGTCGTGTGGTGCTGCAGGATTCACGATTAGGCCTTAAAAAAGACAAATTTTCACAGTGAGAAGACTCTGCCATCCATAGGAAAGCATTGAGCAGTTCCAATGCTTTCCTATGGACTGATTGAATGCACGCGTGGCTCGTGCCGCGCACGCGCATTCGGCGGCTGACGTTGGAAGAGGGAGAAGAGTCCCCAGCGCTGAGGAAAGGTAAGTGTTTAACCCCCTTGAGCCCTGCGGGAGGGGGGCCATGAAGGTGGGGTGGACCTATTAACACTATAGTGCCAAGAAAACGAGTTTGTTTTCCTGGCACTATAGTGGTCCTTTAATTTGTGTACCTCCAATTTGGTTATGGGTGTGTGGTATTCAACACCTTGGGTTTCAGCATTAGGGTCATCTTTGGTTGGTCGTGGTTGGGCTTTCAGTAAGCTATTGCGGTTGTAGTGGTGTTTAGTTAAGGTAGGTGGGATGGGTGGAGGGGGGGATAGGGATGTAGGGTTCGCGTGAGGTTCAGGAAGGGCGGTGGGGTAGGAGGATGAGAATGACACCAGAGGATGTGAGAGAGTGGGAGAGACAGAGGAAAGAAGGAGGGAGAGAGGAAGAAGACAAGAAGTAAAAAGAAAGGGGGGGCTCCATTTAGTTTCTGAGTTTTTTTTATATTAATTCCTCACCCTATCACATAGTTATTTTTGTGTTGTGAAGTGAATAGGTTGGTGCCCCCATTCTGTCTGGCAGATAGAATAGGAAGGCAGCCAAATGTTGGATGTTATCCAAGTGTTAATACAACTGATTATCTAATCAGGCTGGTTGAGCAAAGAAGAGACCTTGACTACTAAGGTCACTGTGTTTATAACCTCTGTGCCATCACACACCTGGCACTGGGACATAGGTTACAGGATTTTTGTAATAAGGATGGAGAGATGTTATTCTCATATTTCACATTTTACCATGTTGCTGATCTGGTTCTAAACATAAGCTTACACAGTTAATAAAGCTTAAATTTAACTATTAAGGACACAGCTTCAGAAGCCTGTGCATTTTTTGCTGTTTGTGTTCAACTGCAATTTGCATTTTTCCCATTTATTGCACCAACAAATATTTCAAACCATTTTTCAAGGACAAAAAGGGCTTTAATCTGATGTGACATATACATATAGAAATACTCATTTATTACAAATATGCACACAAAAAAATGGGAAAGAATAGTTATTACAGTTTTTGCAATAATAATGTGTGCAAAATAAATATGTGCAAATAAATGCATTTATTTGTCCTGATTTACAGAATACATAATATGTCTAGGAGTCCAGTTGACTTTAATAGTTACAGGTCACAAAATAAAATTTCAATGTGGAACAATTTTAGAAATTGGTATGTGTGTCTAGTAAGCTTAATAGTCATCACAGAAAACAAAATCGGCACACAAAAGTGTATATTTATAAAATAGACATCATAGGCTGTTTATATAAGGGTATTTGGATACTTTTTATGTAGCCATTTCACTGCCAATCTCTGCTAAATATTGTCGGGTTTTTTTTCTGTGTTTTTTTTTTTACAGACAAATAAGTTTTTTTTCTAATGTGTATTTTGTAAAGCTGATATGTCTTATTCCTGTACAAAACTCCATATTATTTTCAGCTACATCTGGTGAACACAGTGATACCCTATTGCAGGGGTAGGCAACCTTTAGCAGCACTATGCCGATATAGGATTATGATGTCCCGTAGCGTGCCGTTCCTATTTTTTTTAAATTGAGGTGTGTATGCTGCCGTATTTTGCCTGTGTTATTTATACTGTGTTACGGTACACCCTGGTATAAGAGGGGTTAATACCGCTGAGGACGTTACCTTTCCGAATGAAGAAGCAGCTAACAGCAGTTCCAATTAGCCGAACAGGAACCATACGAAATCCTTCACGAACCAAACAGCCGAACGAGTAAATCATACAAATCCAATACCCCCAAGTACGAGACCAAGCTCCGTATTGAGGATTAAGCAGAGATCTGGTTTATTGAGGGCTACCTGCCCGGTATTTATGCAGGTCTCCCACCTGGTGAACACTCCCCTAGGGAACCAGATGGAAGACTGGGACAATGTGGATACGGTAGCCAATCACAGTGGCACAAGCATAAACACTCCCCTTTGATGTAGATAAACCTGGAGATAATTGGGAAGTAATCAAATTATCTCCATGGATAGAGGCTAAACTCCATTTTGTACCTGAACATAAAAATACAATAAAATCAATAACTTTACATTACACGAACAGAATCCCCAAACTATACATGTTAAGATCCTTTAACCTTTCCTGTAGGATACATATGAATGTGTGTATGGGGGCTGCTTGTGGAATTGTGTGTGTGGATGGATATGTCACATTGTGTGTTTGGTAGTGTGTGTATGTGTGGGGCTGTTTGGGGTATTGCATGTGCAAGGATGCATGTGGGGTTGTGTGCATGTATGTGGATTGTTAGCGGGTTACGTTTGTGCGGATTGTATATATGTTTGTTTGAGGGCTGTTAGTATTATTTGTATGAGGGGAGGGTTATTGTGCATGTCTGTGTATATCTAGCAGTGTGGGTGGCTTCCCTGGGTTCCAGTGGGGACCAAGCTGGCCAGGTACAGATCAAGGACAGGAGCTGCAACAGCAGCTGCAGGCTGCTCTACTACATTGTGGATTCCCATTCACAAGTGTTGGGAGGAAGTGATCTGAGATCACTTCCTCTACGTGCTGCAATGCATAAATTGAAGATTGTCCTTCACCACCTTTTCGTATTAGCAGATATCTGAAGTTTCACTGGGACTCCTGATAGGCCAGAGCCTGTTTGGCAGTAGCAGCCTTGAGTGCCGTGCAAAGACACCTTGAGTGCCGTACATGGCACTAGTGCCGTAGGTTGCCTACCCCTGCCCTATTGTATGCCTTTGCCACTATCCTGTGAAGCTGCAATGCCATATAAGGCAGGCTATTTCACAAAGGCCTATATCGTGCCTTAACTTGCCAACAGTTTTTCCACAACTTTATGTCAAAGTTTGTAATGGAGAAAAAAATTGCATTTTTACATACATTGCATTTTTTCTGGGTATTTTGAACATTTGATATGTACCACTGTGATAAAATCCCCCAAATTATGCTCAGTTACATCTTCTGAGTAAACACTATGCCTAATGTATGACCTAGAAACTATTTTGTGAAGTTACAGTGCTTTAGAAGAGACATGACTGTTTTAAGTTTTTAAGACAGTCATGTTTTCATATGTATGTTTTCATATATGATGTTGATGGGGCTATGTTCCATTTTGAAGAACATTGACAGGTTGTTAATTCAAACTACTCCACAAAAGCCCATTTCTTAAACAAGACACTCCATATTTCAAAAGGTATATTTTAAACCTCTGTGTGGGATCATCTTTTTACTAGTTTGAGCTAAGTTTAGTGTTAAAGGACCACTCTAGGCACCCAGACCACTTCAGCTTAATGAAGTGGTCTGGGTGCCAGGTCCTTCTAGGGTTAACCCATTTTTTTTATAAACATAGCAGTTTCAGAGAAACTGCTATGTTTATGAATGGGTTAAGCCTTCCCCCATTCCCTCTAGTGGCTGTCTCATTGACAGCCACTAGAGGCGCTTGCGTACTTCTCACTGTGATTTTCACAGTGAGAGCACGCCAGCGTCCATAGGAAAGCATTGAGAATGCTTTCCTATGTGACTGGCTGAATGCGCGCGCAGCTCTTGCCGCGCGTGCGCATTCAGCCGCATGGGAGGAGAAGAGGAGGATCGGAGGAGGAGAGCTCCCCTCCCAGCGCTGGAAAAAGGTAAGTTTTTACCCCTTTCCCCCTTCCAGAGCCGGGCGGGAGGGGGACCCTGAGGGTGGGGGCACCCTCAGGGCACTATAGTGCCAGGAAAACGAGTATGTTTTCCTGGCACTATAGTGGTCCTTTAATAAGCATTTTTCAGCCTTTTTGACACTCTGTGAAATTTTCATTTTACCAGGTTGCCAATTCAAACCACCTCACAAACACCTACCATTTCTTAAAGGACCACTATAGTGCGAGGAAAACATACTCGTCTTCCTGGCACTATAGTGCCCTGAGCGTGCCCCCACCCTCAGTGTCTCCCTCCAGCCGGGCTGGGGAGAGGAAGGGGTTAAACTTAACTTTCTCCAGCGCCGGACGGGGAGCTCTCCTTCTCCTCTCCTCCTCTTCGTCTGAATGCGCATGCGCGGCAGGATCTGCGCGCGCATTCAGCCAGTCTCATAGGAAAGCATTCATAATGCTTTCCTATGGACGCTTGCGTCTTCTCACTATGATTTTCACAGTGAGAAGCACGCAAGTGCCTCTAGCGGCTGTCAAGAGACAGCCACTAGAGGCTGGATTAACCTATTTATAAACTGCTATGTTTATAAAAAAAAAGGGTTAACCCTAGCTGGACCAGGCACCCAGACCACTTCATTAAGCTGAAGTGGTCTGGGTGCGTATAGTGGTCCTTTAAAGGACCACTATGGTGCCAGGAAAACATACTCGTTTTCCTGGCAATATAGTGCCCTGAGGGTGCCCCCCTGCCGGGCTATAGGGGGTGGAAGGGGTTAAACTTACCTCTTTCTCCAGCGCCGGGTGGGGGACTCTCCTCCTCCATATCGCTGTCATCGGCTGAATGCGCATGCGCGGCAGGAGCCGCGCGCGCATTCAGCCAGTCCATAGGAAAGCATTCACAATGCTTTCCTATGGACGCTGGCGTCTTCTCACTGTGATTTTCACAGTGAGAAGCGCGGAAGCCCTCTAGCGGCTGTCAATGAGACAGCCACTAGAGGCTGGATTAACCCTATTATAAACATAGCAGTTTCTCTGAAACTGCTATGTTTAGAGAAAAAAGGGTTAAACCTAGCTGGACCTGGCACCCAGACCACTTTATTAAGCTGAAGTGGTCTGGGTGCCAATAGTGGTCCTTTAACCCATTAGTGACCAGACTGTTTTTCAATTTTCTTACCGTTCAGGACCAGGGCTGTTTTTACACTTCTGCAGTGTTTGTATTTAGCTGTAATTTTTCTCTTACTCATTTACTGTACCCGCACATATTATATACTGTTTTTCTTGCCATTTAATGGTCTTTCTAAAGATACCATAATTTTACTATAAATTTTTTTATAAAATATGCTGAAAATGTTTAAAAAAACACTTTTTCTAACTTTGACCCCCAAAATCTGTTACGCATCTACACCGCCAAAAAACACCTGTGCTAAATTTCTAAATTTTGTCCTCAGTATAGAAATACCCAATGTGGACATGTTCTTAGTTTTTTTTTGCAAGTTATAGGGCTATAAGTACAAGTAGGACATTGCTGTTTCAAAATATATATTTTTTAAATTTATCAATAGTGACATTGTAACACTGTTATCTGCCATAAACCTCTGAATCACACCTCACATGTACATATTTTTTTAAAGTACCCTGTTTTCCCGAAAATACACCCTACCCCGAAAATAAGCCCTAGCTGGATTATCGGGGTGGGCTGCAATATAAGCCCTACCCCGAAAATAAGACCTAGGCAGGGCCAGCGGCTGCCGGGCCTTTAAATGCCACAGGCGACTGAGCGCTCTATAGAGAGCGCTCAGACGGCTGCCGCACTGCCTCACCTCCCCTTCCCTGGAGCTCGGTCACGCTACAGGGAAGAGCAGGTGAGGAGAAGATTGGAGGGGGGAGGGAGTATTACAGGAAGAGAGGGAGAGGGAGGGAGGGGGAGAATATTACAGGGAGGGAGGGAGAATATTACAGGGAGGGAGGAGGGAGAATATTACAGGAGGGGGAGATATTACAGGGAGGGAGGGGGGAGAATATTACAGGGAGGGAGGGGAGAATATTACAGGGAGGGGGGAGTATTACAGGGAGGGAGAGTATTACAGGGAGGGAGGAGAATATTACAGGGAGGGAGGAGAATATTACAGGGAGGGAGAGTATTACAGGGAGGGAGGGGGGAGAATATTACAGGGAGGAAGGGGGGAGAATATTACAGGGAGGGAGGGGAGAGAGTATTACAGGGAGGGAGGGGAGAGAGTATTACAGGGAGGGAGGGAGGGGAGAATATTACAGGGAGGGGGAGGTGAGGGTCTCTGGGGGGGTTACACAGCGCGGACACCGGCTGACAGACTGGCTTTAAGCCCTACCCTGAAAATAAGCCCTAGTGTGTTTTTTGTGACTAAAATGAATATAAGAGAGAAACACGGTAGACAACCCAGGGGATTCAATATGGGGAATGTCCAGTCTTTATTAGTAGCCACTTAGTCACAAACACTGGCCAAAGTTAGCATTTATATTTGTTTGTGTGTTAAAAATGCAAAAAACTATTATGAACGCTACATTTGGCCATTGTTTGTGACTAAGTGGCTACTAAAAAAGACTGAACATACCCCATTTGCAATACCTTGGGTTGTCTTCTTTTGCAAATAGTTTGCCATCATTGGGGTAATTCTCATTCCTGGGCTACCATACGCTCTCAAAGGCAACACAACCAATCTGGCAAATTTTAATGTGAAAAAATGGAAAACCAAGCCTTATATTTCACTCTGTAACTTTCAAAAACACTATAAAACCTGTACATGGGGGGTACTGTTATACTCAGGAGACTTTGCTGAACACAAATATCAGTGTTTCAAAACAATAAAACGTATCACAACATGATATATGAACAATGATATCATCAGTTAATTTTTTTTCACTTTTACTGACAATATTATCGCTGTGATATGTTCTACTGTTTTAAAACAAACAAAGTCAAACAAAGCAAAGTCTCCTGAGTAAAACAGTACCCCTCATGTACAGGTTTTAGGGTGTCATGGAAAGTTACAGTGTTAAATTCAGTGCTAGCAAATTAAATTCTCTTGATTTTCGGACTGGGTTGTCAGGCAGGTCCCTCAAATTGGAATCAATATAATTACTTAATTATGTAAAAATATTACATAAATATGCACGTAGAATTTATATATATATATGTATATTTATGAAATTATTTATGTAATTATGTATTTGGCAGTCCCCCTGCAGGCAGATACACAGAAACCTATTGCGGCCATGTGACCACTTTCTATATGTGTTTGTTTGTATGTATGTATGTATGTATGTATGTGTGTTTGTATGTCTGTGTGTCTGTGTGTGTCTGTTTGCCTGTGTGTGTTTGCATGTCTGTATGTCTCTCTATGTGTGTTTATATGTATGTGTCTATTTGTGTTTGTTTGTGTGTGTGTGTTTGTATGTATGTATGTGTGCCTGTCTTTTTTTGTATATGTGTGTGTGTGTTTGTATGTATGTGTGTGTGTCTGTATGTGTATCTGTTTTTCTGCATGTGTGTGGGGGCAACGTATGGGAGGGGGGGAGTAGACTATTGGGGTGGTAAACGTGTTGGGGGGGCCCCACTGCAGTTTTCACACAGGGCCCTCTGGTTTCTAGTTACATCTGTGGTAATAAGCATTACTGGTAGGGTACCAGCTCCCTTTTTTGGTGATGGGACTCTCATGATTTTGTGCCAGTTACTGCTTGGTGTAAATGTTTGCCTGGCTGACAACCTCCCCTAAGATATCATCCCCAGGAAGAGATGTATAACATTAAGAGAACTGGTGAGACCAGTTAGTCTACAGTCCAGGAGTGGAAGTGAACTCAGGGATGTCAAGTGTAAAAACATTGGGGGGGGGGGGAGGGGGAGGGTAAAGACAGTACTCCAGGTATGCACAAATGTAGCTACAGTGTGCAGGGTAGTTTATAGTAATTTATGATGTGTGGGTTTTCTTTTTTTTTTTGTCGGTGTCATTAATTTTTCTCAGTAAGCCTACCTTTTTAAAGAAACAATACAAGCACCATAACCACTACAGTTCACTTTAGTGGTTATGTTGCTTGTGTTGTTCCTTTAGAAACCATCTAGCCTTTAAGATTTTGTTAATAGTCTTAAATTCTGTTTTAAAATACACTTAGGAGTGTGTCATGTGTCCTTATGTCATACATTTTCTCTCATTGTCTTCTCTCAGCTGAATCCGTTGAGACAATTAAGGGACACTGTAGGCACCCAGACCACTTCAGCTCGTTGAAGTGGTCTGGGTGCAAACTCCCATCACCCTTAACCCTGAGCATGGAATTATTGCAGTTTTTATAAACTGCAATAATTACCTCTGAGGGTTTACTCCTCCTCTAGTGGCTGTCTACAGATGGTTTTATATAGCATAATCTGAATAGCAATGATGTTTATATAGCCCATTGGTGGGTGACAACATAGGTGTTCACACAAGCATGAAAGGATACTGTTGATGTTACATTCATACATGCATATTATCCTTTACTTCATCCTGACCTATGCCTGTTGTAGAAGCTGTTTAAACCCTAGGAGTACAATGTTCATTCCCCATACCTGCTCAGCCTTTTATATTTCCTAGGCCAGCTCATCATATTGGTCAGATTATAATAAAAATCACAATAAAGAATTATCTGGATCTTAAATAACCACAAGCAATAAATAAGAGTGATATATCCAATCATCATATTTTCTATCATCTTTTCCAATAGAGAAAATATATATATTTTGTTCTAAAAGGCCATCTAAAGACAGGAAACACATGTTACTTTCACCACTCACTGTCTTTATGTTAATACATTCTTCATACATATGTTGTGTTTTCACATCTCTGCAGACTTTGCTTTGTGTGACATTACAGGCCAAATATACCAGCTATTCTCTAAAGTGAGAATTGTAGGGCTTTCAAAGTGCATTTCAAATTAAAGGCCAAGATAGGATAAGTGAAAACCAAAATATGTCAGCTATGCATCCAAATTGGTTATTGGCTTTAAATTTTAACTTCACTTTGAATTTTTGAAAATGTTAATTTTAGTATCAATGGTATTATTTCCAATAGCAGTCGTTCTCTTGTGATATCAAGCTGGTCTATTTCCGTGTTGTAGTTTGGGTCATTTATTTTTTTGTGATATCTCTTGTTCTTTGTTCTCAGTTTCGAGAAAATGTCAAAGACTTGATGCCCAAGCTGCCACCTCACCTTCAGGATGATTACTTCCTACTTCGCTGGCTGAGAGGTGAGAGCAGTATAGAGTAGTTAACAAGACACTGTGCGATAAACAACAATGCACGTGGGTCCTTGAAATAAACTTTATTGCTGTCTGGAAATGAAATAACACTGTAATCTTTGGGCATCAGCAGAGCCCTTTAGCCCTTGGAGTATCAGTAGAGCAATGGGACAAGCTGTAAAAATTAATTAACCTACTCAGCCCTGTAAAGATTCCAAGTATCTTAAAGCTTTGAGATACCTTTATTCTGAGATCAAATGTAGAATAATCTTTTATCTTTGTACCATACAGTGCCTCTTATACCTATCAGATGGGTCTCTTGTCACAAGTGATAATTGCTGAAAAATGCCATGCTATGAAAAAACAATTAATGAATAAAGGGTAATCATTCACTTGGCACCGATACTGATGTTTTAATAAACTGGCAACCGTGAGCTTTGTGATAAGAGTTTCTTGTATTATTTAATACATATTGCGATCCCTTGTTTGTTATAAAAGACTTGTGCAATAATAACTCTTAGGGTGAAGTTCATATAACTTACCACGAGCATTAGTTTATTTCTAACCTTTTCAATGCCATGGTTATATTTAATACTTTTCCAAGAGATGAAAATATAGCACTAGATTTTTATATACATATATTTTGTATATAGTTAATCAAGTCTTTAAATAAAGGATGGTTTCTATTTGTTTTGCTCAATGTGTGTGTCTGTCTGTCTCTAGGTGTGTATATTTATATACCCTGAGATGTCATTTAAGCGGCTCTGTCACTGTGTGTGCTTTTAATAAGTGCGCATAATTTGCAAAGACCCCCAACAGTGACATCCCTAATGGGAGCTCGGTGTCCATGGGCAAAATTAAGGGTGAGATTTATTTACCTTAAACTGTTCCTCACGGGTTCCACCTTCCTCTTCCGTCCGGTCCTCTTTAGCTCCTGCAGCTTCAGCTGCCAGAAGTTGATGTCAGCGCTATGCGACAGTACAGCACTGAGGTTTGTGGAGGATCCTCTATAGATAGAGGCTTTTATCCTAAGTCATCACTAGTGACAGTTTGGGTAAATGACAAGCTTGACAAAAGATAACTCTGCCTTTTGCCAAGCATTGTCAGGCGTAGGGAAAATACTTTGACTCAGTATATCTTTTGACTGCGTTGCTGTTTCAGAATTTTGGAAGGGTAATGCAGGGGAAGGAGGGAGAGAGAAAAAAGAAAATATGATAATGATTTTGGGGTGAAAAGCTTGACTATGGATATCTGTGTTTGCATTTCACTAACCCACTTTCCCTATCGTCAAAGAGCCCAGTGGGATCAAGCAAGTGCAAAAGTCAGCCAAGTTGATGTCTCTGTACATTTGATTTATTTCACACCTTTTAGACAGATGGAAGATTTGTCTTCAATACAAACACTGTCTAGCTCATGGGATTGCAAATTCTTGGCCAAAATAGCCAAAGTTTTTACCAGTTTGCCTATTATTTTGTAAAAATGGGAAATTCCTGTGTAAACTATCTAAAATTCCCAGGTTGTGCCATGGCTTGCCCTTGGTACTGAAAGGGTTAGCGATTATGCTTTGTGTGTTTGTAAGATAATATCCATGTATAATCTCTGTCTAATCCCCTCTCCTCCGCCCTCTCTTTCCAGCCCGAAGCTTTAACCTGCAGAAATCAGAGAGTATGCTTCGAAAGGTGAGGACTTTATACTTGCGATAATGATAACATGGGGAACCTTTAACCCTCTGTTTTCTGCAAGCAAGTCCACAAACTTCATAAACAGATACTATTTATAGATATTTGTACACCAACTGAGCTTTGTACTTCATTCATTAAATTACTTTTGATACACACTATAAAAAAACACACCTACGTTCACAAGGACACACATTTAATGTGAACATATGATTTTATATATATATATATATATATATATATATATATATATTGCTTATATATTACATAAATACAAGTGCTACTTTTACAAATTATAACAGCAACTTTTTACTGACTGCTGTGTTTTTTTAATTTATTTTTTACTGGTTGAGTTTTTTAGAGCCGCTTATTGTATAATTTTGTAGTGCATACATATAAGTTAATATCTTTGTCTTGGCTTAAAGGGACACTATAGTCACCAGTACAACTACATGTATTCCTGACCCTATAGTGTTAACACCACCATCTAGCCCCCCCTGGGCCCATCATGCCTCCATAAATATAGGCTGTTTGCCCTAAAAAAAAAAAACAGTCTGCTGACATCATCAGAAGTTGTAGCCTGATCCAGTCACAATGCTTCCCCATAGGATTGGCCGAGACTGACAAAGAGGCACATCAGAGGCAGAGCCAGCATGATTCAAACACAGCCCTGGCCAATCAGCATCTCCTCATAGAGATGAATTGAATCAATGAATCTCTATGAGGAAAGTTCAGTGTCTGCATGCAGTGGGAGGAGATACTGAATCACAGGATGCTCGTGCACAGCAGATCTGAGTGGATAGAGGCATATTATGCCTCCATCAACTCCGAAGTCCCTCTGGTTCACTGTGAATGACTGCAACTGGAGGTGTTCCTAGCTTTTAATGTAAACACTGTATTTTCTCAGAAAATACAGTGTTTACATGAGAAAGGCTGCCGGGAGCTATAGTTCTCACCTGAACAACCTCATTAAGCTGAAGTTGATCAGGTGACTATAGTGTAACCTCATTCACTTTAACCTCATTCCATGGGAGCAGCTATCTTTAAACACTCTTAGATTTGAAAAACCACTTATCAGACCAAGAACCATGCACAGTAAAAATGGCTAAAACTGGCTCTTTAAAACTGTGGTTATTTAAGTTGTACATGAAAAGCAGGATTTGAGAATTTGCACTGTTTCCAGTTTATCTACATGGTCTTTGGTCAGGCAAACAATGCTTCTGAGCAACAAAGTCTTAAAAGGACACTCCACTGCAAGAAATTAAATCTCCTGTTTAGTAACTATATCCCCAATAAAAACATGTATGCATTTAATGGTGCATTTTTTTAATTCAGTTATATCTAAAAACATCAAATAGTGTAAAGTATAAAAAGGCACTTTTAGTTGTGCAATTAATATTTTAAAAACCAAAAATATGTGCAATATTATTTCAGCTGCTATCCACTATTAAGTGCTACCTTTCAACTCCTTTAAAAAAAACTCTAAAACACGAAATAAAATAATTTAACCAATTTTTAAAGTGCTTTGAAACTGTGACATCCTGAATATGTGAACACAGTTAAAACCATAAAAGGCTTATTCACTGAACTCTGCATTGTAGTGAATGGGAATCTGAATGGCAAAGTGTTAAAAAAAAATTGGTTTTGTCATTTTTTTGTAGGTGTGTATGTGAGAGAGAGATTCAGTGATGGCTAGGTTCTTTGCAATAATTAAATAACATGTATGGCTCTCCCTCAAGTCTCTGTCTTTCCTTGTGTGGCTTCCTATGTTCTTCTACCTTGATTTAATATTTTTGAATAAGCCTTCAAATGATTTAATATTTTTACAAATATATGGATCTTCTTATTTACCCTGTGCGTTCTTTTGCAGCATGTTGATTTCAGGAAACACATGGATTCTGACAATGTGCTGGAGAACTGGCAGCCTCCAGAGGTGAGCTTGAATGAAGAAACAAACATTATCCCAACTGATTCCTATATCGCCATCTCTCAAGAAGTGCCATGTGGTGCCCTAGATAGCTTTTTTCACCCTGCTGCAGAAATACTCAGGACTTCTCATGTGTACCATCATAATTTATGCTACCATAGCAATATTTATAATTGCTGTGCTACATCAGCCAGTATAGACAGTGCTTTCTACCTGAATGACATATTGCAAAGTCTTTCTTCCCCTCATATTGGTGATAAGTAGCATACAATTGTGTGAACATTTAACTTTTTTTGTACATAATCTTTGGAAGCATTACAAACTAAGACCATGATTTAAAGTGGAACTGTCACTGCTTAGGGTCTTTGCATAATTTCCATAGATACCACAACTGCTACTCTGCCGCTGGGGATCCATGTGCCGGAGGGTGGGAGGTGAGTTTAACTTACCTGAACCTGTCCCTCACAGGTGCCGTCATTCTTTTAAGGCCAGTCCTCTTCCCCTCCAGGAGTACATCAATGAAGTCTGTGGATCCTCCTTAGACAGAGCCAATTCCTGAGAAGTTGACATGTTATTGCCACAGTAGCAGTAGAAGAGTCAAGCTTAGTCCCTACTTTGTCTCAGAATATCTTTGGACTGGGTTGGAATTTTCTGTGAAATTCCAACACCGTCAATATGAGTATTTCATAAAGATTTTATCTTTATGGAATACTTTTTTTTGCAGGGAGGGGTGACACGGCCGCTTTGATAAACTTTCTAAACAATTAATACAGAAATTTCCAATTAATGTATCTACAAAAATTTCCAAAGACTTTAATGGTGACTTGTGTTATTAAATCACCTGTAAATTTTTCCAACAGTATTGAATTATTTGGAAAGCTTATTAAATCAAACCCCAAGTTAAAAAACAAAACGTTAAGTATTTGTCAGGACACAAATCTTGCCCACATTACCTTCTGCAATGCTGCGTGTTATCTAAAATGTTGAGAGCAGTTTTACACTTAAATGTTGCAGTACGTTAGACTTTGACCCAGAACGACATTTGTGAGTATTATGTTAAATAAAACAAAATATTCTCCGGAGCATATTGAAAGGTTGTTTACAGAAGGTCCATACAGGCTGTGTAAAGCAGGATTGTGCCTAGCTTGGATGGCCTGACGTTGAGAAGGTTATTTGGCTCCTGCCCAGAGCTGCAAAATCCTCTGATCTGCCAATACCCTGTTCTAAACCTGCAAAGAAAGGTGTCAGATTAGCAATAATCCTGAGCTTCACAGTCTTGTGCAGGCTTGTTGATGTATGCCATATATAGATAGATGGATAGTTACTAAATGAAGACAATGAGAGTCAACCCTCCATGCTAGACATGACATCTCACACTACTAGGTACTATTGAGCTGTATTTTCACCCAATCAGAAGCCGAGAATTGTGGTCAAACAAACCTGCTCTACACTTACTACAGTGAATAAACTCATTCAGGGTTATTCACTAAAAACAGAATTCAAAGTGCATTTCAAATTATGGACAAAATAGCTGATTTGAACAAACTCTCCAGTTCAGCTGCTCTTTGCCTTAAATGTTGAAATTTACTTTGAATTAATGACAAACAGATTTCACAGATTGCTTTATTAACACATTTCATTCTTCCACACATAGATAATACAGATTTTAGATTTAGATTTACACTCCACGTGGGTATGTTCCTATTGTACTGAATAATCTGTGATGTTTTCTGAAGGCTGAACTACCCAACAACTCTTAATGTAATTTTGTTTTTTTTCAGGTGGTCCAGAAGTACCTGTCTGGTGGGTTATGTGGGCATGATCGTGAGGGCTGTCCCATATGGTATGATGTAATTGGCCCTATTGACCCCAAAGGTCTTCTATTCTCAGCTTCTAAGCAGGACCTCATGAAGACCAAGATGAGGGACTGTGAGTCAATGCATAAAGAGTGTCGTGCTCAATCAGAGAAGGTGAGATCACTGAATGTAACATTAAACTAGAGCTATGTATTTATTTAGCTCAGCATTATTTCAAGGATAGGTAAAAAGGATAATATATACAGGATAAGCAGTAGTATCAGTTCTACATAGCGTATGGATCTAACAGACAAAAATAATCTCAAGAAGACAGTGTATATTCAAAAAAAGTACAATGAGGTAAAGTAAAAAAAAAAGAAGTTTATTTTAGTATTTTAAAAGTCAGTTAAACGTGTGCATGTCACATCTTTAGCTAACTAAAGCTGGTCAGCTAAACTATTTTGTCATATTTTCAAAATAAGGTTTTTTTTTAAAAAGGATCTTCACTTTTTCAAAGTTTTTTTTTTTGTCAAAACATTTATATATTTTTTTTGAGGTCAATAAACAAAATTTGTATTTATTGAGAAATGTGCACACATGCAGGCCAGTATATTTCCAGGTATAGATGCCACGGATCATATGGAGTTCAAGAAATTCCATATTATGCCTGGCAGTTTGGGGTCTTTATAGATAAAATTGTGTTTGTAGCCAAGATCTGCATGGAATAAAACCAGCATAACCTCGCGGGAATGAGGAGCCATCAGGGCTGTTTTATGGAGCTTTTTGGCCAGTGATGATGGTATAACTTGATCATCTTCTGCGTGCAATATTAAAAGAGGACTGGATAGAACTTTAACATTTTCATCGTTGGAAAAGACATTATTGCTCAAAGCAAATGTATCCAGAAGGAAATATTCATACCCGGGGAATATGTGGTAAATTTTCATAAACGGATGATAAGCACCTGCTTCCCGTATGTTGGTAAATGGCGCTTCTAGAATAACCGCATCCGGTGAGTTCCCCCTTTCTTGGAGCGTTCTGGCTGCATTCGTTGCTATTCCGGTGCCCAGGGAATGCCCCCACAAACAGACAGGGCTCCCGCGGCTCCGAGCTTTCACCCATTGGTATAAATACACAGAGTCCTCCGTCACACCCTCCTCACTCGGTTCTCCGGTGGAATCGGCAAAACCTCTATAGTCAATAGCCAAGACGTGAAAGCCGGAAGCACTGAGAACCTTCATAAGCTGCACTCGGAAGTCTAAAGCCCTGGTCCCCCCAGTTCCATGGAGATAGATTACGACCGGATTCTCATCTGACAGAGCAGCTTCATACCAGCTCTGGTCCTTGCCTTTTGCCTCTTCTCCCCTGCTGGTGGGCACAGTATGCCAGACACCCACCGTGATCCCTTCTTCGGGTGCGAGGTAGAAACTGGTGGTGTGATTCAGGATCTCTCCGGGCTGCCTTGTATCAACAAAAAATGGCATCTTCAACATGTTTAAATAAACTACCTTGGCGAGCAATACTGGGAACAGCCTAATGATGAATGGGACGATAACATAGACCACGAGAAGACTCAACCCAAAGACTTTCAAACAGGTAAGCCACCAAGATGAAGATCTTTTCTTATTTTTTGAGAAATGTTTTTTCATACCATCTCTAGATTTTGTGTCCGAGCCTCTGCCATGTAATGGGCTTCCAGTGGCCCTTTTATTTGGAGGATCCCGCCGTTTCATGTCTGTGTCCTGGCTTGGCTCTCGGATAATGAATGTAGAAACTCAAATAGTTCAAAGGAGAAAAAAGATCCTTACTTCCTCTATATTTTTTGCTTCATCTTTAATAAGAACACGGCTTGCTTTTATGACAGTTCTGGAAGGAAAAACATTTTTCTTTTTAAATCAGTTTATGCACTACATATTCGTTTTGTTTAAATAAATGTTAATATGCATGCCCTTTTCCAAAAAAATAAACACATAAATAAAAATATAATGCACTTTATGGTGAGTGTAAGTAAGGAAATAAAACCTTCCAATGCACCATCCACCTTATAACCTTTGCCTAGTAGTTAAGGATCTGTAACAAGAAGGCCTTGTTTTTGAGTTCATATCACACCTGCTGTAGCATGCATTACTATGACGGGTCTTGGTAGGAATGTGACAGCCACACAGATGTAGTTATTCCTGCTTCTGGAAAAAACATTGTAAGAAGGAGAATATGGCAATATAGCTGTCCAGAACAAGATTGGACATATCTCCTTTTCCAGAAGGGAGAGTCTCACTAAACAATATTTTTTAAATTGTATTAAAATTTTACCTTGCTATATCACCCTCTTCCTTATGTTAGCCCCCCTCTGTGTTACGTTGCACCTTGAGTTGTGTATTTTGTTCTTAAGGACACCATATGCTGTATTCCATTCATTTTCACCTATATCTCTCTTCTCCTTTGGCACTTTAATGAGTGCAGTTCTGCAACTGACCTATCTTTTAGCTGTTGGGGCCTGTGTGGGGAGTAAGTTATTTTGGTCAGTAAACTTAGCAACAATGGCAGCAGCCAGTAGCACTGTCATTACTTATGATCAGTGTAGAGTGTGTCAGGGCAATATATTTCTCTTTTGTTGATCTGCACAATGGCAGTGAACCCTTTAGAGGGGCAGGCATTTTACCCCTTAATTTCTTTAGTTATTTGCTTGTCCAGATGATCTCTGCTCTTATTTTCACTGGACCCCCATATTCTTCACACACACAATGGATGGAGCCAGGAGCCATAGTGCTTTAAAGATCATTGTGTGCACTCTTGTATGTTTATTTAAAAGTTGTTGTTTTTATCCAGGGTATAGGAAAGAGATTAAATGTACCACAACTGTGTAAGCTGCACAGCATTAACGTAAGATATCTGCTGTTTGTTGAGAATGGAAACGAGCACTCACCAAATGTATTATCCCAACATTCAGCTCTTTTAGTGAATATGAACATTTACTCAATTCTAATTGTAACATGCGTTTTTTTTTATCTATAGACCTCTTATTTAAGGGTTTCTCTTCCATGTCAATGGAAACAAAAAATAACAAATGAAACAAAATGCATTGCTAATTAATTCATAGAAAAAATATATAATTTCGATTTTAGTGTATATGTTTAGAATAATCAGGTTTGGATTGTGCTTGAGGCCTGTAGTTCTCCAGTGTGTGTTCTATATTGACAGAAACTTTGATACAGAAAAGCCAACAAGCTCATGTGAATTAAGTCATATGAGGTACTGTCAGTACATTTTCACTGAGGATAAAAAGTTGCCTGTCCCCTGCAGTGTTATGTGTCACCTCTCACCCGTGTAAAATGCCTGGGAACATTTGTATGAAACGAAATGCCGGATGTTTCTGACAGTATCATTCAAGTTATACCGGTTCCTTCAGTTTATGTATGGAATTTAGCAAGGATTCCACCACTAATGACTTTGAGAGCCTTCATGATAGTGTAGATGTGATTGCACTTTGACACTTATCTCATTTTCCCCATTGAACATACAAAACCGTTTACTAGCAATTCTCCAGCAATTCATATTTCACAGTTGAAGGAACATATCCATTGTTCTGGGGATATAGTAAAATCCCTCTTCCAGTAGACATGCTAGTATATAAAACAAGTGATACCGGATTAAGAATTGGTCCATCATTCATAATTGCTTTAGGCCCATCTTAAGTATTCTGCTGTAATAGTTATCACTACTTCCACCCGAAAAATATTCCAGAGACTTGGCACCAGTCTTGTAAAGTAGTATTTTGCACTTTACCCTTAAAAAGACATATTCCTTAAATATATATTTTCTCCTTTCAAACACAAAAATGCAATGGAATCTTTTATTCCCACACTTGCTCATTATTTCATGACTTTATCACTATAACACGCTGTTGCCTTCTGCTCTTATCACATTCTATATATTGTAGCAGGGCTTGACAAATTTTCTTTGAATCTAGGAGCCAGCTAAAAAAGTTAATAGCCAGATTTTTTTTTATGTACAAAAGCTTTATATTTAACGACAAAAATACAATTCTTATAGGAACACTATAGTCACCAGGACCACTACCACTTAATGTAGTGGTTCTGGTGTATATAGCCTGTCCCTGCTGGCTTTTCAATGTAAACACTGCCTTTTCAGAGAGAGGCTTTTAATGAGAAAAGGCAGTGTTTACATTGCTTACTAGTGACACCTCTAGTAAACGTCACTCAGACGGTCAATAGAGGTGCTTCCTGTGTCAGTGCTGCATAGTGTGCGCTGAACGCTCCCCATAGAGATGCATTGATTCAATAAATCTCTAGGAGGAGATGCTCATTGATGCAAAATTTAGGATTGGCTGAGATCATCAAGTTTGATAATCTCAGCCATAGAGGCAGGGCAGTCAAGGGGAGACCAGCACAGCGTGGCGAAAAAAAGGTGAATAAAAATACAATTCCCTTGCGAACGGAAGGGGTCTGCCACCTAAACACACACATCATGACATACACACATATAACCATGACAGACAGAAGCACACACACACACCATGACAGGCACACACACCCTTACAGACACACACACTCCATGACAGACATACACATTTACACATTGTTTGTTTTAATATCTGTGGGGTGCAGTGGGCGACATGCTGGGGGATCGTGCAGGCGAGCGGCATGCTGAAGGATTATGGAGGTAGGTGGCATGCTGGGGGATCATGCAGGTGGGGGATTTTCTAGGAAGACTGCTTGCTGGGTGGTCGTGGAGGCGGGCGGCTAGATGTGCGTATTGTTTCTGGCAGCGAGGGAGCTGTGATGTTTCTGCTCTGCTCCCCCGCGCGCCGCTTAGTGAGAGTGGGGCCGGAATATGACATCATGGCCCTGGTGTCATTAAGCTGCGCGTGGGGGAGCAGAGCAGAAACATCACAGCTCCCTCGCTTCACACCTAATCGCGCAGCTAGCCGCCTGCCTCCACGACCACCCAGCAAGCCGTCTTCCTAGAAAATCCCCCAACTTGCCGCTGGCCACACGCCCGGCTTGGATTTAAGGGGCTCACATATCCCAGGCGCAAACGCAAAATTCCTATGCGACCTGGCGCATGGAATTTGTCGAGCCCTGTATTGTAGGATTCAATGTCGAAAAAAAAAAAAGCTTTCTACAACTAAACCCCAAATTATTAGCAAATACAAATTCGCAACTTAGTCCCAATGCTGTGCCAGTGACCTTTACCTGTTGTCTGTTCATTCTCCCAGATAATTATTGCTTACAAAACCTATTTGTTGCTTCCCAGTTTCTATACTCTAACATCAGTTTGCCCATTAGTTCCTAGTCTTAAAGGAACACTATAGGGTCATGAATACAAACATGTATTCTTGACACTATAGTGTTAAAACCATCATCTAGCCCCCCTTTCCCTCCCTTGACCCTTAAATATAGTAAAATCTTACTTTTGTTCGAGTTTGCAGCTGCTGCCTCTGATCTGCCTGCTTGGCTGACATCATCAAAAGTGTTGTTCTGAGCCAATCACAATGCTTTCCCACAGGATTGGCTTAGGTTGCCAAGGAGGCAGATCACTGGCAGAGCCAGCACAATCAAAACAAAGCTCTGGTCACTGAATCAATGCATCTCTATCAGGAAAGTTCAGTGTCTCTATGCAGAGGGTGGAGACACTGAATGGCAGTACTGCACAGTGTGCATCACTGCCCAAGGAATCACCTCTAGCAGCCATCTGAAGAGTGGCCACTGGAGTTATCACTAGACTAATGTAAACATTTCATTTTCTCTTTAAAGACAGTGTTTACAGCAAAAAGCCTGAAGGTAATGATTCTACTCACCAGAACAAATACAATAAGCTGTAGTTGTTCTGGTGACTACAGTGTTCCTTTAAAATGTCTTTTAAAAGCCTCTCTCTATAGGCACACCCTAAAAAAGCATCATCATTGCAGCTCAGAGTCTTTGAGTGCTGTTTCCTATTTTTTTGTTTTGTCAAACAATTTAGAGAATGCTTTGACAAGAAACAAGGCTCTCCTAGAGACTGCTTAATCTCCACTTGACTTGCTAAATGGGATTTACACGTCTGCGTTACCAATATCAAGTCTGTCCAACCAGAATGCTGTAGTCATCAATGCTACAACAGTTCCTTTGCTAACAGTAATATACACTATGAATGTATTATCTGTACATCCAGCATCTATTGAGAGAGCCTGAATCTGTGGGGCATATGTACATAAGCATCTGCAGTGGCTTATGTTATTAAGCTATAATTGTTTCTATTTCTTCTCCAGCTGGGAAAAAAAGTGGAAGAGGTTGTGATGATCTATGACGTGGAAGGTTTGGGACTGAAGCACTTGTGGAAGCCTGCTGTGGAGCTGTATGGAGAGGTGAGATGGTCACTGTGCTTGGAAGTGGAGGCTGGCTTATTGATTTATAGTGAATCGATAATAGAATAATCAGACATAATATTTCAAGTTAGTGCGGTTCAGGATGCAAATTAGTTGCTGGGGTGACACAAAAGAGATTAGGTAAAGCTCAATATTTTTGTTTTGCTGTTTTTCTTTTCTTTATTTTTCCACTAGAATACTGTGCACTTATTTCCAAAAGCATGTAGTTCAAATTAATTTTGATATAGTGCTGTGCAACTTGAATACAACAATCTGAATCTGTGGCATTACTTACCTCCAACGAGCTGCGCAGACTGCCTCCTGCTGCACAGTCTGACTGCTCCATGCGGCACACTGAGAGGGACTCACCTCCCTTGAGCTGTGCAGACCTCCTCCTCCTCCTGCGCGGTCTGGCTGAACTACGCAGACGCGCGGCAGGATGTCTATAAATAGATGTGGACGTGACGTCACGCTCACTCCTAAAGTGACCACGTCATCATTGCAATCCTAATTTGATTTTGGTCGCAGTGATGACGTGGACCTATCAGAAATTAGGTAAGCCTATTTAAGGCTTGTTGTAGCCCCCATTCATTGCCCTATCGTGGTTTCTGTTAGATCCTCGTTAAGTGCTTCTAGTGATTCCCTTGTAATTTCCTGTGTTTGACTTCCCCACCTTGGCTTCGTATTTGACTCGTGATTTCTGGTATCCTGACCCGGCTTTGTCTTGACCGGCTTTTTTAATCCTGACCTTGATTTATCTTGACCCAGTTTCTTGTTGTATTAATACGTTAACTCTGGCCATTCTAAGGCTCGGTAATACGTCTTTCGGATCCACCTATTGAGAGTTTCCCCTTTCCTGCGTGTTGGGGTACGACTCCCGTGCCAGAATCCTAGATAATTTGTACATTGTAATCATCATTTTAGTAGGATTTTGACTAGTTAAAGCAGGCCTATAACTCAAGTGACACAACTGATTCTTGGTAGCCTTGTTGGCTGTTTTGTATGCAGGCACTGAGTATGAGCTTTGTACTCCGTGTGATGGGATAGCATCATCAGTTGACCTGTACTTTTAATTAAACTGTATTGATTTTGTTGACTGGAATGCTAACAAACTTATATATTTTGCAATAAATCACTATAAAAATAGGATTGCAAGCCTTGGCTATCAGTCTGTTCAGTGACATTGAATTGAGTGTTAGGAGAGAGCAAGAAAGCTCTCCTATATTGAAAGTGCTGTAGTTGCTGTGCTTCGTCTTGCGAGATATATTGCATCTTGATAAAGGAATATATGTTGCAGTGATTGGGAAGGTGTGCCCTACTTGGAAAGGTGTTCTCATATAGGGCAATCGTGTAGAAAGGTGGCAGGATGTATGTGATTTTAGAAATGTAAAACATATGAAGACTTCTCTATTTATAAATGCAAATATGTCTGGCTTAGTAGAAAACTTTTTTTATGCTTCTGTTATGCTGTGGGGATATTTATGGGATAATAATAGTAAACAGTTGAGAATTGCCCACTAATTCAATTCTCAGATCCCAAAGAACGTTTATCGTGTTAAGTGGAATGTATTTCATATAATTAATATCACAATGTATAAAAATAGATTTTTATTTATGATGACAAATTAATTAATAATAACATGTAACATGCATGACAATAATCAATGAATATCCAGTATAAAATGATATGCAATACAAAGGAATGGGTATTACGTTTCAATGGCTAAATAGCATTTCCTGTCAAGAATTCTGACGATTTATGAGGTATCCTTACACAGATTGAAAGTGAAACTTTTCACACAGAGAACAGAATTCCTCAGAGTGCAGCGTAAGGTCGTAAAGTTTAGCTGACAGTTAGAATAACCCTTTCAATGCTGGCTAGATCTCCTAGGTAATTAAGATCTATTCTTATGTAATTTTTAAATAAAATAACATTTAAACCAGTTCATTAGTCATTTTCTGAAACCATCCAATAAGAGAATCTACCACATTATATAAGCAGATTTTTAATTTGTCTAAAAGATATCTATCTTAATTTAGAGCAAATCAATACACCTGGATAAAAACAGCGGTATGCTAACACGTGATAATATCACATCAATATATAATTATTCTTAATTCCACCTGCAGAATGGAATGTTTATAACTATATATTCTTAGTTAACTAAGATTTCTTAATATGGAAATCTGACCGTGCTTTATCCAGTCATATATAATACTATTAATACATTTTAATTAATTTAATTTAATTAAATGAAACCAGTATAATTACCAGTTGAGTAGATATTTCATCCGATTGGTAGTCTCAGGAACTTATTTGGATGTCTCTCTGCATGGAGGTTGGAGTCCCCAAACTTCCAATTCCTCTCTCCTCTCCTTTGCATCTCTTGCATACCCTTCCATCTTCCCTTTGTCTTAACTTTTAAAGGGCCAGACTCTCTGTACGTCATCAGTTGATAACCCAATAGAAGCACTAGAGGTGTGGTTATCTTCCAGATCGCAAATTAGTTATTTGGTCTGTAGAGGGCAGTCTTGTCCCACTAAACATACCTATCCAGGAAAGAGTTAACTTTTCCTGGTGGCTATTTTGACGTCATTTTGGCCTATCTAGATAGTGGCTATAACTTACGTATCCTTCAAAGATCAAAGGGTTCTTTAAGTTTTGTCCAGACTATGTGTCTGCAAATCTGATATAATTTCTGATATGGCAGATCATGAACTAAGTTTACCCTTTTCCATACAATGGTACCTTATATATATATATAGACAGTTAAATTTTATTATTTAATCTTCTCTGTCACAATTGTCTGGGTTTAGATTTGATTATATTCTTCTTATCACTTGTTTATACTATGCTATGCATTCCTTAGCTCTGGCAAAGAGGCCAGTCTTACAGAAAGAAATCCTGCGTCTCTTTGTTAACTTGAAATAACAAAATGGAGTCTGGTCTGTTCAGAGTGACTCAGAATATACACTTTTAGTTTCTATCATAGCACAAGATGTCTGCCGATATAAATACCCTGACAATGCACAGTTAGTTAGCTAATTCCATGACAACATAGATCTGCTATGTCAAGTACCAGAGAGCACCTTCTTGTTACCATGCATAGGAATTTCCTGTATTCTGATATCTCCTGCTAAGGCAGAATAGCTGCATGTTAAATCTGACAACGTGTCCGAACAGCTTGTATGTACTAAGCTCTTTAGTTTATCAATAAAACTATTAACTCTGCACTAACTATATCATTTTATCACAGAATGCATCTAACTATATCTCATTGTGTATAAAATCTATGCATGTGCTCTAAGATCACCATAAATACACCATGTATGTTATTTTGTGGATGTAAATATTGTAGTTCTGAAAGAGCAAGGTATTTTGTCCTATCAGTAAGAGCATGGTTTTGGTGTTTGTTTTTTCTTTTCAGAACACCAAACAGATGCCATCATAAAGTTGGGATAATCGCATGGCAAAATATTAGACAATATCTTGCTCATCTTTTCTCCTGTGTATGTGTTACTGTGTCTCTTATTCTCTTTTGTGGGTTCATCACAAACCTGCTTATTGCTGCAGTTTAATTATAGACTTCACTGTGTTATTACGGGAGATGGTGAATATTCTTTGCAAGTAAGCCAGTTGTCACTTGCAGTGTGTTACATTTTTGTGTGTATCTGCAGGCTGGCTGTGAAATGTTTGGATTGTCTGGAGATCGATGTTGATATTATGTAGAGGAGGCTGTATCTGGATGGGAGTTTTGGACCTTACTTACAAGTTGGGAATTAATATGAAGTTGTTGATTTTTAGGTCCTGCAGATGTTTGAAGATAACTATCCAGAGGCCCTGAAGAGATTATTTGTGATAAAAGGTGAGAATATGTACACAAGCAGCTCATGCACACACATACAAAAACATCTTTCTATCCACGTTTCGCTAACCTATTTTCTCTTGGTTACTCAGCACCCAAGCTTTTCCCAGTGGCATACAACCTTATCAAGCATTTCTTGAGTGAGGACACTCGCAGGAAGATCATCGTAGTTGGGGGTAGGTAATGGTGGAATACGTGCCAGGAAGATTCAAGTAGATCATTTGGAAAAAGTAGCTAGATTCTCATTACATGATTTTCATTGGTAGGAAAATGGGGGAAAAAATTAAATACCTGGAACTAATGCAACTGGTTTTGGGGTTTAATGACAAAACTTTATTTTCAGCTTTAAGTTGTTAGCCCAGCTTTTCATGTTATCTTTGCCTATATTACACTATATTATTCTCCATTACACTATGGTAGATGATCTCAGTGTGCTATTTCAATATATACATAAACCTACACTGATCAGCCACAATATTAAAACCACTGACAAGAGAAGTGAACAACATTGATTTTATAGTTACAACAGCATCTATCAAGGGGTGGGATATGTTAGACAGCAAGTGAACAATTAGTTCTTGAATTGCATATGTTGGAAGCCAGAAAAGGGGCAAGCAAAAAGATTTTGACAAGGGCCAAATAGTGATGGCTAAACGATTGGGTCAGAGCATCTTCAAAACAGCAAGTCTTGTGGGGTGTTTCCTGATATGCATTGATTAGTGCCTACCAAAAGTGGTACAAGGAAGGACAACCTGTGAGCTGGCATCACGATTATGGGCATCCAAGGCTCATTAATGCACGTGGGTTGGCAAAGGAAAGCCCATTTGGTTCAACCACACAGAAGAGCTTCTGTAGCTCAAATTGCTGAAAAAGTTAATGCTTTCCACGATAGAAAGGTGTCAGGACACTCATCGCAGCTTGCTGCATATGAGGCTACGTAGCAGCAGACTGATCAAAGTGCCTATACCAAAACCTGTTCACGACTGCAAGCACCTTCAATGGGGATGTGAGCTTTAGAGCTGGACCGTGGAGCAATGGAAAAATGTTGCCTGGTCTGATAAATCACATTTTGTGGGGGAAAGGGGGGGTGTGCATTATTTACCTGTTAAAGAAGTGGCAGCATAATGCACTATGGGAAGAAGGCAGGCCAGCAGGGGCAGTGTTATACTGTGGACAATGTTCTGCTGGGGATTAGCATTCATGTGGATGTTCCCCTTACACATGTCACCTACGTAGAGAGTGTTGCAGACCACGTACACCTTCATGGCAATGGTATTCCCTCATGGCAATTGTTTAGGAACATAGCAAAGAGTTCAAGGTGTTGCCTTGGCCTCCAAATTCCCCGGATCTAAATTCAAATGAGCATTTGTGGGATGGGCTGGAATAACAAATCTGCCCCAACTTGCAACCTGCAGGACATAAAGAATCTGCTGCCGGTGTCTTGGTGCCAGATACCAGAGGACACATTCAGAGGTCTTGTGGAGTCTATGCCTCCATGAATCAGACCTGTTTTGCCAGCACAAGTAGGACCTCCACAATATTAGGCAGGTGGTTTTAATGTTGTGGCTGATCAGTGTATACTCCTTTATCATACTTCAGGGGTATAGGATTTTTATATGTGTCATAGGCAAAAGGTTTTAGCGGTGTGTTCAACACACTGAGTACTAATGTTTTGGGCACACCTCTTACTCTCAAAGAGTTAATTGGACTGGATTAAATGAACACTGTAGGCACTGTGACCATTTCATCTCATTCGATTAGTTATAGTGCCTGGAGTCCCCTTGTGCTGTCCCTTCATTCAGTGTTGAATGAAGTTCGAGCATTTTACCACTAAATAAGGGCACCTGGCCACCCACAGCACAGCCCATACTGGAGAGATGGCTTTGGCAGAATTATACATATCCTAGCCATACGAATTCACTACATGAAACTGGTCAGGTGACACTGTTTGCTAATTGCAGCCTATCCATTGCTGCTCAGACAAATGCTTCCTCATTAGCCCAACAGTACAGAAAGGATGGGCTGCCGTGGACTCTCATTTAACATTAAAAAAAGTTTTACACTGAACATTAGGACAGTGCTAGTGGACTTAATATACTATAACCACATCAATGAGCTGAAGTTGTTACAATTCCTACAGGATCCCTTTAAATTCAGTGTGACATCTGTGAATGATCCTAGTGGTCAAGAACACATACTTCTCTAAATATGCCCAATATTTAAAATCCTGATGGCCTATTCTGGTACTTAAAGAATTAGTATTGCATCTAATTTTCAATTGGTTTCTTCCAGATAACTGGCAAGAAGTACTTCAAAAATACATACCTCCAGAGGAAATACCTAAATATTATGGTGGAACCCTAACTGATCCAGATGGTGACCCAAAATGTAAATCCAAGGTGCAGTACACTAGTCTTGCACGTTTACAAGAAAACTGTGGTCACTGTTTTTGTTAAACTAATTATATCATGAAATAAGAGCAATATAAGCAGCAGTAAACTAAGGGACCGTTAATGAGAAAAGACAACATCCAGTGTTGGAAAAGAAAATCCTTCACTGGGGTTGGTAAGGTTGTAGGGTATTAGGGCATAACCCAAGGGATATAGCATAGAAAAGGAAGAGACTGAACTGGGGTTACAAAGAGATCCTCCCAGAAATCAGTCCCTATACCCTGAATTAAAGCTGTTCATTAGTCTAAGGCAGCCACTTGCCAGTGTAGAACATAAATGAAATATATAGAAAATAATAAACTTTTATTAGCCCCTCTTCTGCATATAGAACTAGGAGGGGGTACGGGTATGGGCTTATAGGGTTTATTAGGCCCTACACACACACTTTTTCTTTACCCTCAGATGGTTAGATTCAGCTACAGAGCATCGATCGATCTAGGTTCTTTACCTAGATTGGCTGACCGTTAGGGATTTAGTTCATACCTTATATGTCTCCACGTTACTATAAGAGTGGGATATGCTATTGAGCATTACAAACAAATAACCATATGAAGTATTTTGCTGCCTATCATCCTAACTATTAGATCAAACAAACGGCTTAGATTCTTATAATACTTTTCTATCCCCCCGGCTGTAGTTTACCCCTAACTTATACACTTGGATGCAATTAATAGGTACACTAAGTAAAGAGACACTGTTGCAACAAACATTAAGAGCAACAAGTTATCTCAATTAGTACTAAAAAGAATCCTTTTGATGTGTTGTATATACTACAGATTTAGCAGATCAGCAGACGTACCTTTTGTACATATTTATTTTATTTCACTGTATATAGTAATTCACTTTTGTTTTATTCACTCCTTAAGAGGGGCTAATAAAAGTTTATTATTTTCTATATATTTCATTTATGTTCTACACTGGCAAGTGGCTGCCTTAGACTAATGAACAGCTTTAATTCAGGGTATAGGGACTGATTTCTGGGAGGATCTCTTGGTAACCCCAGTTCAGTCTCTTCCTTTTCTAAGGGACCGTTAATGTTAGTGTTCATTGAGAGTAGCAGGCTCATTTACCATGTTTCCTGTATTCACTTCAGATTCCTGCATGTTCCAGCATCTTATTGGCTGCCCTTCTCTGATTTCCTATCGTTGAGGGCAGCAGTCTTTTAATTTACATATACACTTTATTTGGCTTAAAAGGACCACTATAGTGCCAGGAAAACAAACTTGTTTTCCTGGCACTAAGGTGTTAATAGGTCCCCCCCCCACCCTCATGGCCCCCCCTTCCGCTGGGCTCAAGAGGGGTTAAACACTTACCTTTCTCCAGCGCCGGGCTCCCCCGGTGCTGGGGACTCTCCTCCCTCTTCCGACGTCATCCAACGCATGTGCAGCAAGAGCCGCATGCGCATTCAATCAGTCCATAGGAAAGCATTTCTCAATGCTTTCCTATGGAAAGCAGCGTCTTCTCACTGTGGAAGCGCCTCTAGCGGCTGTCAGTGAGACAGCCACTAGAGGCTGCATTAACCCTAATGAAACTGCTATGTTTACAGCTGCAGGTTTAACACTAGATGGACCTGGCACCCAGACCACTTAATTGAGCTGAAATGGTCTGGGTGCCTATAGTGGTCCTTAAACAAGGAATAAGATTTTGGAATGTGTATTAAAACATCTAATCAAGCATATTATCTGTTAATTTAGAGAAGTTTTACTTACCCATTTTTTACACTTTAAAAGGTTGTTTTCTAAGGGTACCTGTAGCCTTGAAAATAACAATTGGGTTTTCTTCTATTGCTGTAACCACTGTCCACCCCTTCCTGTTAAACATGCATGCTAACATCTTCTTCGATCTTGTCCAAACCAAAAAATAAATATTCTAAATGCTAAATATTGTTCCAGGAGATCTTGGACTTTTATATTATTGTCAGGGTCAATAGACATCCCTGTAAAACTGTGTGATTCTTTAGGGATGCTGGCGAGAGAGCGTCGTTGTCAAGAAGCCAGCCAGCTTCAGTATTTTTAAAGTTTTAATCCAGAAATGGTTTATGGAATGAGTACCATCAATTTTGGTAATAGTATTTAGAATCATACATGTAAAACCCACCATAGACAGAACTAAAAATGTCAGTTACACATGACGTCTGGAATAGTTAAATTTAAGAACAAAAAAATTATAACCTAAATGCGATCCACGGTCAGTAAATTATTATTTTAATATGTAGAACTATGGCTGATCCAAAATGTCACTCATTGACCTCAAGGGATTGGTCCTGCCCCAATTTCCAAGTCCTTAAATATGTTTTATTCATGTAGATTGAAAGAACATTTGAAGAAACACAGTCACATATACCAGCAGTATATGTAGAGTAGTGCTCACTCTACTCCTTTCCTAGATTGTGTACGAAATAATGTACATAAGTTACTAGAAAGAGAGTTGGAGGAGGTGTACTGCTTGCCAAATGTGACGGCTTTTTCTTTTTCCACTATGTTCATATGTTGTTCTAATCTACGTGAACAAATGTATGCTTTTTTTCCACCTGTTGGAATAACAGTTACAACCCAGAAGTGATGGGAAACATTTTAAATGGTCAGTGTTCAAACAATATTCATTGTTTATTATAATTATTGCAGATAAATTATGGAGGAGATATTCCTAAAACGTACTATGTGCGCGATCAAGTGCAGCAGAACTATGAGCACACTGTGACCATCAACAGAGGCTCCAGCCAACAGACAGAATATGAGATTCTCTTTCCTGGATGTGTCCTCCGGTGAGTATACTAATAATGTCAAATTGGATATGTGATCTGTAGGCGAGGATATTTTATATCATAAGCTGATAGGTGGAGCTGTGGGGACCCTGCATGGAGCAAGTGACATGATAGAGTAGCAAGGTGCAAAGGTGAAAAATGGAGGTAGAAGTAGGGTAAGTGACATGGAGGAAAACAAAGTAATGGAGAGGGCAGAATACAAGCATAGAGAAACAATGGGCAAGTGACATGGATATATGGAAAGTTATATCAAGGGGTGGAGGTAAGTCAAGTGATATGGGGGAAAATTGTGACATGAAGGTGAGGTTTGGCAGGAACCCTTAACATGAGATAGGCTATTATTACTGATATATAAATAAGTTAGGTCAGGTGAAAAAAATAGTTAAGGTAGGGAGGAATAATAATGTTAATATGCATGATTAAATTAAGTAGAAAAGGCAAATATTATGAACGTAAACCCAATTCTGTGTGTCTATCATTCCATGACAGGTTCAATATATTACATTTATTTTGCTTAAAGGAACACTATAGTGTTAGGAATACAAACATTTATTCCTAACACTATAGTCCAGGAGTGGCTGTTTAGGTGACAGGCCCCCTCACAGGTCGGAGTGAAAAGGTATTTAAACTTACCGTTTCTCCCTCGCCATGCCTCCATGGCTGAGATCAATCAATCTTGATCATCTCAGCCAATCCAATGCTTTCCGATAGGAAAACGCCACGCTGCGCCAACTAGCATCTCCTCGTGAGAATTAATGCATCTCTAAGGGTAGCGTTTAGCATCTCAATACAGAGTGTAGAGACTCTGAACGTAGGTGTTGCACAGCGTGCAGCAATGAGATCGGAAGCACCTCTAGTGGCCGTCTGAGTGACTGCACCTAGAGGTGTTACTAGGCAGCAGTGTAAGTACTGCCTTTTCTCTGAAAGGTAGCACTTACATTAAAAAAATTGCATGGGCCGGCTATAGACACCAGAACAACTACATTAAGCTGTAGTAATTTTGATGTAGTAAAACAAGTAAGGTGTGCAACAAAAAGGGACCTTTTTTTTTTTTTAACTGCTCTAAGATCACTTAATCCTTAATCTGACTTTGCTGGCAGCACATTCATTTTGTAACATGATCTTCTCAATTATCCAGGTGGCAATTCCAATCTGATGGTGCAGACATTGGTTTTGGGGTATACCGCAAGACAAAAGCAGGGGAGAGACAGAAAGCAGGGGAAATGATTGAGGTACTACCAAATCAGAGATACAACGCCCACATGGTACCAGAGGATGGAACCCTGACATGTGCTGATCCTGGCACCTGTAAGTATTAATTTTTTTGCTATATTAACAATATTGCACTGCACATAAGGCTACTATTTTTCTGTACCTATGTCTGTATTTTTAATAATACTTTCAGTATTTTTCACATCACGTCATATAGAAAATGTTTTCTTGAAGCACAATGTCCAACCGTGTATTTGCTCATCCCTGTGTAAGCGATGTGTGTGCTTTGTTTTTCTATCACCTGATAATACCTTTGCATTAATTGATAAAGCACAAAATATTTTTAGATTTATAAAATATCACACAGATTGTAAATTATATGCGGCAGTCCAATTCAGCATGTGCCGGATTTCTGCCTACTAAATGAGAATATATTAATCAAATATTCGTATTTTTTTATTTGTGTAATGAGGTTCTGAAGCAGTGTCAATATTTCCTTTTTTTTCTGCAGTGTGCCTTATAGTGAGTGTAATTTTGATCCTTACTGTTAAAGGAATTATGTTTGTTATGCAACCATTGAACGCAGTGTGGAAGGTTCTCACAAAGAACGTACCTACATCTGCTCACAGTGTGTTCAAGCTCTGTTCTTTTTACCTTCTAGATGTTCTTCGCTTTGATAACACATACAGCTTTATTCATGCCAAGAAGATTGGCTACACTGTGGAGGTCCTGCTGCCTGATCGCAGTTCCGAGGAAAAGATAGAGCAGCTAGAAAAGAAGATGGAGAGTAGCCTCAGCCTCTAAAGTAACCATTAAGGATGGATTCTTCTCTCAAAAACGATTACAAGGTCCCAAAATGCAATGTTTCCATATGACATACATGCAACATGTTAAACGGTTTATAGGTTTGAGTGCCCTGCATTTGGTTATTTTGTGACTGAAGTAAGACATTCAGAAATCCTTTTATCCCTCTTTGTTCCTGAGTGGCCTACTTTGAAATCAGAGACTACAAGGCCAAGTGACAAATTATTAATAGTTATCTCTTAATGAACAGGTGATACATGAAGATAGGTGAAGGCTGTTATAATACAAATTACATTTTCATACTTGAATGGCTGTGAGATAAGGTACTACCCAGTCACTCTGCTTAGAACGCTCTTTAACCTTACAGTGTACCTTGTGTTGTTTACCGTTATTCTGTAATACAAAGTGAACCACGTTCTAGAATTAGTTTTTAAAAATCTAGGAAATGTCCAATTTGTATCCAAGAATCCATAACTGGTGTTATCCACAGAGAACCTTGTTCACCTTAGCACCCCTGGTATTATAATGTTCTGTGTGATATTTCAGGTAAAAGTTGGCTCTTTAGCTATTGATTTGCACTGCCCGTGAACCTTGGTAAGATTATACCAGGCTAGCTGACATAGGAGTTTAATTTAAAGAATAGTCAGATAGTTCCAGGATTCAAGCTACTGAAATATATTAACATGTGTTCAGGAGTTCAGTAAGAGCCAAAGAGCCACTAAATGTTAGTTGGGTTCTGCAATAGTGAGTGAGATCATTTCTGTTTACTTGACAGGCGTGCAGTCTTCTTTGAGATGTAATATATATGTATTTACTGTTAAAGAAACAGTAACACTCAAAGAGCACGTTTAGTGCACGCCAAATATGTATGTAAAAAGTTATAAAATGTGCATATGTTTACTGCCATCAATAACATTATACAGACTGTAGCAGACTGGGAGCTGCCATTAATTTAATCACATATGTGAATTTTCTAGATGCCAACCATGCTTTATTGGCTGCAAATGGAAGCCTCCAAAAATCAAAATACAGATTTGCTTTCTGCTTATTTTTGTCTCCTCTTTCCTAGTAGAATGCATAATGATAATACCTGTTTTCTGTAATATCCAGGGATCTTTGCAGGAGTAAAATACACAGTCACTACGTCCCATAGATTTGCGTGCAAAGTGGTCTTAGTGTGTAATTTTATACTAACACTATTTATACCAAAGTATAAATACTACTAACATCTTACTATGTTCTAGTGCAGACTTCTTCACAGTTAGTTATATTCTGCCTGTGTAAACTAGCTTTCATAAACTTTATTTCAGCAGCTCCCAGCCTTGTACTAATCTGTACGATCAGCATCCTAGCAAACCATTGGTATCATTATGTATAAAATGCATGATGTCAATGGGTGTTTTAATCTCGTCTAGCAGTGGCTTTGGATTCATCCTTCAGTACATTGCAACAGGTCAGAAACCTTTATTCTAATTGACATCATAGGAATGCAAATTTACTTATACGTGAGACACATTCATACTACACATAGGCTTAATTAATGGGCTTTATTCCTGTATGGTGCTCACAGTATATTGGGACTGGGCAGCAAATGTTTCTGTGTAGTGTGTCTGTGGTTATGTGGTCAAAAAAAGTAGACCTGAAATTGCATGTTGGTTCTCAGTTTTTTTTGTTTTTTTTCCCCTTGAGTCTATCTTTGTGTTTTACAAGATCTCAATGATACTTTGAAGTTTGGGTTTGCAAAGCTTGTACTATGTAAAATATAGAAATTGCTGGGAGTTGCTGAGTGCAAGTCTCCATAAAAACAAACTTTGCACAACACCATAGAGTGGGGAAAAAAGAAACCTTTCTGCAACACGAAAAAGCACTCTGAAACGTAAGCAGACAAATTCAAATGTAATATCCCCCCCTCTTCCTCAAAAATTAGTTTCATAAAGATAAAATCTTTATTAAAAATGACTCACATTGACAGTCACAGTCAAAGATATACTAAGAAAAAAAGTCTTCGTATATTTCCTACACTTGTCAAAAAGGCAGAGCTACCACCATCACTAATGACAGCTCCAGGAAAAAACGAGACATTGTCTGTGGAGAGTCTCACGGAATCCTCCGTAGGCCTCAGTGTTGTATGATAGTACAGCAATGACATGGGCTACAGGCAGATGAAGTGCCAGTAGCTGAAAAGGACCAGCAGGAAGGCCATAAGGGCAGCCACAAGGGACACGTTCAGCTAAGTAAAACTCACCTTCCACTGCACACCGCAGCCAAAGACCACCCAGTGGAGCAGTCCCCTTCCGTTGGCAGGCCCGCTTTAAACGTTATACATAAAAATACAAAAAGCTTGGCTCCTTTCTGCATACAAATATATAACTAAATACAATGTCACATTCCTTATGTTTTAAAAGGTACAAAATGTGCTTGAGTGTTAGGAATAGGTATTTTAGATATAGTTCTCCTTTAATTAGAATGCGGTGATCAGTTTTTTTATGATTTTCCTTGATACGCATAAGACAAATTTTATAGCACTAAAATTATAAGAAAATGAAGAGACTAATGGGGCAGAGTTGTTTTTAATGAAAGCAATTGGTGTTGAATTCCACTGCTTTTCTAGGTAAATAAGACTAACTTAGAGAATTGTGAGTTTAATTAAAAAAAGTAATATATAATTTTAAGTATTCCTGTTGTGCCTCCTGTTTTGCCATCCTTAATACCCATGTGCTGTTTTGAAGTTTGTTATAATTTTTTATGATTTTGAATAAAGCTGCTTCCAAAATATTTTGTGTTTTTTCTTTGATAACTGCATGGAACATGTTTTATAGTGTAATTTCTTCTATGTATATTATTATCTAAGGCAAGTACACAAAAGTATTTGGCTTGTATGACATCTACTATAGTAAGAGTAGTACTAGTGGTGGTGTATCTTAAAAAGGGACACTATAGGCACCAGAACCATTACAGCTTAATGGAGTATATCTGGAACTAAGCAGTATAAACATTGCCTTTTCTGAGTTTACACTGCTGCCCACCACTACCACTAATGGCTGTGTCTCTGCATGCAGATGTTCAATGCATTTCTAAGAGGAGATGCTGATTGGCATAGCGTGGCTATTTGCAGAACATGTGTACTAGTCCCCAAACACTTCCCTATAGGGATGCACTGGGTAGGCCAAGATCATGAAAACCATCTGGGGCTGGGGCAGTAAAAAAATTTTTGTAGTTTGCGAGGAAGCCAACACTTTTAAGTGAACTGTTATACTTGGACCAAAAATTTTCCCTAACTGTCTTTTCAACCCATACTGTTATGTAACTAATATACGTGGAACATGGATTTTATCCTCTTGCAAATGCACCACTAGACTCTCACAAACTACAGATGTCACTACCAGGGCTGCCATCAGAAATGTTGGGGCCCCTGACACTGCTCAAGGTCTGGGCCCCCCAGTGCCTGCACCAGAGTCCGCCCAAACAGTCTAAAACAAATGTAGACATCGTTTTAGCAGGTCTGTGGCAAAACAAGACTCTAAAATTACTTGGAAGATAAATCATGATATCTACATTTGACTAAACTGAACGCAGGAATAAAATACCGGATTCAGAATTTTCCTCCAACTCGACTATGGTCATATCTTGGCTATTTAAGCCTCAATTTTGCTATTTGATTTTTAATTCTCTGTGATTCACTCTTTAATGAACAAATACCATATGGGTGTTTGAGGTAAAAAACATTTTGTTTGTTTTCCAGTTCCTGGATAAAGAACTGCGTGAGAGAACTTTTTAAAGTACAGACTATGCAAAACCTGAAACTGCAGGTCCCTCTGGTGGCAGAGTGGAATGTGAATACACTTATTTGTGAATTATTTACATTGTTTTCCTAATCATTCTACACTCAATCGCCTAGAAGGACAACTCAAAAAAAATTATTCTTTATTTTAAATTTATGTTTTTAAACTAAAAGTCAGTACATACATATACAAAAATAGCTTAGAGTAAAGCAGAAAGGTTTGTTACAGTGTAGTATCCATTAGTTAGGATATTTTGCGATTTGTTGAGCTGGTTTGACCTCTGTTCAATCTCAGGTTGTCCCCATCGAAGAGTTCTTTGGTTTCAGTTATGAATATGTGGTCCCTTATAGTTGGGGTCTGCCTGATGAGAAGAGGGTTTTTAGTTCTAGACCGCATTTGGTTGGCTGAAGGATTGGGGAATTCAGTTACCACTGTCTTGTCCTGTCCGGATTCATGTCCGAAGGGGATGTGGGGGTGGTCACTGGTTTGGCCCCTGAGTTATTTAGTCTGTGTGCCCTGGCAGGGAGGCATAGTAGGGGTAAGATTGTGAGATGAGAAGGGTAGTGGGTCATTGAGAGAGGGGAAAGTGGGAGTGTGAATACGGTTAGTAGGAAAGGTAGATAATAAGTTGACGTGGTCACCGAGAAGTGTGGTCATCCTTTGTAGCTTGCGGTCCCACCCCTCAGGGAAGGGTGTTGGATTGGGGAAAAAGGGCTAGGGTAAGGATCTGGCATTATTTGGCGTGTTGAGGTGGATTCTGCTTGGTGATTAGCATGATGTAGGAGTTTTGAGGTTAATAGGTGTCTGTCATATGGTTCTAGTGAGCCTGTTACCAAGGTAGGTAGGTGTCTCCAGTTAGCCACGGGTCCCAGATTTTGTGGAAGATTTTGGGTGTGGCAAATTTATTAAAAAGAAAAATTAAATATTACATTGGCGTAAGTATTCAGACCCTTTGCTATGAGAATTTAGCTTGAATGCATTTCATTTCTCTTGATCAGTGAGTGGTTTCTACATTTTGATTAGCGTCCACCTGTGGCAAATACCATTGATTAGACATGATTTCCAATGAATTTAAGGCAAAATTAGCTGAATTGGAAAAATTCTTCTTGAAATGTACTCCAAAAGCATCGAAGGGCAATGCTTCAAAAACTAGGAGGAGTTCCCAGGGAGGAGAGAACGAACTGGTGGTCTAATATGAAACATTGCAGAAAGAAAAGCCAAACAAGTACCGGTCAAGGTATAGAGGTCAGATACCTGAAGGCTGGACCACCCTGGAGGAAATCGAACACATTCTTCAGAGAGGGATAATGCTGTAATCTCTAGAAGCTGAGCACATTGAGCAAACATAATACAAAGTCATGCTCTTAGTCACAGGCTGTTGTGAGGGTAAACAATACAATTGGTCAGCAGTACATAGTAAAAACAGAGCTTGTTGACACTGAATGTTGAATGTTGCTGAACCATCAACATAGTTAAAACTTTATTTTGCTATAACATAGAAAGGCACAATATTGCTATAGTGTTATTGGATACGTCCTGTAATTTGTTAAATATATAAATAAAAAATTGCCTCAAGTAAAGAACCAAAAGCTAAATGGCTGTGTGAAGCTGCCTCCCCTACAATCGGCACAAATAAAAAAGCCAATGTGTTTCGTGCTATGTTTGTGCTGTAAAAATTAAGATTTGTGCTGCTTTTATTAAGAGAATTAGCAATTAAATAAAGGTCACCAAAGGTTAACCAGCCCCTCTACAACAACCAAACAGCATGAAATCAGGCTGGTTAGTTAGTGCTGTGTTTGGGCTGGTTTGTGCCGTTTAAATCTTGGTGCTCTCTCATTTCATGTTCAAGTTATTAACAAATTAATAACGTTCACCAAAGGTCCCTCAACCTCCCTACAACTGCCAAAAGACATGAAACCGGGCTGCTTGGTTTGTGCCGTTTGAGTTTTTATTTGTGCTGCTTTGTGTTTTGGGGGTTTTTTTGACAAAGAAAATGACGTAACCCGCCATCCAATTTGACTGAGCGGTGTAAAGTTGGCAGCCATGTTTTTTTAAAATGTGATGAAAAATACGCCATTCATTTGTGCTGTAAAAATTTAGTTTGTGCCGATTTGGTATGGAAGATATTATGCATTATATATGGTCAAACTCCGCCCACTTTGCACCACATATTACATTTTAAAAACAAAATATGCCATTTGTTTGTGCTGCATTTGTGCTGTAAAAATTAAAGGGACACTATAGTCACCTGAACAACATTAGCTTAATGAAGCAGTTTTGGTGAATAGAACATGCCCCTGCAGCCTCACTGCTCAATCCTCTGCCATTTAGGAATTAAATCCCTTTGTTTATGAACCCGAGTCACACCTCCCTGCATGTGACTTGCACAGCCTTCCATAAACACTTCCTGTAAAGAAAGCCCTATTTAGGCTTTTATTGCAAGTTCTGTTTAAGATTTTCTTATCCCCTGCTATGTTAATAGCTTGCTAGACCCTGCTAGAGCCTCCTGTATGTGATTAAAGTTCAATTTAGAGATTGAGATACAATTATTTAAGGTAAATTACATCTGTTTGAAAGTGAACACAGTTTTTTTTTTCCCATGCAGACTCTGTCAATCATAGCCAGGAGAGGTGTGGCTAGGGCTGCATAAACAGAAACAAAGTGATTTAACTCCTAAATGACAGTGAATTGAACAGTGAAATTGCAGGGGAATGATCTATACACTAAAACTGCTTTATTTAGCTAAAGTAATTTAGGTGACTATAGTGTTCCTTTAAGATTTGTGCTGCTTTTTGTTTGACTTTGCGTCAAACACTATTACTTTATAACAATATACCTTTCATCTGAGCTGCTTTTTTCTGATTTTGTTTATGTTTGTGCCAGTATGTTTTTGGAAATATTGAGCTTTATATTTGATTAAACAACACCCATTTTGCAATCCATGTTATTACATTTTAAAAGAAAATACACAGTTTTATTGTGTTGCTTTAGTGCAGCAAAAGTTTACATTTGTGCCAATTTTGTTTAGGAGATATTAAGCATTGTATACGATTAAACCCCGCCCACTTTGCAAAGCTTGTTCGGTTTTGTTCCTCAGCATTGGGTCGGCACTCCACCTCTTCCGACATCCAACAGGGAGACCAAATGCACATGCGTGGCAATCGCCGCAAGTGCGTTAGGCCTTCCCCACACACAGACACAGCCCCAATACACACACACACACACACACACACACACACACACACACACACACACACACACTGCACCTCTCAATTACACTGACCCCCACACACACTGCACCCCTCACACACAAACACATTGTTCCTTCATACATACACTCAGAGTTGGTGCAATGATTTCTGCCGCCCTAGGCAAAGATCCATTTTGCCGCCCCCTCACTGACAGGCACACACACACACACTCACTGACAGACATATACTTACTCAGTGACACACACACACACACACACACACAGTGACAGTCATACACTCACTCAGACACACATACACACAGGCAGACACTCAGTGACACACAGAATCAACACAATTTTATTTTTTGTGGCCCATCCAGCCTCCCTACCTCCCTGGTGTCCAGTGTGGGGCAGCTCCTCACTCCTCCAACGCGCCATTTTGTATGCCGGGGGCCGGAATGAAGTCATATTCCAGCTCCCAACATCAAAGAGGGCACGCAAGGGAGGAGCGAGAGGCTGCAAGAACAGCCTCCCTCGCCGCCTGGCTTCTCCTTCCTCCGGTCACCAACATTTGTTGGCAGAGCAGGCACCTGCCATCAAGGTAAGCAGGTACCTGCTCTGTCTGACCTAGCACAGCTTTGGGGGCACCCTAAGGTGGCCAAATGGGCACCTTGAGGATTGGCCCGGCGCTGGAGGCGGCTCAAGAGCCGCTCACCCAGTGCTGCGATCCCAGACATGGGGAGCCCACCAGTAAATATCACGATGGGCACCCCCAACAGGCCAGCGCCCTAGGCGAATGCCTAGTTTGCCTAACGGTTGCGCGATCCTGCATAAACGACACCCCTCTCACACACACGCACTACCCCCTCCATACACACACTGCGACCCTCACACACTCTGCCCCTATCCCGACAGACCCCAGGTAAGTTATCAAACTGTTTTTTTTTTTTGTTTTTTTTAATGGTATGACTCCTTAATCTGTCAGTGAGTGTTTCAAATCAGTGAGATTTTGTGTCGGTCATTGAGAGTGTGTGTCAGTAAGTCTGTGATCCTAGGATTGGCCCTGTGTATAATGGTATAGTATGTTATTGCAGGTTATATTTTAGACCTTTAATTCGTGTTATCAGCATTGTCAGGTGGACAGTATTGATTGGTTGTCACTTTAGTCTCCCACTCGAATGTTGGAATGGAGCTGGTGGTACCACCCGCATTTTGTTGCTTTATTTCACATCTCAATTGCCCAGCCAATCGGTAGCTCCCCATTCATAAAAATTTATGTACCTTTTTTTATGAATGAGGAGCTACTGATTGGCTTAGAGAGTGTCAGTTCTAGACAATTATCATCATTTATAAAGCACCAACATTTCCACAGTGCTGTACAATGGGTGGACTAACAGATAAGTATTTGTAACCAGACAAGTTGGACGCACAGGAACAGAGGGGTTGAGGGCCCTGCTCCATGAGCTTACATGCTAGAGGGAATGGGGTATAGTGAAACACAAGGTAAGGGTACGATAGAAAATAATTCATGGAGGGCTTAGTGTTTTTTTTTGTTTTGTTTTTTTAAAACAGCTGCAGAAGAGGAATCAGGATGCGGGGAGGGAAAGCTTTTAACAATTTAATTGATACATTTTTCTGAAGAAGTGAATTTTCAATGCTTTTTTGAAGGAATAGAGACTGGTTAAAAGTCTATCGGAGAAGGGAGTTCCACAGGAACTGTGCAGCCCTGGAGAATTCTTGAAGGCGACCAGAGGTGGGAGTACGGACAGAGGATAGACATAGGTCTTCAGCAGAACACAGGGGCCTAGATGAGACATACTTGTTTATTATTGAGGATTAGTGATGTCGCGAACATAAAATTTTCAGTTCGCAAACGGCGAACTTCCGCAAATGTTCGCGAACTGGCGAACCGCCATAGACTTCAATAGGCAGGCGGATTTTAAAACCCACAGGGACTCTTCTGGCCACAATAGTGATGGAAAAGTTGTTTCAAGGGGACTAACACCTGGACTGTGGCATGCCGGAGGGGGATCCATGGCAAAACTCCCATGGAAAATTACATAGTTGATGCAGAGTCTGGTTTTAATCCATAAAGGGCATAAATCACCTAACATTCCTAAATTGTTTGGAATAACGTGCTTTAAAACATCAGGTATGATGTTGTATCGATCAGGTAGTGTAAGGGTTACGCCCACTTCACAGTGACAGACCAAACTCCCCGTTTAACGCACCGCAAGCAACCGCAAACAGTCCATTTGAACAAGGTTGGATACCAAGCTAGCCATGTCCCGTTCCTTGTCCTCACTGAGGTCATTGAAGGTCTCTTCCTCCACCCAGCCACGTACAACACCAAGGGTCCCCAAAAGGTGACAACAAGCCCCATGGGACGCCTGCTGTGTTTGGTCTTCCACCTTCCTTCAGACTCCTCTCTCTGCGTTATTATAAGGTGTGTTAAGTACTACTATTCCTGTCAGTTTAATCCCGGTTACGTCCCCTATCAGGGGATGTGTATATGGCATAGATTTTAGGAACCGGGAGATGGAAAAAGATGCTTGGTCGGTCATCCTTCTTCAAATTTGGGGCACTGCACGTGCAATCTAATGTGCCACCAGATATGAGTTGCACTGGTGTGACACTGTGCCCTGGCAGGCCCTGAAACGCACACGCGTGAAGGAAACTGGCTGCTTTTATATTACAGTCCAAAGTTTTTTTTTGTTAAATGCAAGCTATTGTGACACCGGATATGAGTGGTGGCACTGGGCACAGTATACGCTGTGAGCCTGACACACACGCTGGCAGACAACTAACTGCTATTCAATCTATTACAGTCAAAATTTTATTTTTTTTTTTAAATGTACACTACTGTTACACCAGATATGAGTTGCACTGGTGTGACACTGTGCCCTGGCAGGCCCTGAAACGCACACGCGTGAAGGAAACTGACTGCTATTATATTACAGTCCAAAAAGTTTTGTTTTTTTTAAATGCAAGCTATTGGGACACCAGTGAGTGAGTGGTGGCACTGGGCAAGTGGGCACAGTATATGCTGTGAGCCTGACACACAGGCTGGCAGGCAGGCAGGCAACTGCAATTACATTACACAGAAAGAAAAAAAAAAAAAGCAGACTGATGTTCTAGCTCTAAAAAGAGCTTTTTGGGGTGCTGTCCTTACAGCAGAGATCAGAGGAGTCCTTCAGGACTGTAGTGGACCCTGAATACACTAGCTTAGCTATCAATTTCCCTATCAAATCAGCAGCAGCTACACTGTCCCTCCTCTCACTAAGAATGCAGCTTCACAATGAATGTAAAATGGATGCTGTCCAGGAGGTGGGAGGGTCTGCTGCTGATTGGCTGGAATGTGTTTGCTGACTGTGAGGTACAGGATCAAAGTTTACTCAATGATGACGAATAGGGGGCAGACCGAACAGCGCATATGGTCGCTGTCCGTGCCGAACAAGTTCACCATAACTTCATTTAGATTAAGTTGTTATGGTGACTGGGGTATCTCTTTAAGATGATCATAAATAGCATCATATCATTATGTGTATTTAAAAATCTGGCATTTCAAATGACTCCTTTCCCTTTTCAGGTTTCAAATAAAAAAAGAAAAAAAAAAATATTCCAATAAAGTGCTTATTTAAAAGCTTACTTTGCCTCCTTCTAAGGACTTGTTTAGCAATTTGTAAGGGTTGGGGCCTAAATCAGTGTCATATTGGGTGCTGGATTACAGAATATTCCCGGAAAGAAAAGAAAACTGTTATAACCAAAAAAAATAAAAACAAAGCAGCACAAACTGTGACAAACGCTCCTTACTCTGGGCGTTTGCCACAAACTCCAGGAGGAGTGTGGAAGCTAGCCTCTTGCCCACTGACTATGGGCCATATACATACTGACAAATGCAATTTTTTCCATTCTGTTCTCAAGAAATTTCCCTACAATTTCGTTTTTATAGTTTCCTGAACAGAAACACTTTCTCTGTGTCCGGTAGATAAGTCTACAGAACACCGACCACTCCCCTGGCTCATTAACTACAAAGAAACCACAGACTTAAGTGCTTTCACTGTGTGGCCAGCATTCGTATAACCGAACGCCATGTGCTGGAGAAAACGATGGCCATCTTGTTGCATGAATGCAGGCAGCTGGACTTGGTCGTCGAGTGTCGGACACTCTACCTCGCGAACACCGGTAAAATCATACGAACGCCTGCTTCTTTCCCGAACAAGCCAGGAGAGCACTGTTCGGTAGGCTTGTTCGCATGAACAAGGCTAACAAACGCTACCTATGAGCCAGGGGAACCTTTCAACAGTTTGTTCAAAACTTTTCCCCCGGTTGCAATTCATCTGTATTCGTGGGATCTGAGCACTATTTGGACAACTTGAGCGCTCAGATCCAGGCTATCCAGGAATATAATATTTGTGGGAGTTCCTATATGTCTTATATGTATTGCTAATATTTTATGCATGTTATGTTTTTATGCCTAGTCATTCTGACTCAAAAGATTCATGGGCGTGTTGTGGGTGTATCCTTGCTGTGTTTATAAGTGGGCCATAATAACCTTCATGAAGTTTAGGCTGATGTTTGGGTATACCAGAGCAATAATAACTGCTTCACTTGGGATTTGGGAGAACTACTACGGATATACTCAGTCGAAATATAGGGTATCCGTTACACAAACAAATATTTTAACATACAAAACGTAGCACAAACAAATTGTATATTTATTATTGTTTAATTACACATAATGCTCAATATTTCCAAAAACAAACTGGCACAAATAATTCTTGCAGCACAAACCATCAAAAAATGTAGCTCTAATGAAAGGTATCTTTGTTTTTACAACATAATAATGTTTGAAGCTAAGCGGGTGGAGTTTGATCATATGTAATGCTTAATATCTCCAAATCCAAAGTAGCACAAACAATTTTTTGCAGCACAAACTAATGGTATATTCGTATTTACAATTTAAAAATATGGGGTGCCAACTTTACACAGCTGAGTCGAATTGGATGGCAGGTTATATAATTTTCCATGAACAAAGTGTTATAACTTAAAAACCAAAGATGCACAAATACAAATTTGAACTGCACAGACCAGCAAAGGTGCAGCACTAACCAACCAGCTAAATGTCATCTGTTTTGGATCTTGTAGGGGGGCTGGCTAACCTTTGGTGACCTTTATTAAATTGCTAATTCTCTGAATAATAAAATCAGCACAAATCTTAATTTTTACAGCACAAACCCAGCACTAACGAAACACATTGGATTTTTTATTTGTGCCGATTGTAGGGGAGGCAGCTTCACACAGCCAAGCTAAATATATATACAGCAATGATTTAGCAAAAAACATCATAAATCCTTGCTCAAATCAGTATATAAGGGGTTAAGTATCAAAAGCTTTAGTCTCATGCAATGTTCAGACTGGTTTTGTTTAAACAAACATTATTTTACAATTCAAATACAAAATGAAAAAAATATATGGAATGATAGATAGAATGATAAATAGATATACAGATAGATAAATGGGCAAAAAAAGTCCACCCTACCCTCCTGTATCTGTATGAAGCAGTGATGGACAGAGACACACTGTGGATTTTTTTTTTTTTACTCTGACCTGATCACACAGTGTCCGCCTGGTTTGCCTTCACCTCTTTGTCTGCAGCAGGAAATGTAACATTTAAACCTTGCGCCCAGGTCGGTGCACAGTCGGTCATGTGACAACTGCTGGCTCCTTATTGGCTGAAAGCGAGCGACTGACAACAACATCCCGAGACTCGGAACTCAAAGACACGTGTTGGGTATTATATGTGAGTACCGTGTGTGCCAAGAGGAGAACTGCCACCATAACCACTGACACTCCTTATAATGAGACCTCCTAGTATTGAGCACACACCGCTGTACTGCTAACACTATATCCATACTCTACACTGCCTCCACAGCTCATTACTGGAACGGATAGTGTGAAAACAAAACACACACACACACATATATATATATATATATATATATATATATATATATAGTAATATGACCTGCTCTATCTATACAGTGTATATAGTAATATGACCTGCTCTATCTATGCAGTATATCTATATATATATAGTAATATGACCTGCTCTATCTATACAGTGTATATAGTAATATGACCTGCTCTATGTAGTATATCTATATATATATATAGTGTAATAGGACCTGCTCTATCTATGTAGTATATCTATATATAGTAATGACCTGCTCTATGTAATATATATATATATATATATATAGTAATATGACCTGCTCTATCTATGCAGTATATACAGTACCATGGCTAGCTGCTCCCAGTAACATGCCCTTCTTGCTCCCTTTCTAGCACTGTACTATGTACAGACAGTGAATGTCCTGTGGCTAGCTGTCACCCTGTAGTAATGTTCTGTCCCCGCTCTGCTTGCTCCCCTCCCCATTCTATTTTAGGAAGGTACTCTCTCTCTTGTTCTGTGCTCCGGTTTCCTGTCTGCAGTGTCCTTCCTGGGGGTGATCCCTATCACAGTGTGTGTACCGCCCCCTTCAGATCAACCATGGGACACGACCCCGACAGCGGCTCAGCTCAGCCAGACCTCTATAGAGACACGTGGGTGCGATACCTGGGTAAGAGATCCCCTTACTGCAATTAGTTAATGTTACTTCTCCCAGGTTTCACTAACTGCTCATGTTAATGTGTTCTCATCATGGCTTATCCTTTTCATATGTTTGGCTCTCATTTATATGACCTCCATTAAAAGGTCAATAAAAGGTTAGGTATAGGATCATACACAGCATACACTATATCATGGAGATATTTAAATGTCTGCATGTACACATTGTTCTGTTTGTGTCTAGTTCTTGTGCAATGTTTATTGGTTGTCAAGTTACTGACTGTGAATGTTATGCTTTGGACAATGTTCTGCTGGGAAACCTTGCATCCTGGCATTCATGTGGATGTTGCTTTGACTCCTACCAACTACCTAGAGATTGTTGCAGACCACATACGCCACTTCTTGGCAAAGGTGTTCCCTGATGGCATTGGCCTTTTTCAGCAGTATTAATGTTTTAATGTTGTGGTTGTGTGTGTAAAAAAAATTGATTTTATTTTTAAATTACTGTGTTATCCCAAAAATAATACCAGCCTTATATAAATTCCCCCCTCCCACCCCTCCTGAAAAATGCACTAGGGCTTTTATCCAGGGAGCTCTTATTTTGGGAAAACACAGTAGCAAGCATGTGCTTGAAAGCAGGTCTACGTTCAGGTGAATTCCCCCAAACATAGAACCGTTCACTAGTGCATGGAATCCCGCAAACCTATGTTCAGGAAAACTTTGCCAAACACAGATTAGTTTACTTGTAAGTGGAATCCCGTGAATCTATGTTCCAGGAAACTTTTCCGAACACAGATTAGCTTACTCGCGCATGGAATCCCGCAAAATCTATGTTCGGGAAAAATTCCCCAAACATAGATTAGCGAACTAGTAACTAGGACTTATTTTTGGGGTAGGGCTTATATTACAGGCACCCCCTGAAAATAAGTTTGCGCTTATTTTTGGGGAAATACACTATATATATATATATATATATATATATATACACATACACACACATTGTTTTGTTTTTTATTTCCCTCTCCCCCCTCACTCTGGTCTTCAGAAAGATATTTATGACCCTCTGCAAGAATGGATTCTATTTTCTAACAAACCTGTGTCTCATCTGCACTCATGTCGCCTTAACCCCTGTATCACAACTCAACTTTGAATTCTATGTGTCGTCTTGTTTAGAAATGCTTTAGACTTGAGAAAGGGAGGTTCTCCCGAAAGCTTGTCATTAAAAATTCTGTTGTTCCAATAAAAAAAAAAAAAAAGCTCACCCCTAAGCCTGCTGGCACTCTGCATGTCGCTCATAATGCTAGCTCAGCAAGACTTAAGACAACCATGAACCCGGTGTATCCTCTGTGCACAAACTTAAGCCACAAGTGTCTACTTCTTAGTTCCCATTCCCTACCCGGCACTGAGCTTACCTCACCTGAGTTTAATCCCTCTAATATGCATCAATATGTCACTATAACGCTACAGCCACTCTCTTCCTACCTGGCATATTCTATTTTAACACGTTATCAAAAAAAATAAATTAAAATGGGCAATTATATATGTCATGTTATATGTATTGATTAGCCTGTACTCGCTGTTGTGGCATTATGGGCAATGTTATATATAAACTTCACTTCAAAAATAAAGAATTATAAAAATAAATTGAAATTGAGTTTGAATTCCTGACAATTCCTAATTTAATGAAGAACTCTGTGTGCAGCGAAAATAAAGTGATGCAGTCTATTGAAAAAATGACTTCTGTTAAATGCCGACATTGAATCTGTTCTGTTACAGGATATGCAAATGAAGTGGGGGAATCATTCCGTGCACTCATCCCTAAATCATTAGTTTGGGCTAGTTATGGAGTGGCCACCGCCTATGTTACCGCAGATGCAGCAGATAAGGGACAGAAGGCGTCAAAGGTTAGTACATGGTTGGATTGGAGAGATACTGGTAGAGAAGTCCTTTCAAGCCTTTAATGCCTTCTTTCTTAGGCCAACGTGGATGATCCTAACAAGACTACTCATGTCACTGTAGCGGTTATAGACACCTTCATATGGCAAGCTCTTGCCTCTGTGGCCATTCCAGGATTTACCATTAACCGAATCTGTGCAGCTTCGCTCTACCTCATGGGAAGGGTAACCAAATGGCCCCTCCCACTTCGTAAGTGGGCAACCACTGCAGTAGGACTGTCTGCAATTCCAGTTATAATAAAGCCAATTGACAGGTGAGTGCCTTCTAAAGTTGTGATCTACCAATAGCGGTTCAGATTTTTAGTTCACACTTTGCATCTCATGAATAGCATGACCACTTTTAGTCATTTGTGCAAGCAACAACCTTTTAGTTAAAGCAACTATTCAGGCACAAAAACAACCTTATTTAAATTATGGCGGCAGGAAGCACTTACCTCAAGAGGTTAAACCCCAAAGTTGCCTCCACTGGCACTGTCCACTTCCCCTCCAGGCAACATCTGGCTTCTGAATTTAGATTCAGGAAGCTCAGAGTGCTTCTGGGCAAGGGGGGGGGGGGATGCTGATTGGCTAAGAGTAGTCAGCTGACACTCCCCATTCACTAGACTGGCTTGGAAAAGGTATGTTTCTTTCCAAGCTAGTTTAGTAAATGATTGGCAACTTTGTGTTTAACCCCTTAAGGACAGAGCTTCAGAAGCTTGTCTTTCACTTAATGACAACAGCATTTTTTGCTGTTTGCGTTCAACTGAAATTTGCATTTTACTAATTTATTGCACCGACACATATTATATATTGTTTTTTAAAGGACAGAAAGGGCTTTAATTTGATGTAACACACATATATATATAAATGCATATTTATTATAAAAAAAATACAGAAAAATGCAAAAAAAAAATAAATAAGTTTTGTTTTATAGTTTTTGCAATAATAATGTGTGCATAATTAGTGCAGGTTAAGGAAAGTAATTTAAAAATTCATTTAGTTCTGATTTACAGAATATATAATGTGTCTGGGATTTTAAGTTTTTTTTGGTAGTTACAGGTCACAAAGCACAAGGAGTAAAATAAACTTTTAATATGGAGCGATTTTAGAATTTGGTAGGTTTGTATTGTAAGCATAGGGTTGTTTTGACATTTTCTACGTAGCCATTTCACCGCCAACCTCTGCTAAATATTGGAGTAAAATTGTGTTTTTTTTTGGTTTTTGGCACACAAACTTATAACAAAGAAATTCTCATGTGTATTTTGTAAAGTTGGTGTGTGCTATTCCTGTACAAAGTTTTTTTGTGTTCAGTTACATCTGCTGAGTAAAATGACACCCCTATTGTATGGCTTTGGCACTATTTCGTGAAGTTACAGTGCCATAGAGGAGGCCTGTTCTTTTCAGTATTCACAGTAGAATTTTGAGAAGCGGATTTAATGGGCCTGTGCTTCCATTTGGGGTACTATAACAGTTTGACTGTTCAAAAAAAACCCCACAAAGGCCTACCATTTGTAAAAGTAGACACTCCAGGGTATCTCATAAGGTGCATATTGTGCCTTAACATGCCCCCATTTCTTCACCAGTATATGCCAAAGTATGTGGTAAAAAATAAGTGTTTTTTTTTTTTTTACACATGGATTGCATTTTCGCTGGGCATTTTGTATATTTCACATGTGCCACTAAGTTCAAACCCCCCAAATTATGCTCAGCTAAGTCTTCTGAGTAAAAAGACACCCCCAATGAATGTCTATGGCACTATTTTGTGAAGCTACAGTGCCATATAGGAGACCAAGCCATATCAGTTTTTACCGAATTTTGACGCTGGGCCTATGTGCAATTTCCAAGCATCTTAGCAGGGTTTAAATTCAAACTGCCCCACAAAAGCCTACCATTTCTTAAAGAAGACATCCTAGGGCAATTCAAATGCCATATTTTGAACCTTAGCGTGGGATCATTTTTCCACTAGCTTGTACCAAGTGTAGTGGTAATAAGCATTTTTTCCTGCCTTTTTGACACACAAAGTGAGTTTGCTCAGGTATATGTGGATTTTGAAGGGGCGCATTTGAGACGCAGCCAGTTTTTTTTTTCTAACTTTGAAGGTTTACGCTTTGTCCATGTTCCAATTTGGAGTAGTTTAGACGGTTGGTTATTGAAACCTCCCCACAAACACATACTATTTATTAAAGAATACACCCTGGGGTAATTCAGAAGGCATATTTTGAACCTTAGTGGGGGATCATTTTTTCTCTAGTTTGTTCCAGGTGTAGTGGTAATGAGCATTTAAAAAAATAATAATTTACTTTTGGAAACTTTTTACTTTTAAGTTTTTTTACCGTTAACCCCTAACTAGCAGTAAGCAGCACTAACAGTAAATTCCCCATTTTCCCATAACTCCCACCCAACCCAGCTAGCAAAATATATAATTATAAAATATTTAAATTAAATAAATTGAACTCCTGAGGGTTAAAAAAATAAATAAAAGTTAATCCTCAGGAGTTAAAAAAAATTAGATCACTGTAGGCAGTGATCGACTGGCAGGGAAGGGGTTAATTTTTATTTGGACTGGGTAAAGGGGGGTGTTTTTTTTCTACTTAAGTTTTTTTTAGCTTAGTTTTTAACTAAGTTTATTTTAAAAAACTTTTAACGTTAACCCCTAGTTAGCCTCACACCAAATCCCCCACTAACTTCCACCCACCCCAGCTAAATATATAATTTTTAAATATTCAAAATAGTTTAACCCGAGTGTTAAAATAAAAAAAATTAAAAAAATTAACCCTCAGTAAAAAAAAAAAATAACCGTACAGTGATCAATTGGCAGGGAAGGTGTTAATTTTTTATTAAAATGAGTAAAGGGGGGGTGGGATTTTATATATATTTTTTTTTTTTTTTTTTTAAACGGGGCAGGATCAGCACTGTTCCGGCTCCCTGCACTTCACACAGAACCAGGAAGTGCAAGGAGGCGGAAGGGGAGTATATGCAGTACATGTGCTGGGGCAGCCAGATCGGGTGCTCCCAGTCTGCCTCTAATACAGACCGGAGCACCATTAACCCCATGATCCAGGGTTAATTTTAACGGGTGACGGACAAGATCCCTCACTCGTTATGGCAATCCCCTGAGTGACGGACCTCGTCTGTCACGCGTTGTTAAGGGGTTAAGCCTAGATGGTGTATACTAGCAGTGATGGCTAACCTTGACACCATAAATGGTTTCTGGACTACATTTCCCATGATGCTCATCTAGCGTTTAGTCTGAAAGCTAGCTGAACATCATGCGAAATGTAGTCCAGAAACAATGTGTCAAGTTTAGCCATCATTGTATAGTGATCTGAAAATAGTTATATTCTGCAATATAGGTACCTGTATTTTGTCCAAGCAGGCCTAGCTTTATTAGATTAGTGATTTTATAGAATCACTTTTGCAAAGTGAACAGACTTTATCCAGTTAAGACAGTAGGCCATCTGGGCGGAGCTAACTCACGATCGGAGCGGTCGCATGTCCGCGGAGCTCCGTTGGAAAAGCTTATCAAAACCTGAAAAAGGTACCTTTCTGGAGCCCAATTTGCCCTGGACATAGCTGACTGTGTCGGTAAGCAGATGGGGCGGAAGAATAAAAAACCGAGGTCGGACCGGCCCGGGAACATGGCTGACATCAGTGAACTCTTTAGAAGGCCGCACTGTGCAAGCGGGCTGGAAATGGCGGACGTACTGGACGATTTCTCCGACGTCTCAGAAGAGTACACCCCGCACAACCCAGCAGCCCTTGGCTTCCAGGGACCCCCCTGGCCATCTCCGGAGGTGGACAGCAGCTCAATCCCACTAACCACAACCATCCTTACTAAACTTTTGGCTGACCTCCAACAAAGTCTTTCTGCAGATATCTCCCAAGTACGGGAGGATGTCAGGGGATTCACAGCCCGTTTAACCACGGTGGAACAAGCAGTGGAGGAGCACACTCCTCAAATCGCAGACCTGCAGAAGCAGGTGAGGGACCTCACCACGGCGCAGGCTAACTTTGACAGCCAGCTAGCAATGCTAGAAGATAAGAGGAGGTGGAAACACCTGAAGATTAGAGGCCTATCGGACTCCATTACTATGGCAGAGATGCCACACTTCCTACGTAGGCTGTTCATGGCATTACTACCCCCTAAAACAGCAAAGGGCATTCAGCTGGATAGAATGTTTCGTCTACCCAAGCCTCAGTCCAACACAGCCCCAACCACCGGCGACCTCCTGGTTAAGTTTCAAAACGGGCAAGACAAAGCAGCCATCTTACAAGCTACCAGAGGGAAGACCCCATATCACTTTGAAGAAATGGACCTCACGTTCTTTGCTGACCTCTCCCGCTCGACGTTGCAGTGGAGGAGGTCGCTGAGACCACTGGCATCCACGCTTACATCCCAAGGCATAAAGTATCAATGGGGCACACCTAGTGCGCTGACTTTCCAACATAATGGTGTGGAACACAGAGTCACGGAGGCATCTGAAATGGACGTTATCCTGTCCTCCCTGAAACCGAGCCCTAACCCTCGACCCACTAACCCCCCCTGGTACCCCGCTACCGTGGTTCCGTTCACTCCTGCATCTCGAGGAACAAAGGGCGCACCTGCCACCTGAAAACGGAATCATCTGTGTTGGGACTTGTACCCTCTCTTTTTCTAATAAGTTACCGGCATTTTATTTTCATGTCTTAGTTTTGGTTAAAACGTTGTGCTACACTTAGAAATCACTCCCCTCCCCATACTGCACATGGCTGAACGACCGTACTGGTCGACACTGGGCGAAATGAGACCCAACTATCTCCCCTAATTACGTCCATCCTACCCTCCCCCCCCAGCTCCAATCTTCTTGACACCATACCAAGTTATTCGATCCTTAAGGATCCTCTGTTATAAAACTATCCTACACCACAGTTGTCATACTCACGGGCCCCCACCCTGTATTAATCTTGGGCCTACTACTTAGCCCAAACAGGGCTCCACACCTCGGTAGGAAGTGGGACCATTAAAATTAAAATGATCTCTCACTTGTTTGCCCAACGTGTAACTCCAAATCTATTATTGCCACCGATCGAACCGCTTCATGCATAGCATGTAACTTGACCTCTATTGTATTACCTCGTATAGTCAGTTAGGGTAACCAAACTCTTATCTTATGTCAATTTGTCTCTCTGCTGACTACTTCCTTTTTCTTTTCTTCATTTTTTTTTTATTTCTACAATTGAAATTGCATAGTTTAGCTACCAAACCTTTATTACAAATACCGTGCTGTTTACTCGAGTAGAAACGTAACGCTATTGCTCACTACAACTGTTGTCATGTTTCACTATTCCGTTGTGTTTGACGTATGCTGGCAATTGCCGTTGTGGCATTGCGGGTTACCTTGTATACTTCTGCACGACCAAAAAATAAAGAATTTAAATAATATAAAAAAAAACACAGACAGTAGGCCATCTAAATAATGTTATCAGCTTTTTGTATGAGTCTTTAAATCTGTTTTACCCCCCCAGGTCTGTGGATTATATGCTTGATTCCAGCCTCCGGAAACTCTATAGAACAAACTCAAAGAACACAGATTAAGGTCGCCCTTCTTGATTCAGCATCCTTCAGAATGGTGTATATAGTCTTTGATGTGCTTTTGGCCAGCTGATCTAAGCCAGATAACAAGCCCCATGTTATGTGATCAATTTCTTATTTTTGTGTACATTCTGCATCTCTAAGAGTTGAACTCAAGGGATAGATATATTAAAGTTTTCATTTAATATTGTGCATGCTTCCTTTCCAGTCTTTAGTATTCTTAATCAAATAGGTTTGGGCACTCTGTACAATAAAGCAGATGCTTAATCTGTAAAGGAGTTACATAATTGGCAGTTCTCACACAGATCTACAAAATCCTACCTCCGCCAGCCTCAAAGAACGGGCGCACACTTCTTGCTAAAGCTTAAAACCTAGTTTTATGCTGCCATGGTGCAGAAGTGCATACCAACACCATATACTTAACAGATGGTATCCATTTAGGGCTGCATCATCAGTATATAAAAAGCTGCAATAAAACAAGCTGATGATGGGATCTTTGGAACACAGCAATCAACGAATGACCTCAAGGTTCCAGGTAATTTGATAGCCATGTAGCAAAGTATGAAATATATCAAGTGTGGACTAGTCACAAAACCCTTAAAAGGGACACCCAGGCCACATCTGCTCATTGGAGTGGTCTGGGTGCCAACTCCCATCACCCTTAATGATGCAAGTGTAATTATTGCAGTTTTTATAAACTGCAATAATTACCTTGCAGGGTTAAGTCCTGCTCCAGTGGCTGTCTTAGACAGCCACTAGAGGGACTTAGTGTTCTTAAAACACGAAAAGTGTTTTAAACTATGCTGGACGTCGCCGGAATCCCCAATAGAATGCAATGAATAATGCTTTCCTATGGGGAGGTCTAATGCTGCTCACGCATGCAGCCATTGCTGTGCATGTGCATTGGGTCTTCCTCGCCGGCTGACAAGAGGGAGCCAGTCCCAGTGCAGAAGGACATCAGCGCTGGATTCAGGTATGTCACTGAAGGGGTTTTAACCCCCAGCAACATGGGATGGGGCACTGCAGGGTCATGGAGGTTTGTTTTCCTGGCATTGGAGAGTCCCTTTAAGGCTATATTAATATGCCTGCATCCCCCTAAGGGCTCAGCATTGGATTTTTCTTTAACAATTTAACCATCTTAGAAGGACAAAATGTCTTTATCAAGTTAGGTCAAGATATTGTGGCAAAAAACTAAAACTAAAAAGCAAATCTAAGTTGGCTACCACCAGGGCCGGACTGGAAAAAAAAAAAAAAAAAAAACTAGGCCCGGGCATTTTTCAATCAGAGCGGCCCCCTAAGAAGGGGGCAAGGCCAGAGATGGTGTGTTTTGTCATCACTAATGACAAGCACGTCCCCTCTCAAAGTGAGCATGTCGGTTCAATGCGCAGAGCCCCACTGAAGAGCTCTGGCATTAGAAAAAGGCCCTGAATTTGTTCTGCGCAGCGCAAGCAAATTTATTAACATGCTCGTGCTGTGTTTGCTTTTAAATTGTCTCTCCACAAGTGGGATACCAGAGGACAAAAGGGCCAGGAAAGTGTATGGAGCCTGCTTGTGGGATTGCGTGTGTAGAGGACCCAGAGTGTGTATAGGGGAGAGCGAAAGAAGAGGATTAAGAGTGCATATAGATAGGGTAAGGGATCTAGCGTGTGTGTATACATATACACACACACACACATATATATATATACACACACACACACATACACACGCGCGAGGGTGCGCTGTGTGTGAGTGTGAATTTATTTAAAGTTACATTTATTTTATTAAAAAAAAAAGTGTTATATCCCCATCCCTTCTTACCTTTAGCCTGGGAGGGGGGGGGGAGCCAGGTATCCATTGAGGAGGGTGCTGTGCTGCCTTCCCTGGTGGTCCTAGTGGTGAGAGTGAACTCTAGCCTGCAGGCTAGAGTTCACTCTTGCGAGATCTGCGCATTGCCATGGTAACCGTGGCAACGCTCAGAATCCCGCTAGAGGACCCGGTGGAGCTGCTGGCTAAAGCTCTGCCGGTCCTCCCCTCACTCACTCCCCAGCTGGCAGCCGCTTATAATTGCCTCTGGGCCGGTGAGGGAGATTTTTGATCTCCCCACCGGCCCATGAAGGCACAGTGGGGCCGGCGCTCAGATAGCGCTGGCCCTGCAGGGGCGATCCTGTGATCTCCCCTGCTGGCCACGGCAGCCCACCGGGCATTTGCCTGGTATGCCCGATTGCCAGTCCGGGCCTGGCTACCACACACTATATATGATCTACTTTCATCTTTGATGTCGTACAATGACAGATTAAAAGATGTTGAGTTTTTAGTTTAACCTAGTTTCCAATACAATTCCTAAAACCAAGTGTTTAAATATCTTGCCTAGTTAAATCTTACACAATGAAAACCTAAATGGTTTTAAGTGGATCTAGTTAACTGGCTCATTACATTTAGCAAGTTTACAGTTTTATTGTCGTATCATAAATCAGGAGACAATTCTAAGCATTGTGTATCAGTGGGAATGCTTCATTTGGCTGGAAGACAGCTTAGATTTGTTGACTGCAATTCATTAACAGAAACCAAAAACATTTCTGAACATTTCTAAAATACTGTATGATGTTCTGTAATGCTCATAGTCTTACAGCACAGAAAGGGTCTGTTTTAAAAAAATATATAACTAAATACAAGTTTGTAATTAGAATGTTTTTATTAAGTGCATTACTTCATTCCAGGTTCAGAATTCTCAGTTGCTACAAGAGGGTCTTCCTCAATCTCTTGCCAGTTTGATCTCCTACGGCTGTACACAGCAATACCTACAGCCAGCACCAACAGGACAGCAACTTCCAGGAAGAGAGCGCCAACAGCAGGGGGGATGGGAAAGTCTGTGGAAAGACAAGTTATATCACATACAATCCAAAATGGTCACATTTATACCAGTGTACTTCACATGTAAGAAAGTGTACTGCATGAATTATAGACATGGGACTAACTGCTACAGATAAGTTTACACTAACCACTTAAAGGGACACTGTAGGCACCCAGACCACTTCAGCACATTGAACCAGTTTGAGTGCAATGTCCCTATTGCACTTAGTGCTGCAATGTTAAACATCGCAGTTCCAGAGAAACAGCAATAAGTCACCCTCTGGTGGCTGTCTACCAGACGCTGGACATCACGCTCTGCATGTGCATAAGAGCCCACTCATCATGGGATGGAGGTTTTTAACCCTTGATTTACCTGTGAGGGGGAGCGATACTGCCAGGAATACAGCTATGTATTGACATTAGGATATGTCAGTACTTCCTAACAACGTGGGGCTTTAATGCTCTTCACAGGAATTGACAAGTTCTAACGTTTTTGTGAAGTATTCATACTTCCTCACATCAGGGAGTACCTGTGGCTCCACTCTTCACTAGGGCTACATTTACGGATTACAGGTATGCATGGTTTGCCGGTTGCACAGCACCATAGTAACAGGCATACATAAGACAGCAGTAGATCGTGGCAACATACTGCTCTGTTTTAACTAGAAAATCCATCTGCTTATCTCCGTAAAGACATGAGCAGAGTGTTTCCTTATTGTTAAAGGAACACTATAGACACCCAGACCACTTCAATCAGCTGAAGTGGTCTGGGTACAGTGTCCCTATAGCACTTAGTGCTGCAACGTTAAAAAAAAAAACAAAAAAAAAAAAACACACTACCAGACAGCCACTGGAGGCGCTTCCTGGATGTTAACTTTTGGTCTGGTAATAGACAATGGATGGGCCCACGCTCTGCATTAGGACATCCAGCACTAGCGATTACCCCAAAAGGAAACCATTGATTTGGTTCAGAACTTTGTCTATTGCATCAGTACTTAAGGGGTTACTAGATCCTACCTATGGAAAGTATCTTTTCAGATTTTCTAATACAGGAAATTTGTTTTATGCAGTCACGTAGTGACCCATGTACAGTTACCAATATTTCATGGCAAGGGCTTTCACATATCAATTGCAAACTCCTGCTTTTTATCCAATTACTCAAATAATTTACATTCTCTTCAGGTCAGGGATTACATCTTTAATCTGCTACCAAACCACTTAAAAAAATAAAAGCACAAACCACATACACATTTTAGCATTTGCTAAAAAGATTACTTCAATATACATGTAGAATTTTAATATATATGCATTTATAGGTATTTAAATTCTACGTGTATACTAATGTAATTATATGTATCTATATATTTGCGTTATTTGTATTTTATATATAGAATTTCATTCTTAGTGTATTTTGTATATATATTAATAACAAATTACAGTTAGAATGAAATTACATATGAATATATAGTTTATATAAAATTTTGTTTCAATAAATTTATATTTATTATTGGAAAAAAGAGAGAAAGCGTGGAAGCTCAGAGAGCACTCAAAAATGGGGTTAACCCATGGTAAACTACCTAGGTAGTGAGCAGAAAAGGAAAGAGACTTAGAGTGCTCTAAATTTAATAAATTTAAAAATTTGCTTTTATTCATATAAATGTAAAAAGAAAGGAAAGGGGGGGAAGAAAACAAGGTACTAAATATATGGGTGTATATCTAAAGTCTAAGAGTCGAGAATACATACACCAATATATATTACTAAATGGTTAAAAGACAAAAAAGCTGATTAAGTACGCGGTGCAGCAACTAAACCGCTACAAGTCACAAAGAGAATTGAAATAGTGCACATAATGTATAGGCGACTCTAATGTGTTGAATGTGAAAATGAGCAGCGTATATTACTGAGACGCTAGTAGAAATATGTCAGTTAAACACATGGTGCGTCAACGGTATCAGGAGTAGAAGGGGTACGAATATAAAAATTTAGATCCCGTGCGTCTACGCCAGCCCAATATCACCGGATTAACACACGAGTAGCAAACATTAGCAAAAGGGGATGGATATTGCTACATAGAGGACCTGTTCAGAAGTTTTCAGGTTACCTCTAATGTATGTCCCTTGCAACAAAACAAAGTTGCAATAGAGACTATATCATAATAACTAGCAAGCACAATGTGGTAATTTGAATAAATAACTAACTAATACAATTGTAGCTAGTAGTGCACATAAATAGTGGAGCCTAAATCATTAGAGTGACTCACACAAACTGCTAAAGACAAAAAAAGCAGGTTGAGAGAAAGCTAGAGAATGATGATAAAATATTGAATGAAAAATGAGTCATAGTTAATGCTTTCTAAGTTTGGTCACATGAGTCTGCTCCAGTCCTAACAGGAATGATACTCGGGATTCATGTAGGAGTGTGGTGATGCCGATTGAGAGACCACACTAAGAGTTGTTACAATGCATCACCGGAGTCCCCTGACGCGAGCGTTTCGCCCACAACTCAGAGGGGAGCCGATGTGTGGTGAGTATCAGCTATTTAAAGGTCATGGATGAAGCTGATAGGGAGAATTTGAAAAAGACAGCTGATTCGGTTTGGCCAATGAGGATTGCCAGTAAGTATGACGATAGCCTATGATGTGTGTATAATTAATTAACCCTGTCAGGTACATTGTGATAGGGTACAGGGAGGGTAGTTGATAGAGTTCGAAAAACAAAGAGGGGGGGAAAAAGATGAGTTTGAAAATGTAAAATAACCTAGAAAGATAAAGAGTAGTTCTAACTTTTGTATATATGCCAATAAAATATGTCCGATAAATTGAGAGTGGTTAATAGCACTGTCCGATCATCATGGCAGTATATGAAAGCAAACCATATTGATGTTCAGAGGGAAATAGAAGACCAATGCTGCCCTAAAGAAATTGGACAGACTAGACGGGTACAGGTGGACAATAATAAGAATGTAAATATAAAGTGAATATAGCATATAACACCCTATACAGGTCCGGCTGTATATTAAAATACACAGAGACTACCTAGATAGGTGCCGAAAAGTACCCCTTCTACTCCTGATACCGTTGACGCACCATGTGTTTAACTGACATATTTCTACTAGCGTCTCAGTAATATACGCTGCTCATTTTCACATTCAACACATTAGAGTCGCCTATCCATTATGTGCACTATTTATTTCAATTCTCTTTGTGACTTGTAGCGGTTTAGTTGCTGCACCGCGTACTTAAATCAGCTTTTTTGTCTTTTAACCATTTAGTAATATATTGGTGTATATTTATTATTGTAATTATAAGTAAATATATAATATATGTGTAATATATACATACACACACAGCCCCCAGCAGCACCCCCATTTATGCATGTTCAAGTGAGTGCAGCCAACCACACATATGTAACGTAAAGTGTATTTTAATATACATACATACGCTTTTTTATACTTCCCATCAGCAGGGGGACTGACATTTCAGACAGTCCTCCTGCTGGCAGATCCACAGCCAGTTATAGGGGGCCATGTGATCACATATCAATTGCAAACTCCTGCTTTTTTTCCAATTACTCAAATAATTTACATTCTCTTCAGGTCAGGGATTACATCTTTAATCTGCTACCAACCCACTAAAAATAAATAAAATAAAAGCACAACCCCCTCCCCCCGCCAACACACACACATTTTAGCGTTTGTTACCTGGTTTTGAAGAGACTGTTTTGGATTCATTCCCGTTCCAGTCCTGCCCCCCAACTCTAAAGGGTCCAAGAACCATTGTGTGAACCAGGCCTTTCTCTTCCTCCTCAACACCTAAACAAGGAGGCAGCAATTAATCTAGTACATCTGCTACATACACAGAGCACAAGTCAGGGTCCTGCCTTTGAAGTCATTGTGCATTCAAGGTATACAAGTCCAGGCATTTAATATCAAGAATACTTTTGGGTATTTCTTACCATTGATATTTCTTTTCTTTCTAAGAGAAATTGTGCAGACAGACTCACAGCAGTCGCAGAGTGAACTGAGGGCAGGATTATCCAAAAGCTCCCACCTGAGCAGATTAATATATACAGTTACAGCCAGCAATTAAGAATGTTTACATTTTAGACCTCCAGCTTTTTCCCCTAAATTAACTCTTGCATGAATCCTTGCAAACTAAACTTGGGATTCCTGTGACATATCCAGGTGCTTTTTTTTTTTTAAAGGAACATTCCCACACACCAGGTCTTAATAGATGCAAGTAGAACAAGTTGCATGGCTACAATTATAAAATGGTTCAATCACCCACCGGTTGGTGTCCATGCGATATGAACATGCCTTCCTTGTAGCATCATTCTGAAGTTTAGGGTCCCACACCATAACCTGGAAATGTAGGAAAATCTGCAAAGAGAAAATAAGTTTAAGGAAACCTTGATTCACTATACTTTAACCTAAAGGGATACTCCAGGCAACAAAACAACTTAAATTAAGTTATGGTGCCAGGAGGCTCCTGGAGGCACTCTCGCCTCACGTGAATAAACCATTCTTGAACAGATTAACCCTTAAGTTGCCTCCAGCGGTAATGCCCACTGCTCCCCAAGTAGCATCTGGCTTCTGAATTTTCACTTACAGGAAGTGTGGATTTCCACTGGGCAGGAACGCCGCTGATTGGCTGTGAGTCAGCTGATGCTCTCAGCCAATCAGTAACTCCCCATTCACTAAACTGGCCTGCAATAGGCATGTTTATTTGCAAGCTGGAGGCAATTTAAGGGTTCATTTGTTTGAGAACAGTTTAACCCCTTCAGGACGGAGTCCATAGTGCACATTCTGATCAAAACCAAACGTAAACAAAAACTGGAATTTGCGCTAAATGTCTGTTCAACCGTAATTCACTGCTGTCATATTAAGTGCACCCACACTAATTATACAGAATTTTGTTCAGGAGAAACAGGGCTTTAATTTATCATTAAAGGAACACTATAGGCACCTAAATTACTTTAGCTAAATAAAGCAGTTTTAGTGTATAGATCATTCCCCTGCGATTTCACTGCTCAATTCACTGTCATTTAGGAGTTAAATCACTTTGTTTCTGTTTATGCAGCCCTAGCCACACCTCCCCTGGCTATGATTGACAGAGCCTGCATGAAAACAAAAACTGGTTTCACTTTCAAACAGATGTAATTTAACTTAAATAATTGTATCTCAATCTCTAAATTGAACTTTAATCACATACAGGAGGCTCTAGCAGGGTCTACCAAGCTATTAACATAGCAGGGGATAAGAAAATCTGAATTAAACAGAACTTGCAATAAAGAAAGCCTAAATAGGGCTCTCTTTACAGGAAGTGTTTATGGAAGGCTGTGCAAGTCACATGCAGGGAGGTGTGACTAGGGTTCATAAACAAAGGGATTTAACTCCTAAATGGCAGAGGATTGCGCAGTGAGGCTGCAGGGGCATGTTCTATTCACCAAAACTGCTTCATTAAGCTGAAGTTGTTCAGGTGACTATAGTGTCCCTTTAACTATTCATATATGGAACATAATTTATTATGAATAAAAGTTAAAAATGTGAGAAAAAAAAAAAAAGTTTCTTTTAAATTTGTATTTCCCTCTGACATTTTAGCTGTGAATGTCATAATACTGTTCGGTTTTACTGCAAAAAAATGCACGTTTGTAATCAGCGATGTCTCACGAGTACAACAGTACCCCCTTTAACTGGTTTTATGGTGTTTTGGAAAGTTACAGGGTCAAATATAGAAGGTTCCATTTTCAAATTGAAATTTGCCAGATTAGTAATGTTACCTTTGAGACAGTGTGGTAGCCCAGGAATGAGAATTACCCCCATAATGGCATACCATTTGAAAAAGTAGACAACCCAAGGTATTGAAAGTGGAGTATGTTTAGTCTTTTTTAGTAGCCACTTCGTCACAAACACTGGCCAAAGTTAGCGTTCATATTGGTTTGTGTGAAAAAAATAATATTTGGACAGTGTTTGTGACTAAGTGGCTACTAAAAAAAGACTGGACATACCCCACTTGCAATACCTTGGGTTGTCTACTTTTGCAAATGGTATGTCATCATGGGGGTAATTCTCATTCCTGGGCTACCATACGCTCTCAAAGGCAACATATCCAATCTGGCAAATTTCAATGTAAAAAAAAATGAAATGCAAACCATATGTGACTCTCTAACTTTCCAAAACACCATAAAACCTGTACATGGGGGGGTACGGTTATTCTCAGGAGACTTCACTAAACACAAATATTAGAGTTTTAAAACAGTAAAACATATTACAACAATAATATAGTCCATAAAAGTGCCGTTAGTTTGTAGAAAACGCAAAAAAGTCCCTTTTCCGTAAAATATCATCGTTGGAATACAATTTACCGGTTTGAAACACTAGTATTGGAGTTCAGCGAAGTCTACCGAGTAAAACTGTACCCCCTATGTACAGGTTTTATGGTGTCTGAGAGTTACAGGGTCAAATATAGTGCTTGCGAGTTAAATTCTCTGCACTCTCCCTGTGTTGTCAGGCATGTCAATCAAATTTTAATTAATCAAATCACATTATGTTAAAAGATTACTTAAATATACATGTAGAATTTTAATATATATGCATTTATAGGTATTTAAATTTTACGTGTATACTAATGTAGTTATATGTATCTATATATTTGCGGTTATTTGTATTTTATATATAGAATTTCATTCTAAGTGTATTTTGATAATATATATATATTAACAATACAGTTAGAATGAAATTACATATGAATATATAGTTTATATAAAATTTTGTTTCAATAAATTTATATTATTGTAAATATATAATATATGTGTAATATATACATACACGCACTTGGCCCCCAGCAGCACCCCCATTTATGCATGTTCAGGTGAGTGCAGCCAACCCCCCCTTGTTTCATATATATACACACACGTAACGTCAAGTGTATTTTAATACTAATATATGTACTTATATTAAAATACACTTTGTATGACATTACACACACACACATATACATATACACACACAGAATATGCTTTTTTATACTTCCCACCAGCAGGGGGACTGACATTTCAGCCCTCCAGAAGAGGATCGTGGCGGAGGCAAGTCCACCGGACCTCCAGGGATAGAAAGCCGTTACGGCGTTCTATGCCGCCGTTACGGCTTTAAAGCCCTTTTAATGCGGGAAGGCATAGAACGCCGTAACGTCGTTAAGGGGTTAATCCCTTGAGGTAAGAGTGCCTCCAGGCACCATAACAATTTAGACATGTCCCTTTAAACATAAAATGTGGAAATATAACCAAAGACAACCACACAAACTCACATCTGTGTCTAAATCAATAAAGCGTAGGGCTTCAATGGTCAGTCTGATGGAACCTGGTGAAGGACGGCTTTGGAAAGCAGAAGAAGCATCTTTTCCGTCTATGAAACATCTAATGCCACACCGCAAGGGAGAAAAATCAAATATTTAGAAGATAACAAGGCTTAAGTATGGTCAGATGTTCATTGCAAGTTCACATTTTGCACTTTATATGCCTCGTGTATTTTTGCACAGGATTTGTGTGTTCATTTTGTATTTGCACATTTTATGTCCTTGCATTTAGCACTTTACGTTCATGTTCTATGTGCTCCTACTTTGCACTTTCTGCATGTGGCCTTGGGCTCACATCAAACACTGTCACATGATTAAGGTAGATTTTTTAAGTATTTGGTATTTGCAATACAGTATTAGCTGTATGTTAGTTGCTACACTAACTGCACATGTAAAGTGGTTTTATTGGATATACATTATTAGATTGGGGTTATGAGTTGTATGTTGAATCTCTATATGGTGGCACTATTGTAGAATGTTGATGTATTCAGCTGGAAATTGGTATTGATGAATAAGGATTGTATTTCTAAAAGGGACATTATAGGCACACAGACCACTTCAGCTCATTGAAGTGGTCTGTGTACAGTGTCCCTATTGCACTTAGTGCAATGTGAAAAACTGCAATGTTTACATTGCAGCACTAAGTCTGCCTGCAGTGGTTGTCTACTAGACAGCCACTGGAGGTGCTTCTTGGATGTTAACAGAACTTTGGTCCGGTAACAAACGCTGGTTGTCCTCATGCTCTGCAACCACAACTTATTCATAATGCGGTCAAACAGACGCAGCAGTGTTTTGAGAATGGACACAGCAGTGTCTACATTGGAGCAGTGGCCCTCGTTCTATGGTGGAATTTATGCGACTGGTTATACTGAAGCAAGAACCTTGGTGTTATGAAAAGATTGATGCGTTTGTCTGAAATTTGTATTGAGGATACTGAATTGATGCAGGATCCACAAGATAGCTGGATCTAAGTACATTTCCCCAACGACCACCCCTACACAAGACAATTTACATATGTACACACCTATTATATGCCCAGTGCTGAATTTTCCGTTAGGCAGAGTAGTCTTATGGGCACGCACTCTGTTAAAAGCCCCATCTTTACATCCTGGTTGACCAGACTAGTGTCAGGAATGCCAGTGCAGCTGCACTAGGGCCCGCATGCTGGGGGTCCCCCAATCGGGTGACCCATGGACATTGGTTTCACCATTACTAAATGACCCAACATGCAGAACTATGTAACACCATGAACAAGGACAACATATACTGAGCCTTAGAATGGCCGGACTTAACGTAAATAAGAATGGTCAAAATACTAGCTGAGGTCAGGGACAGACAACGAGGAAGCAAGCCAAACGGTCAAGATTACCAGAAAAAAAAAAAAAGTCAAAATACAAGCCAAAGACCAAAAAGAACTAGAACGCTCTGACAACCATCTAGTGGAAACCATGACAGGGCACTGACCAAATTCTAGTTTGAGTTTAAATAACCCTCTGTAACGGATCGCCTGGCACCCCGACTGGGTACCTCCGTTGAAGGATGCTCCTAGCGCTTCCTGAGGACTCCAAGCACTGCAGCAGACACCACAATCACCGAACCAGAGAAGCGTATACCTTCTCTCAAGCATATGAATGCTGTAGACAGTTGAATAGGAACCATACGAATAGGTTTACTCTCCTTGCAGTCAAACTGGAACAGCATACAATAAATCCTTCCCCCAATAATGAGACGACACTTCACTTTGAGGGTTAAGCAGGAACTCCCTGTACTGTCACATACAGTCTCTTTTATTCCCAATCCACAAACATAGTACAGCCCACAGGGCGTTACAAAACAACCAATCACATATCAGTTACATCCCACATATTCCCTCCCCTTATCCTGAGAGGAAACTCAATTACACATACAGTTAAAACATACTTTCTACCCAACTTTCATAACTTTAAAACTATACATCACATTCACATAAAAATTACATATTCACAATCAATCCATTCAGGGGAACAACATATTCAAAAATGGCACAAATCAGACAAGGGGTTCAAAAGTTAGTAAAAGTCCTTTGTGACTAAATGAAGCATGGCTTTCTGGCCCAAACCAGTTTCAGAGTCTTCTATCCTGGAGATAAGTAATTCAATTATCTCCCAGGACAGACACAAGACTCCATTAAGCACATGGTTGCAAAAAGACACAAAACACTTTAGAATACATAAAGTCACATTTACACATAACACACAGACATTTCACATATCCCCACTCGTTTTCCTGGCACTATAGGGTCTCTAAGTCCCCCCCCACCCTTAGGGTCCCCCTCCCGTCGGAGGGGTTGGGGCCCACCAGAGGACGTCGTGCCCGCCGTTTCAGGCCGCCATCACGATTGTCCCCCAGTCCGGTGTGGAGAGCCAGGGCTGTGCCACCAGCTACTACCTGTCCGGGGCAGAGTGAGGCTGGCCCACTGCAGAGGAATCTGGGTTCCAGTAGAAGGAGCGGGAAGAGGTGTTCCAGGCGTCTGATGGTCCAGTCGGGGCCTGGCCATCAAGATGGAGGATCCCAAGATGGCGCTGCTGGAGAGGTGAGGTAGCGCAGTCCTCATCCTTCTTTTCCGGCTGCGGCGGATGAGACGTCAGGGCATACGGCTGCACGCGGGAAGAGGTGGAGCGTACGTGACATCTGCGGGTCAGGGAGTGCAGACGTCACAGGCCACTGCCGAACCCGGAAGTCCAGGTGAAGATGGAACTGGGGACTCCGAAACGGAGCACCGCTGGCCCCCCGAAAGTGGAGATGGCCAGCGGAGGAACGGATTCCCCTCATATTCATAACCCCAGGAGACCAGAAGAAGGTGAATCATCAGCCAGAGAGGAGGAAGGAACGCAGGATCCCCCTCTACACATCCACCCCAGAAGATCTGGAGCTCCCATGGGGGTGAGCCGCCAAGCCCCTGGAGGGGCAGCTGGCAGGCTGGCCACAGGACCTATACTGACAGACTTCTGCTCCAGAACCGTGAGTTGGAGTGCTCACGCGCTTGGTTAGGGGCAGAGGGGGTCTCTGGGCTAGAACAAGGGAGTACAGGGGAAGTTGTAAAATTGCTGTGCTTAATATTAGATCGCTTAGGGAAGGTTGGCATAGCCGCGCAGGACGCTATGCTTCCCACAGGGACCCCTCCCTTGGGTACAGTGGGGGGCACTGCAGGGGGGCCGGTGTGCGACATCGCCCCCCTGGGGATGCATGTGTCACTGGAGGGGAGGGAGAAGATCTTGAAGGGCGAGTAAGTGGACCTCATCTAGTTAGTCCCGTTTGATAGGGAATCAGCTGATAAACCGCGATGCGTTGAGGCGACGGATAGTGGAAAAGGTAAGGAGCTCCCCGTACCTTTGGTAATTGGTTGCAAGGATTTGCAACTTATGCTAGTATTCTGTCGACGAGGTTTCCAGAGTGGGCCCTGTCGTTTTCTTATTTAGATTTAATTTGGGGGGCTTATAAAGTTTATGGGGGTCAATGCTGGTTTAAATATGACCAGCAATTTAGGCAAAAGATGGCGGTGCGACCGCACATGCATTTTGGCATGCAAGATAGCAATCTTTGGTTGCTTCTAATGACCCAGTGTCGTCCATACACATCGTCCTTTCCTTCGGCCGCCGGCACTCCTGGTGGCTCTTCAATGAGAGTCATTGCAGGTGGTACAACAGTTGTCGATTTAAACATGTGTTCCCACTGTGGCGGGGCTCACCCGGCGGTCTTTGTTTTAGGAGATGAAAACCCCTCCCCAGGACCGCGTCAAAGGATGACGTTCCTCAGGGGGAGGACCCCGGTACGGGCAGAAAGACTGCTGCCGTGGCTCGTGCGGTATCCCAGGCAGGTGTCTGGGCCTCGTTCCCAAGAAGGAACCGGGGGTGTTTCGGCTGATTCACATCACCTGTCCTTTCCAGAGGGGGCTTCAGTTAACAACGGGATTACGAAGGATAGTCGGGTCTGATACGCTTCTTTTGATCTGGCACTGGATCTCGTTCGGGAAGCAGGGCCCAGATGGCTAATTCTGATATTCAGTTGGCCTTTCGGTTGCTCCCAGTTCACTTTTCCTGTTTTCACTTGTTGGGGTGTCAGTTTCAAGGGGATTTTTCTATATGTGCCTTCCCATGGGTTGCTCGATTTCTTATTATTTTGAAGTTTTTAGTACGTTGCTGGAATGGATCGTGATGGAGGTGTCAGGTTTAACTTCCTTATCTTCACTATCTTGATGTAGCGGAGTGCTAGTCTTTCACAGACTATCTCCGCTGGTAATCCAAATAAGGCTCAGGAACAAGTAATAAAACCCAAGAGAATAATATCCACAATTAGCAAAGTAATCCAAAAGTATCCCACACGTTTCCCAATGACTGGACGACACACAGCATTAGGAACAGAACTGAAGTTTAATTTCACATGCCTGCTTTTAAGCAATTCTCCCATGCAAGGGAGACACCCACAGTAATTATTACAGTAACCAATAAAATACATGTTACCTCCCACACATCTCCCCTCAGCATGACACATAATCCACTTAATCCATGTACATTATTTCCCCAGTTCCTGGATGTACCCCAAATACATAGGATACACTCCAAAATAGGGCTTCCCCGGTAGCCCTGATCTGGGTGAGTAACATACTCAAAAATCACTCAAATCAGACCAGGGGTTCGGGAGTTATGGAAGAATAAAGTTTTGACCGACTGTAGCCGAAAATTGTTCCATAAGTTTTGGCCTTGCGGTCGGTCTTTGTTCATGGGTATAAACAGATGAAGAAACCCGAATGAAATGTTGGGATGGAGGTGTACAACTGATGGGGGATCTACCTTTTGGCCATTGTTGTGCTGGAGGGGGCAACAAAAGAGAAAAGCCTTTGCACCAAGTTACTCTAAAAACATTAGTTCCGCCACTGAATACCTGTGTTCTGTCAGAGAGCTTGATGTCTGGGTGAAAAAATAAATAAGTCTGACACTGTTCAACCCCCACCCCCTAATCAAGTGTCCCTATTTCCATTTGAAAGGTTTGGAGGTATTGCATATATAGCAGTTATAACTGCATCAGCCCAGTATTTATGCAAATCTGTCAGCATGTATCAGACCATATCCATTACAAGTGATTCTTATTTAAAAGAAGCATTAAAGCATCATACATGATTTTTAGGAGGGGAATAATAGGGACACTATAGGCACTTCCTGCAGTTTATGGTTGTTTAACTCTGAAATTATGCTTGGCATCCTCACTCTGCACAAAGGACATCCAGCTTGTCTTGAAAACCCCATAGGAAAGCATGGATTCAATGCTTTCCTATAGGCAAGGCCTAATTCATGCCGGTTTCTGAATCTCCGTGATGCCAGAGCAGCAGATCCAGCACAGGGGGGGGCGGGGGGAACCTCACATAACCCATTAGCCATCGGGTGAAGCTGAGGAGGCAGCAGGGCCGGCGCTTCCCAAAGGCCAATTAGGCGGCTGCTGAGGGTGATCTTTAAGGAGCACTGCTTTTAGGCCACCATCTATCAAACTGGGCTATGTGTTCAGCAGTTCAGAAGTGAGTTCAGCAGTTCTTGGCACCGGGCACTAATGCCAACTAAAGCAGGCATCCACCTGAGCCTGTGATGGAGAGGCTAACTTTGAGCCTCCACTGCCGCTCCCTCCTCCTTTCAGGCAGAGAGAAGGGCATAGTTTGCTCGCTACCGTCCCTTTCTCTGTACTGGGAGACATGGGGCGGGAGCATATCAGGAAGTGAGGCTGAGACAAGGAGAGTGACAGCAGCCAGGCACAGTCAAGATGCCCGCAGTCTGGTAGGTACCATGGCTACTATAGCCATGTAGCTACCGAGAGATTTCATAATGTACACTAACCAGTACTACTGGGTAATTATTTTACGTACTGTTATGGGGGGAATGGGGGAGAAGGCACATTAAAAATGTGTGCTGATCAGACAAGGGAATATGAGCCCTAACCACTGATTTGCCTGGTAGCAAAATCACATTGCATGCACCCTGTTCATTGTACGGATGATCTAAATATTGTATTGTTTGAATGTTGGCTACCAGGGGTGTTTCTAGGTGCCTAAAAAAAATACTTGGGGCATGAGACCAAAGAAAATCCACTCTCCACTGAATAATCTAAGGATACTGGGAGTGGCAGATATTTGGTGGGTGTGGAATGAGGGAAGGCATTGTAGGTGTGGAGGTTGGGAATATAGGTGGCATGGTGAGTGTTAAAGAAAGGAAGCAAGAGGATTTCTGAGTAAGTGGGTATGAATGATTATGTTGGGGGGGGAATTATGGCTACAGGTGGGTGCATACTAGCTAAGGAAGTTACAGAGTGGCCATCAAGAAAGGTGAGATGGGGAGAGAGACTCCAACGTTGCCTCATCTGAACAAGATTTGTATATCTACTCAGAACCGGAATAGCACACTAAAAATGTTGTATTCCTCAAAGTGTCTAAACCAGGTTCATATAGTAATATTTCATAATCTACTTCTCTTGAGCCACGTGTGCCCGTGGACCTCACTACGACAACATAATCCTCCAATAATATTGAATCTCTCCTTTTCCTCCATTTCTACAATAATACTTCTAATAATGTTCTTCTACATCCTACTATTGATAAAGCCACTCTCTGACATTCCCTAGAAATTCAGATCACAACTCCATTCAGAATCAATACAGACAGGCATCTCTATAATCATATTCACTACCTCTATCCCTGTTTAGGTCTTTAGCTTTCCAACTGCAATGAGTTCAAAATGGTCTTCAAGCCACTTTCCTTATTTAATAATATATCTACACACTGTGCAAGCATGGGTTAATATGGCAATGCAGGCCATTCTCGCAGGAGTTGCAGTGAGAAGCAGCTGGAAAGACAAGATGGTGCTGGCTGGGCCCCTTCTCACCACATGCTATGTTGCATCGCTTCCTCTCATCTCATCCAGACACATCAGGTACCTCCTTGCACTATACACTCTGCATCCACTACACAAACATACAATCTGCATTCACCATAAACACACTAGATCCATTAAACACTACAACCCCTATACATGTACACTACATCCACACGCTACAGGGGGGACGGAGTCAAGGGCAGCACCAATGAGGCGGCAAAATGAAGCTTTGCCTAGGGTGGCAAAAATCCTTGCACCAGCCCTGGGAGGCAGATGAACACTATTGTGTTAGAAATACAGTTTTTCAACAGGAACTGTAAAAATTGCCAAGACATTAGGGATGTTAAATTCATGCCATACATTACCCGTGGTTTTGGATGAGACTATAAGTTTGGGTGGCAGCTTTAAGAGACTCTGTTGTGGCTGCTGTGCATTCATCCACATAAATCACCAGAGGTTGATGCTGGCCAGTGACTACAGACAACTCCACCGATATTGAGGAGCCCAGGGCAAAATCTTTATGGTCAGAAGGTCTGGAAAAATCATCTATGGAGAGAATTTCCTATGTTACGTTACATGTACAAGTGTCCCTGATCTAAGCTGCAAATTGTTCAAATCGAATACATTTCAAAATTTTCATTACATGCAGGAACTAAATTTATAGCACGTTTTACAGAAATAACTATACCATTCATTATGTGGGCTGAGAATTCAAGGATGCCTTCTCCTGACAGCTGGGCTACCACAGGAACATCAGGGGGCACAGTGGGGTTCAGAGATCTAAAGTAATAAAGGTTACAGGTGGATTTATTAAGCATCAAGTCACTAAATAGGGATTTTTACATTTAAAATGCATTAAAAGGGACCAGATTGCCAAGAAAAATAAAGTGTTTGTGGTGTGGGTAAGTCAAAAAAAAAAATCTTTATTCCCCCCCCTCCCAACCCCCAGTTATATCGGTTTTTCAAAAGAGAAAAAAGAAAATGGAATTTCACATAACATGCAGTCAGATCCAATTTGCCAACAAAATCCAGCAAATAAGCAATAGAGAATTACAAAGTTATGTTAAATTGTAAACACTAGTGTCACCATAAGGAATTATGATAAAGGACTTGGTCATAGTATATCATAAGAACTTTGTTTACAAGCACCGACCCCCATGAGCACAGAAATGTGAGGGTGAAAGAAAATAAGATCATAACCCCAACACAACGTTTCCATCTCATGACCAGTCTTTGGCTCTTCCAGTCATTCTACCTTCAATATATGAGAGGTCTAAGTACCAAAGCCAGTATCTCCACTCTGATGGGCTACATAATAAAGCCACTGTGTGCAGGTGTGCAAGCATCTATCAGAGGAACACCTTAGTGTTGCAGTCAGGAATTCCATCGTACAATTGGTATACATTGTATTGTTAAAAGAAAAGTGTGCAGATAAAGTTTGTTGTTACTCCAAGTTTTCACTGCACTTTCTGTAGCACAACTCATAGTCAATAGTATGTTATAAGTATCTCATCACGTGCTTAGCGGTGGTTTAATGCTGTTCTGTTGGTTCTGACAAGCACTGTGACAGTTTACTGATCACCCAGCTTAAATCTGGTCTTGAACTGGTCACTGCATACAACAAGCTACCTACTACTTATCAATATCGTTTTGTATCTACAGGATCATTATGATCACCATGGTCCAGTTTTTGTTCACATGGTGTTGATCTGGGTTTACAATCTGTCATTCCAAACTTCTCCAGAATCTTTGATATGTATCTTTTGATTCATCTTTACCAAACCATCACTTTGTTCAAAATGAATACCTAGGAAGCGTTTGATCCTTCCAAGATCTTTCATCTTAAATTTTGCTGTAAGCATTTTCTTCACATCATTGAGAATGGTTTCTTCCCTGGTGCCGATAATGAGATCAACCCATATTAACAGTATTTCTCTCATGTCCACATTGTTTGACATACACAGTGGTCGGTTGGATTTTGTTCAAACCCATTCTCATTTAAATGATCATGCAGCATCTTGTTCCAATTCCTACCTGATTGTTTGAAACCGTACAATGACTTGTTCAATTTTAAAACTAGTTTCTCATTTTGCTTGGACTTTACCTCAAATCTCTGGTTGTTCTACATAAACCTCACAGTAAATTGGGGCATGTAAATAGGCTGTTTTTACATCCATCTGGTGAAGTAAATCATAATGTTCTGCAATTTGCATAAAAATACATCTTGATGTAACGTTTACAGTTTGAGGGAAACCCCCCCCCCCCAAAAAAATAAATAAAAAAATAAAAAAACTTTCTTGTAATCAATTGCCATTACTTTACTATACTATAACCTTTAGTGACATATCTGGCTTTGTATGTTTCTAGCCCATCATTGTTTTTCACTGCATACACCCATCGACCCCCACTGAATGTTTACCGTCTAGTAAAGTAGTCAAAGTGAATGTGTCATTTTCCTCAGTGAATCTTTTTCCTCTGTCATAGCGTTAAGCAAATATTTTGACTGAGGTGAACTTGTACCACAAACCTTTAAAGATGCTATATCAAACACCTTGTACCAGTAATCAATGTTTGGTAGTAAATGGTCATCACATTCAAAATGAAGGTTCTTAAACACAGGCTTGTGAAGTTTATAACAAAAGGAATTTTTGAAAGACTCAGACTAATTTGTTAGATGAGGATTGCGATGCCCCCTTATACCAAAAACCAGTGAGACTGGAATTGAGTGTCCTGAGATGAAGCAAATTTCTGAAATAGAAGCTTTAGGAAATGAGAACAATGGTCAGGCAGGTAATGACCATAGTACATATTACTGTATAAGAGGAAAAACTCCGTACTTGGAGGACTAGGTTTCAGATTTTGAATGCGATGATCAGTTACTAACAAATATTACTGTTACAAGGTGTTTGATGTACCACAAACCTTTACAGATGCTATAAGTTCACCTCAGTCACAATTTGCTTAATGCTATGAGGAAATAGGGGAAAGATTCACTGAAAGATATCCCCTGGACTGCAAGGAAGGGGAGGCATGACTGCTGTCTTTCAGTAACGGGGCGGGAGTATTAGAGATACATAGTTGCAAGATGGGGGGATATAAGAAGGAAAGCAGAAAGGAGGGTACTCACCAGAGCAGAAGGAGCAGTCTGGAACAGTTTCAGAGCCCTTTAGCCATTTGCCTTCTGCTGTTTAAAAAAAAAAATTTAGTTGCAAGCCAGGCCTTCCCTGCAAGATGGTGGATTTGTCAAGGGAGGCTTTGCTGGGGGTGCTGCAGGCCTACCTGTCGTCTCATGGGTCCGGTTCTCTGGCGTATAATGGCTGACCTTCCCCAGGCCCGGATGGACGCGGAGCAGCCGGTGGCAGAGACCCCTTCTCTGGCCCACGGGAGGAGGCAGAGGCGTTCTAGGCCTCCTTCCCCCCAGTCCGGTGCGTAGAGGTGTAGCGGAGGCCAGGACCAGCGGGCAGCAGGCGGCTTTGGAGCATGGAGTGCCTTCCTGGGCAAGTATAACGGCCGATCATGCTGGTTGCGGGAAGCGGTTCCCAATGCAGAACTCTAACTCTATACGGATGCATCAGGGTCGGTAGGGTTTGGGGCTTTCTTTCAGGGCAAGTGGTGTGTGTCTGCTTGGCCGTCGGCATGGCGGGAGCTGGAGGTGATGCAGAACCTCACGTTCTTGGAACTGTTCCCCATAGTGGTGGCGCTAGCACTTTGGGGGGACGAATTGTGGAACCGAGTGGTGGTTTTTCACACTGATAACGTGTGGTCCATGTGATTAACCGATCATCGTCTGCGTCTCCTCCAGTATTGGCCCTCTTGCGTCACCTAGTGCTGCTTAGCTTGCATCTTAATGTGTGGTTGCAGGCTCGGCATGTTCCCGGGGTTTTGAATGTGGTGGCTGTTTCAGTGGGACCGTTTTCGGGAGTTGGCGCCGGGAGCAGAACAGGAGGGTCTTTGCTGTCCGGCATATTTATGGGACCTGGTTTCAGAGGGCTGATGTCCTTGGTATCGGAATCATTGTCGGCTGCTATGTAGAAGGCGTACAGGTCGGTATGGGTAGGTTGGTTGTCTTGTGTGGATGGGTCTGATCAAATGTCATCGAGTCAGTCCGGTTCTCAGTAACGTTGTGCTACATGAATAGGCTCCTGGAGCAAGGGCAATCATGTGCCTCGGCTGAGAGCTGTCGGCTCTGTCATTTTTGTTTCGCTTTTTAGGCTGGCGGGACATAACGAAGGAGTTTTGCCTGCAACGGGTTCTGCGCGGTTGGAGGAGTTGGAGGCGTCCGGACCGGCGGAGGCCGATTTCAGTGGACCTGTTGTGGCAGTTGTTGGGGGCGTTACCGAGGGTCTGTGGCTCAGTCTCTGAGTGTCGGCTGTTTCAGGTCAATTTTGTGCTGTGTTTCTTCGGTGCGTTGTGGGTGGGGGAGCTTGCCGCCCCCAATCGCCGGTCAGTTTCTCCTCTCTTGCTGTCAGATGTGCGTTGGGCAGATGGGTTTGTGGACCTGCATATTCGCAGATCCAAGACAGAACAAGAAGGTGTTGGTGCATGGCTCAGGGTGGGGAGCTCTGGGGTGAGTATTGTCCTGTCCGGCTCTTCCACCAGTATATGGAGAGTCGGCAGGCGTCGGCCTCGCTGTTGGTGCATGCGGATGGGTCCCCGCTTACGCTTTCAGTTCGCATCGGTGTTGGGGAGAGCCTTGGTGGACTGCGGTCAAGATCCTTCCGGTTTCTCGCCTCATTCTTTCAGAATCGGGGCCGCCACTCAGGCTAGCGGTATGGGTTTGGCAGGTTCAGTGGTGCAGTGATTAGGCAGATGGGCTTCTAGGAGATATCAACTGTATGTCTGACTGCATCTGTTATAATTTGTTTCAGGCTGTGTTCCCCGTTATGTTTGGATCTTGGGGCATTCGTTTATTTATTGGGCAGCTCAACGGGCTCAGTCTCGCTCCTACAGACGGAACCTAGGGATCTCCTCAGACATAGCGATGGTACGCTGGAGCGGTGTTCGAGGTCTGTCCTGGAGGCAAGTCTATCCGGAGTGCGTGGCCCTTAGCAGGTTCGTGTCAGGTCCTGTTACAATTTTGATTCATGCGGGGGGTAATGATTTAGGGAGGGTTAGATCGGTGGATCTGATGCACTCTGTCAAACACGACTTGGCCCGGTGTTTGGCTCTATTCACAGCCTGTATTCTGATTTGGTCGGAGATTGTTCCCCGTCCTCGCTGGCAGGTCTTGTCGCATGCCAAGGGTCTGGAGCGGAGCAAGTGTAAGCTCAACATGACGGTCTCTCGGTTTGTGCAGCAGCTTGGTGGCGTGGCGGTCCGGTATGTTGAGCTGGAGGGGGACAATTGGAATTTGATGAGGGCTGACGGAGTGCACCTGAACCAAATCTGATTGGACATTTTTAATGCGGGTCTGCAATCGGGTATAGAAAAGGCGCTGTCTGCGGGGGGCGCAATGCCGGAAAAGGAGAGGGAGGGCCGGCAATGTGGTGGTGGAGTTCCTGGCCAGCACACGTAATGCACGGAAAGGATTTGGGGAGTCGCAGCCTGCTAGGGCGGATGGCCGAAGGCAGGCTGTACGAACTCTGGATAAAGACTTGGAGTATCTGTCTGTTGGGTAGTCACCCCAACAGCTGACAGGTGGAAATGCTGGCGATGTTAAAGTTTAATAAAGCTGTGGCCGTTGCCCTTACCCAATCAGGTGTCATGTCATTATTGGGGGTAACGGGTATGGTATTTGGGTCAGCAGTCAAGAAAAGGACACATTCACTTTGATTACTTTACCAGACAGTAAATGTTCAGTGGGGGGGTCAATGGGTATATGCAGTGAAAAATAAAGTTGATGGGTAGGCAACCTTTTAGCAGCACTGTGCCAATATAGGATTGTGATGTCCCGTAGAGTGCTGGTCCTATTTTTTTTTTAAAGCAAGGTTTGTATGCTGCTGTATTCTGCTAGTGTTATTTATCCTGTAATTGCTATGCATCATATTTGTGAGTATAAGCTATGTTGTATATGTTCAGGAGTAGTTTGTGGTATCGTGTATGATACATATGAATGGGCTGTGTATGGGGGCTGCTTGTGGAATTGTGTGTGGATGGATATGTCACATTGTGTGTATGTGTGGGAGCTGTTTGGGTTATTGCATGTGAGGTTGTGTGCATGTATGTGGATTGTTCGCGGGTTACGTTTGTGCGGATTGTATGTATGTATGTTTGCGGGCTGTTCGTATTTGTATGAGGGGAGGGTTATTCTGCAGCTCTGTGTGTATCTAGCAGTGTGGGTGGCTTCCCTGCAGTGGTGTCCATACCATGGTTGCAGGGGTCACGGCTGCGACCGGGCCCGGCCTCCCTGCCACTGTGGCCAGCCTCTTCTCCTGGGGGGCCCAGGAGCCAGCCACCTCAGGGCCCCCCGAGGCTGGCCCTGGTGTCACCCAGCGGACTATCTGGCTGGTGGGCGCGCGAGGGAGTGCTTCCTCTTCAGCTCTTCAGAGAGTGTGTCAGTTACTGAGTGTTAGTTTGTGTGCGTCTGTTAGTGATTGTGTGTTTTGTAAGTGTGTGTATGTATGTCTGTCACTGAGTGTGTCAGTAAATGTGTGTTTGTTCATGAGAGTGTGTGTGTCTTAGCTAGTGTGTATGCGTCTGTTCGTGAGAGAGTGTGTGTGTGTGTGTGTGTGTGTGTGTGTGTGTGTGTGTGTCTTAAGCACTTCGCTTTCTCCAGCGCTGGACTCCCTTGGCGCTGGGGATCTCTCCGCCCCGATCCGCCTCTCAGCTCCAAATGCACATGAGCATTCAAACCGCCCATAGGAAAGCATTACTCAGTGCTTTCCTATGGCTGTTCAGCAGCGTCTCACTGATTTTCACAGTGAGAATCGCGGAAGCTCCTCTAGCGGCTGTCAATGAGACAGCCACTAGAGGCTGGATTAACCCACAGTGAAACATAGCAGTTTCTCTGAAACTGCTATGTTTTCAGCTGCAGGGTTAGAACTAGAGGGACCTAGCACCCAGACAACTTAATTGAGCTGATGTGATCTGGGTGTCTGTAGTGGTCCTTTAAGTATGTGTATCTGCATGCACTGGCGTACATACCACAGTCGCAGGGGTTTGCAGCCCTGCGACCAGGTGCCCGCCACCATATGTTGCGGCCCAAGCCGGCACAGAGTAAGCGCGTGGGGGGGCCCCAGATGAGTTTTCGCACCAGGGCCCCATGAGTTGTGTGTACGCCACTGCTTCCCTGGGTTCCAGGTACAGGTCAAGGACAGGAGCTGCAACAGCGGCTGCTCTACTACAGTGTTGATTCTCATTCACAAGTGCTGGGAGGAAGTGATCTGAGATAACTTACTCTATGTGCTGCAATGCATAAATTGAGGATTGTGCTTCACCACCTTTTTGTATTAGCAGATATCTGAAGTTTCACTGGGACTTCTGATAGGCCAGAGCCTGTTTGGCTCTGGCAGCCTTGAGTGCCGTAGGTTGCCTACCCCTGGGCTACAAACATACAAAGCAAGATAGGTCGTTAAAGGTTATTGTCCAGTAAAAAGACTAACTAGAAAAGGGAGTGCCAAGCCGATTATGCCGGGCCAAGCTCTTTAGACATTACCAGTGACAAGCCTCATCACTGGCATGCTCACCAGATGCTTGTCCCCCTAGTCAGACTTCATGTCTTCCTATATTGGGAAGTATGCAAACAATTTTTTACTGTAATCTGGATAATTCTCATTATCCTATTGATAGACTCATTGTCTGTAGATATTCTGACACTACATCACCTGGTTAAAATACACGTAACCGATTCTGTAAATTCCAGAGGGTAATTGCTGGCTGAGTTACTAGAGTACTGGTTGATGCTGGTGTCTGAGGGCTTATAGATCAAATCTGCGGAATACTTTACATTATTTCCATAAGTCTGCAGAGAGAAGAGATTAAGTCATTCCATTCAGAAAAAACAGAGTAAGCAAAGACATAAAAAGTGCCAAGCCATAGTCTGCTGAGAAATTAATATTTACAAGTAATGAGGCACTTTTGTTTCTGGGGAAAATTAAACAGTTTTGGTAACAAACATATGAACACAACTAATGGCTCTTCAAATTATGGGTACAAATTATAATGAAAGCTAAATATGCCAAAAGAGAAAATAAATAAAAAAAGTCTGATCAGGCATTTCCACTTTAGGGTCAAAATCCAAATTAGAGATGTCGCGAACTGTCCGCCGGCGAACAATAGCGTGTTCGCGTTGGGCGAACATATCCGGTTTCCGGTCCGCCCCCTATACGTCATCATTGAGTAAACTTTGACCCGGAACCTCACAGCCAGCAGATACATGCCACCCAATCAGCAGCAGACCCTCCCTCCCAGGAAGTGTCTGCTGACTGTGAGGTTCTGGGTCAAAGTTTACTCAATGATGACGTATAGGGGGTGGACCGGAAACCGGATATGTTCGCCCAACGCGAACACACTATTGTTTGCCGGCGGACAGTTTGCGAACAGTTCGCGACATCTCTAATCCAGAAATAAAATTAAAATGGTATTGCACAAAGGACTCCAACAACAAATTTAGGGAAGGGACAAGAAAAAAACCAAATGCCCACACAAAGTACACACTGACCAGGGAAGAAACTCACTATGTGGCACAGATTAGACATACCAGAACAGTGAAACTGCAATCCGTGAATTTGTAATTGAACGCCAGGTTTCCTTTGGGATCTGTAGTACTAGAGGCCACGCATGTACCAAGATGCAGTTTTGAAGGATCCAAATTTAGTCCAATTGCCAAAGGGTCATTTTTAACAAGCAAACTTATAGCAGTTTGACCGCAAGTGTACTGGAAGGAATTAATGGGGGCTGCGGAAAATAAATTAAAAAAAGAAAATTTCACTTCAGGATAGCATATCAATGAAACTTAACAGCTTTCCCTTTTCACACCTTGATAACCCACCTTGCTTCCTCTCCTGCCACTGCCATCATATTTAAAAATATATATATTAACAAAATACTTTTCCCCCATACATGCAATACATCCTATTCTTACCTCTTGTGTCACGTTGCCTTTCTCCCCCTAGAATGTAAGCTTATTGGAGCAGGGCCCTTAACACCGTCTATTCCCTTGAGTCCAAAGTGACTGAGTGTAGATGCATTGGAGAATTATTCCAGTTTTGCTATTGTGAAGCCATTTTAGTGAATAGCCCTGGATATGTATTAAATGCATTATGACAGAATTTCAGTGGTTGGGGAAAAACCTGCCTATATGTCAAATCTATATAGAAGTGTTTTTAGCTGTTCAAAACGCAAACCATATAAATCAAGATAAGCCTGAAGTTTTGCATTTTATTTTAGACTTTTACTCAAATACAAGTTTTACATTTGCACTTTGATAGTTATTTTCTTTATTATCCAAAATGGTGCCAGGCTACTTTTTTTTCATTTCAAGGCTTTATTAAGGCATAGAGTTGTAATTACAGTTACAGTAGAACATTATTACAGTGAAGGTATACAGGAGACTCGCAGGTCTCAGTATAATAAGACAGTGACACACAGGTTTTCACCTATTTGGCCGTTTGCTTCTGCTGTTGCCAGCGGCCAGATAGTTCAGACATTTGGTTAACAATTTTAAGCATTCATGTTGGAATGTCACCGTTAGCAGGTGAAGGCCAGTTCGGGGGTTGGGTTGTAAAGGCAGATATTGTTGTTAATATATGACAGGTATCGAACGTCAATACAATAGCATTCATGGCACGTCACCTAGCCTTGTTAGACAGGTCAGTAAAGTGTACAGCTTTGTTGTGGTCTATGTAAGGACATAGGTCATAGGTCGCATTGTAGATTATACAGTAGGAATTTTGAGCTATGTGGTGCACTCTCTTAGTACAGCTAGCCTGCTGGATGGGGTGGGTATTGGATGGCAACCACTCTTCGTGTGTTCAGTGGCTCCTGGGTTGTTGGTGGTGTGTCGGGCCAGTTTCTGATTTGGCCAGCCGAGTACGACGTGCGGAGGTGGGTGGAGGGGGTGTGTGGGCAGCAGGGAAACACGGTTCTGGGATCTCTGTCAGGTAGGACTGTTCAAGATCCGTTGGGGTGGGGGGCGGGGAGCAGTTGTCGAGGAGTGGGGTGTTTGGAGGTCGAGGGTCCGTCAGGTAGTTTTGTCGTGTGTGTTTGCTACGAGTGTCCCCTCTGAGTTAGAGGGAATTCAAAGATTTTTTCAAATGTTTCTCTGAAACTGCATGAGCATTAGGCTCTCCATGCCATTGCTGATGTCAGAGGAGGCGGAGAGCGATCCAGTGCCAAAGAACCGCGGCCCTGGAATCAGGTCAATCGAGAAAAAGTTTTATTTAAAATAAATATAAATTAAAATAGTCGTATTTTAACATTTTTTTAGATGTTTTTAGGTCTGCAGTGTCCAATTAATAAAAATGTATCTGCCTTATTTTAGAATGGGAGCATCTAAGATGACAGGCACCTGACATGTAAATCCAGTAAATTCAAATCCAGACCAAAGTAGCCAAACTGGACTTGGAAAATTCCCCCTGATGTCAGCTATTTTGGCCTAAAATCTTTAAATTCCCAGCACTTCACAATTTAGTGAATAACCACATTTAGTGTGAAATATCAAGTATTGAAAGTGAATTTCAACGTTTAGGCCAAAATACACAAACTAAAGACAAGGATTTTACAGAAAAGTAATCCAGATTGGCTAGTCTCAGTAAAACTAGATTTCATAGATTATTCCAAATTTAGGTTACATTCACAATTAGACCTAGAAATGCAGAAAGTTGCTGGTATCAATATAAACTAAACCTGCTTTCAATTAATGAAAGAATGCATCATATTGACAGAAATAAACAGTATTTTGTGGGATGTGAGAATTCATAAGCAATTAGAGGTTGTTACAAACATTAATAACAAATGCAACAAACAAAAATGCTAGAAATACTGAATGAATCAGTCAGGATGAGTGGGGGGGGTGGGGGATGTTTTATCAGAATAGTCATCATTAGGCTTCTAGTTGGTTTTCTCAGGATATATTCCAAACCTGGCCACTGTTCACTTTTTTAAAATTTATATTCTTCTTCAAAAAAAAAATAAATTTAAGAAAGAGGGGGATGTGGGGGTGTTAATTGTACCCACTTACCATTCTGGTCACCAAGAACCATTAAGTAGCTCAAAGACAGACTCAACAGTTGCCCCCAAAATTCCATTTTCCCAAGTAGTAGCACCCGCCTGCAGCATGTATATATAGAGATCCTTCCCTCATTGTCACAGCTGATAGCAATATCTCAATATCACTCCTAACTGATTGCAAATAATCTTCTGTTGAAGTATGTGAAACCTATTCATGACTGAACCTTTTCTGAAATTCCATGGGTTTGTGCCCTTTTTTGCACTTAAAGGGACACTTCAGGCACCCAGACCACTTCTGCCCATTGGAGTGGTCTGGGTGCCAACTCCCAATACCCTTAACCCTGCAAGTGTAATTATTGCAGTTTTCATAAACTGCAATATTTACCTTGCAGGGTTAACTCCTCTAGTGGCTGTCTGCTAGATAGCCACTAGAGGGCACTTCCTTGTTTATAGCACACGAAAAGTGTGCTATAGCGTCTCTGGACGTCCTCACGCTATGAGAGGACCTCCAGCGTCGCTGAAATCCCCATAGGAAAGCATTGAAAGCATTTTTCAATGCTTTCCTATGGGGAGGTCTAATGCGCGTACGCGACATTGTCTTAGGTCTCCCCCGCCGGCGGCTGCGCATGCGGCAATAGGTCTCCCCCGCCGGATGACATCGGGCGGACCCTGAACCAGCGCCGAGGGACATCGGTGCTGGATACAGGTAAGTCACTGAAGGGGTTTTAACCCCTTCAGCAACTTGGGATGGGGGGTGGGAGGGAGAGGGGACCTGAAGTGCCAGGAAAATGGTTTGTTTGCCTGGCACTGGAGAGTCCCTTTAAGCTATTTACTTGTTCCACCGTAATTTAACACCTCCTTAAAGGACCACTATAGTGCCAGGAAAACATACTCGTTTTCCTGGCACTATAGTGCCCTGAGGGTGCCCCCACCCTCAGGGTCCCCCTCCCGCCCGGCTCTGGAAGGGGAAAGGGGTTAAAACTTACCTTTTTCCAGCGCTGGGCGGAGAGCTCTCCTCCTCCTCTCCTCCTCCTGGGCTGAATGCGCACGCGCGGCAAGAGCTGCGCGCGCATTCAGCCGTCGCATAGGAAAGCATTTACAATGCTTTCCTATGGACGCTTGCGTGCTCTCACTGTGAAAATCACAGTGAGAAGCACGCAAGCGCCTCTAGTGGCTGTCAATGAGACAGCCACTAGAGGGAATAGGGGGAAGGCTTAACCCATTGATAAACATAGCAGTTTCTCTGAAACTGCTATGTTTATTAAAAAAATGGGTTAACCCTAGCTGGACCAGGCACCCAGACCACTTCATTAAGCTGAAGTGGTCTGGGTGCCTAGAGTGGTCCTTTAAAGGGATGCTCCAGTCCCCTAAAGCACTTTAACTTGCTGAAAAGCTTTATGTGTTAAGAGAGTGTCCTCTTTTTGTCATTTTCCAAAAAGTGCAGATTTCAATATAAACCTACACTTTCAAAAATGAACCTGGGAACACCTCCATAGCTTTCAAGCAGACAACAGGTCCTGTTACTTCCTGGTTGGTTAACTCAGCTGAGCTAAATTCAAGTTGCAGCAATTGCTCAGAGAGCAATTGTGTTCAAAGACTTCTCAGTGGGTTGCATTGGGAAGTCTGTAATTGGACAGCCACAGAAAGTCTGGTTGGGTTAGAAGGGGAGGGCTTGCAAAGGCAGCAGACAAGAAAACTGCAGTTTTTTTCCAAACTGTTTTTAGATACATCCTCAATGAAAAAATGCATGCATGTTTTCATTGGGGTATATTTACTAAATTTTTTTTGTTTGTTTTTGATTTGACAATCAACCGGACATGAGGGGCGAAGGAGAGGATGGAGTCAAAGAGAAAACCTTGAAAACGAGCCTGTGAGGTAAAGCTTATGGTAGTGCCATTGACTTGAAGGGAGATTCCACTGGTTTTCATGGTTACTGCCTTGCTTTTAGTACTATAGACTACTTTCAAAAGACAGCACTTAACATGTAAACCCCACCGAATTTTAATGGCCTTGTGTATCCTACTATTTGAAAGAAGCTACATTTGTATTATACTGCATCTTCCAAGTACAGTAGTACTCTATGCATAGTTGCCAACAGTCCCAAATTTGCAGGAGAGTCCCACATTTTGTCCCAGCAAAACGAATTCTGCTGGCAGAGTTCAAATACAGAAGAGGTTTGGGCACTAGGATCAGGCAGTGCTCCAGGTTTGGTCTGCCTGAGGGGACCGAATGTCTGTCAGCCTTGAAATCACCTTTACCAGGCACGTGTGCCCCCTGCACCGAACCTGCTCTTTTCCTTGCCCACCTCTGTCCCAGAAGATGGTGAGAGAATATTGGCAAGTTCTAGGGGCAACTTATAGGATATTGGGGAATTAAAAACACCCTAGGTTTGACATGACTCTGAATGCTTCCCAGAAATGTTGTCTGGCAAAGTTGCACTATCTGTGTTAGCGTCCTGACAAGCCTCACACTAAATGCCTTTTCTAATCCTAGCTTATCCTAGTGTACAGGCCTACAAGATCACATTGTGCACTATTATTAATGGAGATCTTGCATGACTTCCTTACAGTAAAGGGCGTGGCTGTCTCCGTAATCACTTGCCAATGTGGAAACCAGCACAAAGTGCATACCCTATACCAGTGATGGCGAACATTTTTGAGCCCAAGTGCCCAAACCGCAATACAAACCAACTTTTTTGGCAGCAATGCCAACACGACACTGTGATTGTGAGAGGTGCAGTGTGTGTGATAGTGAGGGCTGCAGTGTGTATGGTTGTGAGGGGTGCAGCGTGTGTGATTGTGAGGGGTGCAGTGTGTGTGATTGTGAGGGGATGAGGTGTGTGTGGTTGTGAGTGTTGCAGGGTCTGAGAGGGGAGCATCTTTTTAATTTTATTATTCTATATATATATATTTTATATTTTTATTTAAAAAAAATTTTAGTGTCCCCACCCACTCCCTGTTTCTTACCTGCTTCCAGTGAGGGAGGCAGCTTTTTCCCTGGTGGTCCCATGGTGCTTTAGGTAGGTGGTCTCAATCTTCACCTCTGCGTGTCCGTCTGGTGAATGCACTTCCCGCGAATCCCAGCACCACGTGGAATCGAGCATTGCCATAGAAAGCAGCGTAGGTGCCTGCTGTTTTGAGCAGGCAGGTGCCTACTCTGCATTGCTGCCATGGGGTATAAGGCTGCTGACCCGCGCCACTGGGGCCCCCAGCGACCTATGGCTGCGTGCCCACAGAGAGGGCTCGGCGTGCCCACAGAGAGGGCTCAGCGTGCCATAGGTTTGCCATCGCTACAAAGTGGGTAATAACATGAAAAAAATAGGGACTCTAAGATCAGGTGGCCTAAAATACAGATTGATTAACACATAAAACAAAAAAATAATAATTAAAATTGAGATGATTAAATTATATTGAAAAAGGCATTGAAAGTCATGTTTCAGTGTTTGCAGATGACATAAAGCTCTGTAAAGTAATACAACATGAGTAGGATATTGCTTTGCTGCAGAAAGATTTAAATAGATTAGGGAAATGGGCCCTCAAATGTCAGATTAAATTTACCGTAGAAAAATGCAAAGTTATGCACTTCGGGGTAAAGAATACACAAGCAATTTACAATTAGGGATAACAACACATGAGAAGGATTAAGGAATTGTTATGGAGAACAAACTAAGCAACAGTGTGCAATGTCAAATGGCAGTTGCTAAGGCCAGTAATGTATTGTCATGTAAAAATAGGGGCAATAATTCTAGGGATAAAAATATAATTTTGCCTCTTTACAAATAACAAAAGAGATACTACACCTTAAATATGCTGTGCAATTTGTGGCACCTTTTCTAAAGAAGGATATTAGCACTAGAAAAAGTGCAAGGGTGGTCTACAAAATTAATAAAATGAATGGAACATTTTAGTTAAGAAGAAAGGTTACCAAATTTAAATCTTTTTAGTTTGAAAAAGCAGAGCCTCAGAGGGGATGATAGCATTATACGGGGCGGGGCTTGCTAACCGACCAGAACGGACGCCATTCTTGAAAGCTCCTCCAAAAACAACCTGAATCCAGCAAATATCTTCCCAACAAAGCCCCATCCGACAATAAAAACGCTCCAGCTGACCTGCCTGACCGGAGCCGCACCGATAGATGCCGTTCTTGTACACGGCAAAACACTCCAAGCCGCGGCGCAGGTCTGTGGCCTACTACGCGCCGACGATCCTAGGCCTTGAGGCTCTCCTGCGCAGCAGCTACACACAGAGCCAGCCAGACACCGAGCCTCATGCCACACAGACCACCCATGTCTGCAATGGAACGCCGGTCCCAAAAACCGAACTCCACGGCAGACAGCAGGGACATAGGAGACATGCTGAGGCAGCCTGCACAGCCCAGAACGCTCCGTACAGAGGATCAAGGGGCGAGCACTCAGCACAGAAGGAGAAAGAACCCACTCTACTCACACAGGCAAGTCTCATACAATCTATTGAGACTTCTGATGGGTCGGCCCCCACCAACAAAAATGACTTGAAAAACCTGCTTGCAGACATACATAAATTATGGGCAGCAGACTTAAAACTGTTGAGAAACGACATACAAACCATCACAGACCGGGTGCAAACCGCAGAGGAGGATATCCTTGACACCAGATCAGATATCAAAACCCTTAAGGAGACACCAGCTACAAGAACATCACTCACGCTTCTCCCTACAACTCACAGCCCTAGAAGACAAACAGCGCCGAAATCACATTAAAATACGCGGAGCCCTGATGAAGTCACAGCCGAGGAGCTCCCACACTATCTCCGCAGGTTACTAACCACCATATTACCCCACACTACCGCCAAAACGATAATCATAGACGGGGTACATTGCATAAATAGCTCTGCCAAGCTGGCACCTGGCGTGGCAAGGGACGTCATCCTCAGATGCCTAACCTTCCAAGACAAAACCCAAATAATGTCAGCCCTGAGAAACAAAACGCCTCTGACCTTTGAGGGCCCCTCCTTGTCTTTTTTTTCAAGATCTCACCAAAAGCACACTAGTCTGGCGCAAATCAACGGGAACTGTCACCTCACAATTGAGAAACGCAGACATCACTTACCGCTGGGGAGCCCCAGGGTCCCTGATAGTACCCCACAACGGAACTAATCACACCATCACCTCTGTCGAAGGGGCACCAGCGCTCATGAAAGCACTGGGTCTGGTAGGGCAGAACAGGGGACAGCAATCTAACACTGCCACCGAAAACTGGAACCCAGACCGCATCACCCCCTTTGTCCCATGGAACGACAACTGGGGCCAATACAATCTGTTGTCTGGAAATCTATTATTAAACAAGACTATACATAGAACACAAGTTCACACATTTAGACTAGAAGAAAATAAATTGAATATAAGGCAATGGAAAATATTTTTTTTACAGTAAGAACTATAAGGATGTGGAATTCTCTGCCTGAAGACGTGGTTTTGTCAGAATCTATGCAGATGTTTAAACAACAATTGTAAAAATATAATATTCAGGGATATCATTTTTCATTTGTGGAGTAATTGATCCAAGGAGAGATCTGACTGCCACTCTGGGGTCAAGAAGGAGTTTTTTTTAGTTTGTTGCAAAATTTGCGGTGCTTCAAACTGTATTTTTTTTTTTTTGCCTTCTTTTGGATCAACAGCAAAAGCAGATGTGAGAAAGTATGAACTTTATGGACGCATGCCTCTTTTCAGCTACGCAACTATGCATCTGTAATTACAGAACACCACACACAGACTAGATTGCATTCTGTTTTCAGTTCAGTAGAGGTCAGCATGTCTCTAGTTTCTGAACAGATTTCTTGGTGAAATAATTGATTATACTGGAACTTATCCACTAAGCACTGACAGGATGATTCACTAAAGTGCGAATTGCGGGGATTTAAACAGGGTTATTTACTAACATGAGAATTAAAAGTGAATTTCAGATGTAAGCAAAATTAGCAGAACTGGAAAAATTCCCTAAGTCAAATATGCTTTCAATTTGACTGCTCTGGCCTTAAAAGAATACTATGGTGTCAGAAATAAAAACATGTATTCCTAACACTAAAGTGCTGGAATATATATTTTGGTGTCATGCCCCCATCTCTGTGGAAATAAGAAGTGAGTTTACTCTTCTTTTCTCATCTGCCCCTCCAGTCTTGCTGAGCCTGGCCCTGCCTGCATGGATGAGATCATCAATGTTGATGCAGTGGCGGATTCGGGGGGAGGCGGGGAAACAGGGAGATTCTCCCCTGCCGACTAATGCAGGGCTGGCACTGTCCAAGCGCCAGCCCTGCAATGTGCCTTCACGGACCGAAGGGGAGATCAGAGATCAGAGGGAGGAAGAGAGGACCCGGGAGCTCAGCCTGCAACTTTTCAGGGTCCTACTCTCGCGAGCACAGAGCGTTGCCGCGGTTACCACTCTAGCCAGGGGCGTATTAGCCGCGAGGCAAACAAGGCATTTGCCTTGGGCGGCATTTTTCAGGGGGCGGCAAAAAACGCCGCCCCCCAAATGCCCAGGGCAAATGTCTTGTTAGCCTCGCGGCTAACAGACATTCTGGGCGCTGGGCGGCAGTGGCTGCAGCGCTGGGCGGGCGGCCGGCGAGGGAGCTCTTCCCCTGAGCGCTCTGCTCAGCTCCCTCGCGCGCCGCCAGCAGAGTGAGGCCGGGAGCCGGGTTGATGACGTCATATTCCGGCTCCCAGCCTCACTCTGCTGGCGGCGCGCGAGGGAGCTGAGCAGAGCGCTCAGGGGAAGAGCTCCCTCGGCGGCCGCCCGCCCAGCGCTGCAGCCACTGGACCCCAGGGAGAGGAAGAACCCCCCCCAGCATTACCAAAGGTAAGGAGGCTGGGGGGGGGTTAAATAAAAAAAACACTAGTGTGTGTGGATGTCTGTTAGTGTGTATGTTAGTGTGTGTATGTATGTTAGTGTTAGTGTGTGTATGTTAGTGTGTGTGTGTGTGGATGTCTGTTAGTGTGTGTATGTTAGTGTTTGTGTGTGTTAGTGTGTGTATGTTAGTGTGTGTGGATGTCTGTTAGTGTGTGTCTGTTAGTGTGTCTGTTAGTGTGTGTATGTTAGTGTGTGTAAGTTAGTGTGTGTGGATGTCTGTTAGTGTGTGTCTGTTAGTTTGTGTCTGTTAGTGTGTGTATGTTAGTGTGTCTATGTTAGTGTGAGTCTGTTAGTGTGTGTGTGTCTGTTAGTGTGTGTGTCTGTTAGTGTTAGTGTGTATGTATGTTAGTGTTAGTGTATGTATGTTAGTGTTAGTGTATGTATGTTAGTGTATGTATGTTAGTGTTAGTGTGTGTGTGTCTGTTTGCCTGTGAGTGTGTGTGTGTTTGCCTGTGAGTGTGTGTGTCTGTTAGTGAGTGTGTGTCTGTTAGTGACTGTGTGTTTCTGTTAGCTAGTGAATGCGTATCTGTCAGTGAATGTGTGTGTATTTAGAAGGCGGAGCAGGGGGGAAGGTTGGGTGGTGGTTGCGCGGGTGGGGGTGGCGCGGGGGGGGGTGCCTGAGTTTTGTCCTGCCTAGGGCAGCACAAAACCAGGATACACCACTGACTCTAGCTATGGGCTAGAGTTCATTCTCACCACTGGGACCACCAAGGAATCTCCACCGGACCACCAGGGATCGAGAAATGTCGTCACTCCTCCTCAAAATATATTATTCCTTTACTCCTTGCTATTGTGCTAATAATAGTAAATATCTCTATATGGCTGGAATACAAACTAAAGCAACTACCATAACAGTTATATTATAATTACTATTACTTCTGGCATAAAAAAATAAAAAGCCTCCCTACCCTCCTTCCCCCCATACACACACTGCCCTACAAACACACACTGCCACCTATACACACACTGCCCCACATACACAGCCCCCCATACACACACTCATAGACACATTGCCACCCACACACATACACTGCACACCCATACACACATTGCCACACACACACACGGCCCCCACAGACACATACAGTGCCCCACATACACTGTCCCACACACACATACAGTGCTCCCCATACACACACTGCCACACATACACAGATTGCCCCCCCATACACACATTGCCCCACACACACATACACTGCAAGCCTCTCACACACACTGCCCCCCTCACATACACTCTGCAGCTCTCTTACACACACACTGCCCCACACATATACTGCCCCCTAACACACACACTGCAACCCTGACATACACTGCCACCCTTACGCACTCACACACACACACACTTCACCCCTCACACATACCACTGCTCCTATGCCCTATATCCCAGCAGACTCCAGGTAAGTTGTTAAACTGTTCTTATACGGTTTGACTACTTACTCTGGGATGGGATCCTGGCACTACTGGTACCATAACTACTACACTGTGCCGTAGTGGTTATTGTGCCTGCATTATTTCTTTAAATAATCTACAAGTGCCCCTCCCGAGATCAGGCTCTGGATCCACCACTGTGTTAATGATCGCAGCCAATCGAAAGCTTTCCTATAGGAAAGCACAAGGAGACTATTGCGAAAGCGCATCAAAACTCTGAGCAGCACCAATCAGCATCTCCTCATAAAGTCATTGAATCTAAGGGAAGCGTGGAGACTCTGAACTAGGTACTTCACACTGTGCAGCCCCGGTATAGGAAGCACCTCTAGGGGCCGTCAGATTTTCCTAGGCAGTAAGGTAAACACTTTATTTTCTCTGAAAAAAACAGGGGCATGCTTTAGACACAAGAACCACAACATTAAGCTGTAAAGGTTCTGGTGACTATAGGGTCCCTTTAAGTTTGAAATGCATTTGAATGCACATGTTAATCAATTGTTACTGTAAGAGGTCATGCAGGGTCTCCATTAATAATAGTGCACACTGAGATAACCTAGGATTAGAAAAAGCATCATAGTGTGATGCTGGTCAGGAGGCTAACACAGATAGTGCAACTTTACCAAACAACATTTCTAGGAAGCATTCAAAGAGTCATGTCAAATTTAGGGTGTTTTTAATTTGATCACTTTAGTAAATAACTGTCAAAGTAAATTCAAAATTTTAGGCTGAACTAGCTGACCTGAAAGCACAGCTGAATTGTAGAATTTAACTACTTTGTTCTATACTTTGAAATTCACTTCAAATTCACTTTCAGGGTTATTCACTAAAGTGAGAATTGTTGAGAATGCAAAGTGAATTTCAAATTACAGGGAAAAATTGGTACACTGGCTGTTTTGTCCTTGAATTCGAAATTCATTTTAATTCATCTTGAATTTCTGACAGTTCTTTCCTTAGTGAATAACACTGATTTTACACTTTTGTAAACTTTGAATTGTGGTGAATTTACATACAAATATCAATATTTATGCTGGAATTTAGCAAGGTTAAGGGACCTGGGAATATGTACCCAGACCACTTCAATAAGCTGAAGTGGTCTGGGTGCCTGTAGTGTTCTTTTAGGCTGCCTTGTAGTCATGGATATAGAAAATCCAGGGAAGTTTTTTGAATTGTGGCATTTGGGCAGTTAGACAGGTATCTATCTGGGCAGACGTGGTGACTCTTCTGTTGCTGGGACTGGAGCTGACCTGTGATTGGATGAAAGTCTCAAGTGTTAAAATCATGGTAAGCTGGGACAGAATAAAATGCAGCACCGCCAAAGTGGTTAATGAGGAAGGAGCGGTGTGGATGGACCCTTGCATTTCCACACTTTAATTGTATAGTCATGGTGTTACACAGCCTTAGGGGCCAAGGTCTTCCTCAGGGTTAAGTTCTGAGGAAGGATATGTTAGTAGATGGTTTTAAATAAAAAGAGGTCTGGTCATCTAAGACTGACTGGCAAGTTTTAAAAGGTTAGAAGTTAATGTTATATGTTATCATTGTGGAAATGATGGTTGCTAGCCCCATAAGCTTTGAATAAGCACCACGGCCTAGCCCATTGAAAAGCAAACTGTCTGTTTATGGTGTGGTCTCATTTTATTTCTACAAAAATATTGCCTACCATACATATAAAAGCCTCAGGCATTATGCACTGTGGAATATATGTATGGTGGCAGTGAAGGAATTTTATGGCAAGACAGGAGGCTTCATATTTGCTTATCTTTCTTTACTGAAACTCCCAGCAGCAAAGAAGTAGTTAACAAAGTTGTAAAAAATTCAACCAATCATAACACATCATAGAACAATATAGTGGCATCAGACTCCTCCCACTCCTTCTTTCTTTGCTGCTTGCCTCCCAGGTGAGTCTATTCTAATTACGTTGCCTAGTTTTACTACTTGATTTTTAATTGTCATAGATTATTTGATAATTTCTATATGTTAATCCTAGTACTGGGGGAACCAATTCCCAGGAGACCATTTCTCCTTGTAGCAGCCTTCACGCCTTTTCTAACCGCTTCCCGCTGTCTGTGGACTCTGAAGCGATCGCGCCGTCCCATTTACTCGCAGCGGCCATTTTCCACTCGCGGTACACTTCCCCGCGGCTCCTGTGCTTTCCTACCGGATAGTGAATCATTCTGTGGGCACCAGTGCTACCCTTTCGGACGGTACGTTATTTTAATTAAACTAAATTACTTAAAGGTACATTTTTTCCTAAAAACGATCAGTATTCTGATCATAATTTTCTTGTATATCTTTGCAGGTTTGCTCCAGACAAGACCAACCTGCTAAGCAAACTGGGTGAACCCCTTTCCCTACACTCACTTGTATTCCTTGTATACATTCCCAATTCATTAAAAAATAATTGTGTGGCTGACACCACCTTTGTTTCTGCTGTGGGTGATCCCCACCTAATTACTAATAACAATACTTTGTGTGGCTGACACCACCTTGTTTATTTTGTGGGTGAGCCCCACCTTATTTCTACATATATTTCTGTATTATATTGGTGATTATCACCATTTGTTTTTCTCCAGTGGGTGACCCCCACCTTATAAGCTATTGTATATATATTTTATATTATACTAAGTGGTTGATCACCACCTCTAGTTATTGGGTGAACTCCCCCCCCCCCTAGTTTGACCTTTGGAGTTTATTTGTGCCTAACATATTGTGGGTGACCCCCACTGTTTCTACTCTTGTGTGGGAGACCCCCACCTCTCCAGTATTCTAACTGAGTTGCCTCATCTTTTAAGTGCCAACCCTGATTTATATTTATTTATTAACAACTACCTGTAGTTGTTAAGCTGCCTTCATTAGCATTTTCCCTATAATTTTCTTAATATTAATAAGACATTATGTTGGATCGCCAAGACCCTGCAATTTCTTCAGAACTTCGAGAATGGCTTTTCTCCACTATTGCGGAGTCCATTCCCAAGGCTTTGGCAGCCTATCATGAGCAAACTGCTACAGAGGTCCATCCCTCTACCCACCAACCTTCTGACTCAGAGGATTCCCACCTCTCAGACCAAGAAAGCGCCCCGCGTAAGAGACTCTGGAAAGGGAATAGCGCTACTGCGGGCAAAGGCAAAGCTCCTGCAAAGATTTTTAAATACTCCCTGCCATGTGCTATGCAGGATCCCACAGACCCTCTAGAGGGATCTACCTCTCGATTAGCTGGCCATAGTTTAAATGACTATGGTACCACCTACTCTGATGAGGACCCCACGGTGAATGTGCCCCAGGATTCCTCAATGTCAGAGTTCGTTAAATAAACTTTTCACACACAGGCTCAGGAGGCTAAGTGTGGCCCTCCATCTAAAGAGCCTGTCTCAGACATCCTCCTGGATGCTTCAGGCCTCCCCCTTTTTGACCCAAGGGTGATCCGTCACCCACAATCTGCAGAATGGGCCCCTCCCGATGATATTGCCAGCTTTTGCAAAATGTGGCTTCGCAAGCCCCTCGAGAAAGAAATTAGAAAAAAACTGAGGGCTGAATGCCCAAGATCAACTATTCTGGGCAAAGTTGCCTCTACCCCTGAGTTTGACCCCATGCTTGTCACCTACGTAACAAAATCCGGCAAAGACCCTCGTAAGGGTATTGAACAAGGGTTGAAAGCAACCCAAGACAAGCTTCTGGACATTTCAGGTCCTATAATCCAGATATTTATCCTGGCAGATGAGGCACTCACTAGCGGTGAATTTGACCCACACACTATAAGAGAATGGGCAACGCCAATGTGGCAATTTCTATTAAAAGACGAAAAGCGGCACTTTATAAAATTGATGCCAAATTGGTAGACTTAAGTTCAAAGGAATTGGGACCAGAAGCCGATGGTCTCCTATTCGGTGACAGTTTTATGCGAGACCTCTCCAAGCATGTCTCGGTATTTACCACATTAAATAAAGCCCAGTCCTCATTACGCAGGGTTTTCCGCTCCCAAACACAACGTTTTTCCTGGAGAGCTGGTCGCCACAGGGGCCGAGCTACCAGTAGAGCAGCCTTTGCAGGCTACAGGCCTCGAGCCACAGACTATTGGTCCACAGGACCCACGGGACCCTATCACAGACAGCTATTCAACACCAGAGGCTCTATTCGAGGACGTGGTTCTGCATCCCTGCGCGGACGCACTGCTTCAGGTAACGGACCTTACTTATTTAAAAAATGTACCAATTGCAGGTCGATTAACCCTTTTTTTCCGACAGTGGAAACTACTTTCTCAGGATCACTGGATCCTTCATACAGTCAGGGGTTTCAAAATGTCGGAAGCAGACAAAATAACCTTAAACTCAGAGTTACACAAACTAATAGACAAAGGGGCGATCGAACACTCGCCTTTTCCTTACACCTTCCTCAGCAACATTTTTCTTGTCTGAAAAAAGACAGGAGACCACCGTCCTATTATCAATCTCAAAGAACTGAATCAATTTATCACATACCGTCATTTCAAGATGGAAGGTATCCATCTTCTCAGGGACCTACTTTGCGTGGGAGACTGGTTCTCCAGATTCGACCTCAGGGATGCCTACCTCACGGTCCCAATCGCACTGTAAAGGTGGTTGATTAAAATGAGCAAAGCTTTTGTCTGGGAAAGAATTGAAAAGAACACCAAGTTCCAGAGCAAGATATTCTTGGATGGATCCGGATACGAATTGTAATCCAAAGTTAAAAGTAGTAATTGTATTTGTAATCCAAAGTCTTAAAGGCCTGTAGAAGTTTACATTCCTTAGATACATTACTGGAGGTTGTGTTTGTAGAATACCCGGGTATTAATTGTAGAGTATTGGTTGTAGAGTCCAGCTTTCCAAATATTTGGCTAGAATTGGTTGCAGATATTGAATCAGCATCATCTGTTATCACCGTGGTGATGGCGTTGGTATTTGCCTTTGTCTTTGCTTTTTATTTTGTTTTTTCCATGCAACATTTTTACACAATGATGTGTAAAATTTAAGTCTGGAATCTGATTCCTTGGAGGTGGTCACCTCCAAATAAGCCTCTGAAACTGGGGGGCTGATAGGGGTGCTCATCCCAAAAGGAATCAGTTTGCAATATCTTTTAAAGACAAAGTACAGAGTTTAAGAAATACAACATTTCATTCTAAAACTTGTAATATTTGCATTTGCCCATAACACCAGGACCCGACAATTTAGTCGCGGACTGGTTTTCGCGTCATTGGAGAGATGCCAGCGATTGGCAATTAGACCCTTTTCTGTTTCACCACATTCGTCTATTACGGGGACCTCACATTAGACCTCTTTGCATCTCGCCTGAATCGTCAGACAGACGATTTCTTCAGCTGGCTACCAGACCCTCTATCTCTGGCAGTCGACGCTTTTATGCAACCTTGGCCGCGGAGAGGAGCTAATGCTTTCCCTCCTTTCTCGATGATTCAATGGACCCTTCACTGAGTCAAAGCTCAAAGGGTCAGGATATTAATAATCACTCCACTATGGAGGGCCCAGACTTGGTTCCCCACCCTCCTGGAACTATCAGTAGATTACCCCATCTTGCTACCTCGTTCCTTTCGGGTCCTCAGGAACCATGCGGCCAATTAACACCCACTCGCCCTACAGGGTCATCTTTAACTAGTAGCTTGGACAGTTTCAGAGGAGCTTGGCATGTCGCGGGACTTTCACACACAGCTCAAACACTCCTATGGGACTTGTGGGCTCCAGGAACCAGATGAACCTACCTCTCTGCATGGCGGATTTGGGTCAGCTGGTGTCTGGACAGGGACCTCGATCCCGTTTCAACATCTCTTTCACCCATTTTAAATTTTTTATCCTCTCTCTTCGATCAGGGTAAATCATACCGATCGATTAATGTTTTTCGTTCCGCCATTTCGGCAGCCCATGACACTATTGATAATTCTTTGGTTGGGAAACACCCTTCCGTGTACAGACTTCTACTGGGCATAAATTTGACGAGGCCGCCTACTGCCAAATATTCTAATTTCTGGGATATTTCTAATGTTTTTATACTGTTGGATTCCTGGCCTTCTAACGAAGCCTTATCCCTACGCCAACGTTCTGCGAAATTGGCCCTGCTCCTGTGCCTGGTGTCTTTCCGCAGTCTCAGACGTTCAGGCCTTTGACGCTCATGCTGTGGCCTTCGCACCAGACGGTGTCAGATTTACTATTACTAGACGCACTAAGACTAATTCCTCCTCAGCTTTTTACCCATACTTTCCCGACAGACCGTCTCTCTCTGTAGCCCTGTGTACCCGTTGCTACATTGAGAGCACTATCTCTCTACGTTCTCCTACTGGACCTCTCTTTGTCTCTTACGTTAGACCTCACAAACCGGTCTCTTCCCCCACGATCGCACGCTGGATAAGATGGTTGCTCACCCAAGCAGGAATTGATCAATCATTCGGTGCTCACTCCGTTAGAGGTGCGGCTGCATCCTCTGCCTTTCGCGCAGGCAACTCGCTGGCAGATATTCTCTCCTCCGCAGATTGGTCAAGGGAATCTACCGTATATACTCGAGTATAAGCCGAGTTTTTCAGCACATTTTTTGTGCTGAAAAACCCCACCTCGGCTTATACTCGAGTCACTGTCTGTATTATGGCAATTTACATTGCCATAATACAGACTGGGGGCTGGCAGAGCTGTTACTTACCTCTCCTGCAGCTCCTGTCAGCTCCCTCCTCCTCCGCGCCGGTCCGGTCAGCACCTCGGTCAGCTCCCAGTGTAAGTCTCGCGAGAGCCGCGGGGTCATAGTGCGGCTCTCGCGAGACTTACAGTGTGAGCTGACAGAAGAGCTGCACGGACCGGCGCGGAGGAGGAGAGAGCTGACAGGAGCTGCAGGAGAGGTAAGTAACAGCTCTGACAGCCCCCCTCCTCCCCCCACTGAACTGCCACTGGACCACCAGGGAAAGAGAGCCCCCCTCCCTGCCATGTATCAAGCAGGGTGGGGGGACAAAACATACATAAATTAATAATATATAAATAATAATAATAATAATAAAAAATAATAATAATAACAAAAAATTTAAATATTAATTAATAATATATAAATATAAATAATAATAAAAAAATAATATAACCAAAAAAATAAAATAATAAATAATAATATTTTTTTTTTTTTTATAAAAATGCCCACCCCCCACCAAGGCTCTGCAACACAAACACACACACTGCATCACATACACACTGCACTCATACACACACACTGCATTCATACACACACACTGCACTCATATACACACTGCATTTATACACACACTGCGCACTCATACACACACACACTGCATTCATCATATACACACACTGTAAATAAATATTCAATTAATATAATTTTTTTAGGATCTAATTTTATTTAGAAATTTACCAGTAGCTGCTGCATTTCCCACCCTAGTCTTATACTCGAGTCAATAAGTTTTCCCAGTTTTTGGGGTAAAATTAGGGGCCTCGGCTTATATTCGGGTCGGCTTATACTCGAGTATATACGGTACCTTTCAAACTTTTTATTTTAAACCTACATCACCTGTGGCTTGTTCCTTTATCCAAGAGCGTTAAAACAGCAAATATGAAGCCTCCTGTCTTGCCATAAAATTAGGTATTATTCTAGTTTACAGTGAACGAATAATCTAAATTTTATTAAAGACAGGAGGCGAATATTTTCCCTCCCTTCGTTCACTCTGGAACCCACCCTTAGTCTCCTTTTTTACTGTTATTGCATTGTACACTCTCTTGCAATTTGATTGTTGTAGGTATACGATTTTGTTAGCCTAGTAAGATCTAGTCCTACATCGCATTGTACCATTATGATCTTTAAATCCTACCAGATAATCTGAGCTATCACTTTAAAGTGCATACGTATGTTTTTTCTCTTGTCTAAGAGACCATACTTTCACAAAGTTTTTCTTCTCTCCTAGTGTGAAAATCTCACGTTGTTCTACTCGACAACACGTTTACATGGTTGACTTCATTGCGTTACACCTGAGTTACGGTTCCAGAATGTTTCCAGTTTACATGGTTGATTCTACTACTGATCGGCACCACCAAGAAAGAGGAAGTGGGAGAAGTCTGATGGCACTATATTGTTCTATGATGTGTTATGATTGGTTGAATTTTTTACAACTTTGTTAACTACTTCTTTGCTGCTGGGAGTTTCAGTAAAGAAAGATAAGCAAATATTCGCCTCCTGTCTTTAATAAAATTTAGATTATTCGTTCACTGTAAGGTAGAATAATCCCTAATTAAATAGTCTTGTAGTCATGGATAAAGAAAATCCAGGGAAGTTTTTTAAATTTTGGCAGTTGGGCAGTTAGACAGGTATCTACTAGGGAGAAGTGGCGACACTGCTGTTTCTGGGACTGGAGCTGGCTTGGGATTGGGTGAAGATTGCTAGCGCCAAAAGCACAGGAAACTGGGATAGAATAACATGCATCAGTGCAAATGCAATCCTGTCAGTGGTTATTGAGGCAGGAGCGGTGCAGACGGAATCCCGCCCTCCCTTTAATTTAATTGTTGGGTTTTATATAGCAAGGGGGCAAAAGTCATCCTCAGGTTCAAGTTCTGAGGAAGGATATGTTAGTAGATGGTTTTAAATAAAAGGCAGTCTGGTCATCGAAGACTGACTGGCAATTTGGTGGTTAATAAAGTATTAGTAGGTTAAAAGTTTATGTTACATGTTTATCGTTATGAAAATTAAGGTTGTAAGCCCTTTAACCCCTTAAGGACACATGACATGTGTGACATGTCATGATTCCCTTTTATTCCAGAAGTTTGGTCCTTAGGGGTTAAGCTTTGAATAAATACACAGCCTGGCCTAGCCTAACCCGATATTCTAATTTTTCGAGTATCACCTGTAAATAAACAGTTATGGAGAAAAAAAAAGTAATAGGAGCTGCTAAAAAATATAAATGCGACCATACATTCAAACTGTTATAAAAAAAAAGCATTAAATTACAAATATGAAAATGCTAGTGTATTCCACAAGGATTTCCGATTCACAATGTGGCAATGTTTTGGATTCTGAATTGAATATATTTGTTATTATATTTATATATAATCACCAAATGCTTGGTGAAAACAGACATTAGTCATGATTTCCTTTTGTATTCAAAAACAATGGGGATATACAGAACTGCTACAACAAAATTGTAGCTTATACTGCACTACATTCGCAAAAAAAAAATCAATGTTTTAGCAAAAGACTTTAATCATGCCCATTGTTATATTATTTTTCCATTATCTTGATCAGGTGAGCAGGCCCAGTAAATATATTTTCTTTAAGCAGGAATCTTTGAAGATCAAAATTTAGGGTCTGATATGTCTGTAATGTGATGACCCATGATAGTTTTTTCCCACTCTGATAGCTGCACCACAAATCCTCGGTTTGGCCTCATGTTCATTTTGCACTTCAGGACATCTTCCCATGCCTCCTAAAAGAGAATCCCACAGATTAATGCAATGTTTTTTGTTGGAAGCTACAATTACGCTGGATTATTGGAATATAATATATATTCCAGAATATATATATATATTGAGAAAACAAGTACAGGCTGTGTACAGTGAGTTCCAGTCAGTATTATTTTGGCAGAAAATTTCAATTTAGTTTTAGTCATAGTCTTTTGACTAATAGGCCACTTTAGTTTTAGTCGTATTTTGGTTATCTGAATTGTTTTCATTTTAGTCTACTAAATCTCCAGTAGATTTTGGTCGACACAACTAAAATCTAATGGGTTTATTTAAAGCCTCTATCTGTCTCTTTTGCCCTTTCCCCAGCCCCTCGGTGTCTCTTTGTGCCCCCCTAGCCCCTCTGGGTGTCTTTCTCCCAAGCCCCGGTCTGTCTCATTTGCCCCTTCCAAAGTCCCTCTGTGTCCTTCCAGCCTGTCTGGGTGTCTCCACCCCAAACCCTTGTCTCTCTCTTTTGCCCCTTCCACAGCCCCTCTGTGGCTCTTTGGCCCCCTCCCAGCCCCTCTGTGTGGCTCCTTCTCTCCATAGCCCCAGCTGAGGGTCTCTTCCCCCCAGCCCCTTGTCTCTTTTTTCCCCAGCCCCTCTATGTCACATTGTGTGTCCCCCAGCCATCTCATCTGCCCCAAGTGTATCTTTCCCCCAGCCAGCCTGTGTCTCAATTCTTTCCCCAACCCCTCCATGTGTTTCATTCCCCCTAAGCCCGTCCATGTGTTCATTCCCCCCAGTCCATGTGTCTCATTCTCCCAGCCTCCATGTGCTTCATTCCCCCAGCCCCCTCATGTGTCTCATTCACCCAGCCCCCTCATGTGTCTCATTCTCCCAGCACCCTCATGTGTCTCATTCTCCCAGCACCCTCATGTGTCTCATTCTCCCAGCACCCTCATGTGACTCATCCTCCCAGCACCCTCATGTGACTCATCCTCCCAGCACCCTCATGTGACTCATCCTCCCAGCACCCTCATGTGACTCATTCTCCCAGCACCCCATGTGTCTCATTCTCCCAGCACCCCATGTGTCTCAATAACTCAGCCCACCATGTGTCTCATTCCTTCAGCCCCCATGTGTCTCATTTCCTCTCCTCCCTCCCCCATGTGTCTTACCTGTAAGCAGGAAATTTCTATTTAGTTTTAGTCATTAAAGTCTAAAATTTAGTTTAAAAAGCCATTTTAGTTTTAGTCGTATTTTAGTCATCTGAAATGTTTTAGTCTTAGTCTTGTTGTAGTCGCCAATTCTCAAAATGTTAAGTCAACTAAAATCGTTAATCGACAAAATTAACACTGGTTCCAGTAAAGCCACCTTACATATTGTCCCAGCTGCAAGTCCTCCTCAAAGGGAGAAAAAAATAAATAAAAAATAACTCACTTTGCAGGATATGTGTAAGAAATAGCTAAACTGAAAATACAGCAGATTTATTTTGATGTGAGAGAATGGGGGAGAGGTATTGAAGAAAAAAAAAAAAGATTTTGTTTTATAAATATATTGTCGCATCAGATATTGTGTATTTCACCAGCAAATAGACAGCTTGATAAATAGATCAATATAAAAGTTTCAGAAAAGTACATAATAAGAGGTATATATTGAAATACCTGTTAAAATAAAAACTGTTGCTAATGTGTAACAAAACTTTGGTCTTCAGTGCTGGCAGACAGTATAAACATTTAGAAATTACCTTCAACGTGCACTTTCTGTAATGCATTAGGTATGCAATCAGCACAGTACTGCTGCGGCTGATACCCAGATCCGAAACTACTAGAACTGCAGAATTTTTCTGTGAATCTGTATAATAAGATACATCAATAACAATAATTATTCATAAAGTCAAAGTTAAAAATTTCCACTCTTCTACCCCCTCCTCTATCTACCCCAACGCCCCCTTTTGGTTTTTTTCCTTCTTCTCCTTTCTCTTATTTTTCCTCTGTCTCTTTTTCCCCTGAACCTCGTTACACACAAACACACTCTAAAAGGAACCCACACATACACCTACACGTACGAACATAGACGAGATCCCTGCCGGTTACTAATCATACGAATAGGACAAGCGCACACACCCAAAAACCACCTACCACTATACTAGGACACGCGGCCGACCTCTAAGCCCGCGCCACCCACAATCCCACCTGACGGTGGACATACCCTACAATACACATGCAGTGCAATCAGATACATACCTATATACTAGCCAACACGGGCACATAGACTTTCAACTACCATACCACGCTTATTCCAACACCACCACGAAAGCGGCAACCCCACGTGGCTTGACCCAATTATAAGCAGATGCGTCACCAATATTGAACAATGAAATGACATAACAGTCTTACAAACCCGGCACATACACTTGTTATCACTGAGCCATGATAACGCTTTCTATACTCAGCATACGTCTAAGCTTTACCCGTAACCACAAATCTGTGCAGAATGGTCACTTAGATACGGTGAACAGCCTACTACTGCTTCTGTCACACTTGATGAATAACCTGTAAACGACCTCACCTGATGCACAACACACTAAGCCTCTGTGTAGGCACCACAACATCACTATGCTGTATGTATGCTATGACTATTCCTGTGAAATAAAAACATATTTAAAAAAAATTTCCACTTTTCTTTTTGCACATGGAAAATGGAAATTGAGTTGGTGTGAGAGAAACACCCATAGCCACATAGTGTAACGTGTCAGCTAGGTAGGAGGTAATTCAGCTGTAGGTCTGGAGGCTTCTGCCATGGACATGAACTGCAACCATGCAAGGATAAACTTTATCTTTTACCGACATGCACAACTTCCCCGTGGCTCGCAATGTAGCAATACATGATGTCATACCCGACACTCTGTATAACTACAGTGTAAGTTGCCAGAAAGGGGGCAGGGGCAATTAAGAAAATAGGACAGTTACAAGTGAAAGATAGTAGGGACATTCAGGGAAAGGGGTCAGTCAGAAATGGAAGATGGCAGTGACAATGGGAAGGAGGCGCACAAATGAAGGGATGCTAGAACAACAAATATGTAAATATATAGGAATAGATTTCATGTGAAAACATCTACAATTCACCTAGTAGGGGAAGTGGGGTAGTGAAAAATTAGAGAAAAGGGGCAGTGATATTTAGATATAAGGAGCAGTGACATACCACTAATCTCAATCCTTCAAATGTAACTTTCAATATGTTGGAAGACAACCAGTAATATTGCAAGAGAAACTGAATATACACAACACACAAACCTATGCACTCAGGCAGTCACCCACACCCATGAATGTGTTCATTCATGCACAGTAATACCTTTCATATGCACCCTTTCAGTCACCAACCCTCTACAGAAAGATATCCCTGCATTCACACCCATATTGGCACACCATCCTCTTAAAAAAAATATCAAAATGCTTGTTATGTACCTTCTTGTTGCGTGTCTTCTGTCCTGGCCAGTAGCTAAATAGGTGTGAGATTCCCTTTATACATATGTTAAATTAAACCTAAATACTGTTGTACAATGTTAAAATGTTTCATTCATCTAGAAGAATAGCTTACCTATAAACGTGCACACATTGGGAAAAAACTGAAGAAGGTCTGAATCATTGGAATCTGTGGTTGGAATATGCAGCATGTGAACATTTTCTAGAGAACTAGGAGACAAAAACATATTGTTAATGCGATCTGCGTTTTTCCGATGATAACATATCTGGAATCTAAAAAATATTTAGAATCATTCTGTATGTAGCTTGGTATCTCCATAGTTTGACTCACTCAAATTACAATGTATAGACTTTCCCCCCTGAAAATTATGTATTTCTTTATATGTGTTTGAAGAGATCCTATCCATGGTGAATGTATATAAGGCCTTTTGACAGTGTATGGAGGTAGATTTCCTAAAGTTGGGAGAGGAGAGAAAGTCTAAAACTCCATATTATATCACATTAATTGTGATCCATAAAAGAGCATATCAAGGAGTGTGTTAGATCTGTCAAGAACACTACCAATACCTAGACATCTTAAAGCCTATCACTCTGGACGTGCCAACAGATTGTGCTTCTGTGGGCTGGAACTTGTAAAAAGTGACCAAAGCAAGCGGAGGTGACTGACACATTTTTAAGACAGCGTGATTGCCATTGGATCTACAAATTGAAAACCCTCAATCCAAGAGGGCTCAATGAAGGATTTTCTTACCTTGTTTATTTAACTCATTTTTGGGACATTGGGTATATTGATTATTTGATCACTTCTATTGAAAGAAAGTGTTGTACCTTTATTTAGAGGTGAATTACTATGTTCTCAAGTTTTGGGCTTTTTCCATGGTGGGATGTTAAGTGTTTATCAACTTTAATCGTGGGCACTTCTCACCACCTATGTAGTATGATGTCACCACTTAGTTTTAAAGAGAACTTTATTAACACAACTATTATAGGTTGAAGTTGGTATTAGTTTTTCTTAATAAATCATACTGTATGGAGGACAGTATTTATCTTAATAATAATATGTTACATGGAGGATACTATATTATACTCTCTGCATGTATTAACTAGTTTTGGACAATTCGTGATTCATTAAGGTGTATTATGCTCCCAAACTCTTGGCTGTTTCGGTGTGGGAGGTATTTATTATTTAAAAAAGAAAAAAGAAAAAAGGGAAAAACAAATACTTTTGGAAAATCACCAAAGTAAATATATCATAGCAAATATACAACCTATATACAATGTAATCAAAGAACCAGTAAATCAAACAGAATCTGGAAAAAGGAAAAGAAATATAGTGCAGTATAATTAGCACAAGGGGGTGTCACGGCAAGGGTGCATAATTTATTATTACACTATGGAATATTGTCCATTAATGGAATTTGTGTAGTACATTAAGGACCTGCTGGCCTGGAGGAGATGGTACTGAGGTCAAAAGGGGTTAAATCTTTTGAAGCTGGGACCCCCACAGAGGTCAGATGACAGAAGGGGTAGTATTAATGGCATAGCAATGTGAAAAGGATTTTACCATATGGATGTGAATTACTCAAGGCTCTGCAAGGTGTGAGGTTCTACACTTGGAAAAAGTCTGAATGTCTCTTCATCCATTTGGCATGTACCTTGTAATTGATGAGGGGATTTCTTTGATATGTTAATGATCATTAGCCTTGTGTTCAAGTATATCCAAAATAAACATTAATATGTACCCCAGAGAATAATAATTAAGCCTCATTTTTGTTATATTTGGAATGTGACAAGCCCCATCCTCTAAACAAGCCCAAATATGAGTGGCCTGACTTGACCATAGGGGAAGGAATTTTGATGTCCGTCCTATTGGATCATGGGTGGGGGCTGCAACATGGAATGGGAAAATAAAAAAATTGTAGATGCAATTATTATTTATGTGGCAGGCACATAAGAGAAAATGATAGAGCCAAATGTTTCCATTTGGATTTAGGTTGGTCTGGAACAAAGGAGGTGGTCACTTATTATTTCTATAAGTACGCCTTAACGCCACCCTGGGCAAGACTTGATAATCCACAGGGTATGTATCCAATGATTTGAAGGGGTGTTGGTGTACTTGCTTGGGGCCAAGATGTAATTTTGTGTGAGTGAGTCACCATCATGCTTTCTTGCCAGAGACCCCCTGGGTAGAAGTTGTACTTTGAAAACCTAAGTAATTAGGACTTCTGTATTTTATCCTTTTTGTTTTTAGCTGTTGTTGGTGTAAATAATTGGTTTATCATATATTTTTGTATGCACTGTGACTATTTGTTGCTCATAATAAACATTCATTTATTAAGTTCTGCCTTTGTCTGGTTAAGAATCACATTACCTGAAGACACTAATTAGTATTTTTGCACTTCCTTAAATATTGTGCTAAGTAATATTTGGTGGGTTTTATCATTGATTTACCTGGGGGACCAAGGCACCCCATTTATAAATTCTTGGCTGTGGCAGCGATAAAATAGTAATAGTTATATTATGATGTTTAAGTGTGGGTGGTTTTAAAAGGGGAATTTTGTCATTATTTCCGGTCTAGTGCAGACAAATAGTGAGCTTTAACCCTTTCACCACCACAACTACGTCACGCACATTGTTGTAGTAGGGTGCAACAGTCCATAGGTCCCAGTGGGACCATGGCTGCAGACGGCACTTTGACAGGGGCGGCATTTTGCCACCCCTGCATGTCCTTATATTGTGTATCTATCACACTACTCTCAAAGGCTAAAGTCTGATTTCTATGTTGCCACTTCAGTTAGGTAGGGGCGGCACTTTTAGCAGCTTTACTGCCTGTCTGGAGCGCCCCCACATGAGCACACATGGGTGGAGTTTGAGTGAGGAGCGGGCAGGATGTGGACAGCCCATGCCTTCTGAAGTTCAGGACCACGTAAGGGGGCAAATTTTAGGAGCTGCCACCCCATGCCCTGTACCTGGACAATGAACTGCACTACACTTTTGCCCAGTACCTATAATGTGCTCCCTTCTGTGCTTCCAGCCACAGAGTAAGTAAGGGAGGAGGGAGCGCTGCTTGCTGTGTGTGTGTATATATTATTTTGTGTGTATATGTCTTATACAGTGTATATATGTATGTATTATATAGTGTACAGTATGTATGTATTATATAGTGTATGTATTGTGATCCTTGTTTGCAGATAGCATGGTCCTCCAGGGTAAACAACAGGCACAGTCCTTTTATTTTCATATAGTCCAGGCACTTTATTGGCAAGTCCACACAGGAGACAGCAACACAACTAAAGAAACATAAATATAACAGGTTTCTCCTTTAAACAAAAACCAAGCTCATCTGAGCACTGACTCACTTTTACTACCCCTCTCTATCAGGGTTAAACTAACAAAACTTATCATTGGGTTGCACCAACCTTATTAGATAGCAACACTCTGAGATAGCAACACTCTGCTCTCCTTTCTGCACTCCAGTGCACTTAGCTAGCCTGCTGCTTTCCTTTCTGCACGCCCAGTGCTCCGAGCCAGCCTTAACTGCTTTCCTTCTGCACTACCAGTGCTCCAAGCCAGCCTTAACTGCTTTCCTTCTGCACTCCCAGTGCTACAAACCAGCATTAACTGCTTTCCTTCTGCACTCCCAGTGCTCAGTCTCCTTGACTCTCTCACAGGAGATAACAGTGTCTCTCCTACCTGCTTCCAGAGAGGAAGTCAGCAATCCCCCTTTACCTGCCAAGCAGGGAGGGGTTTGTTCCCACTGCTGCAGCTGATTATCTGCAGCTGAGCAGTGGGTTGGAGACAGTTTAAAACTCTGGCCTGGACATTATTTCTCCTAGTAATATGTAAACTGCGGAGTGCTTCACCCCAGGGGCCCATAACTAAACTCCCCCTGGGGTTAAATGTTATAGGCCTATTTGTCTTCACTATATCACAGTATGTATTATATAAAGTGTGTGTGTGTATTATACAGTGTATGTATGTAATACAGTGTGTGTCTGTATTATATAGTGTTTATATATTATGTAGTGTGTTTGTCTGTGAATGAGACAGTTTATGTGTGACTTTAGCAGTTTGTGTGTGTTATCAAAATAAAATGCAAAATCGAGTTTCACAATATCTCTTAGGGGAACATCCAGCAACTTCTAATAATAAAGGGCTAACCCTTATAACATTAAGTCAAGAATGCATTTTCACAATGCTATATTTATCAGTAGTTATATGTGGTCTATCACTGTTCCAAAGGTACACAAAAACCTGGAGGACCCTCCAGGACGCCCTATAGTATCAGCAGGGGTGTATCCTGGTTTTGTGCTGCCCTTGGCAGGACAAAACTCAGGCGCCTCCCCCCCACACGCCACCCCCCCCAGCCCTTCCCCCCTGCCACGCCTTCTAAATACACACACACATTCACTGACAGATACGCATACACTAGCTAACAGAAACACACACACAATAACAGACACACACTCACTAACAGATACACACTCACTCACTGACACACATACACACTAACAGGCAAACACACTCACACTCACTAACAGACACACACACACACACTAACAGACATACATACACACACACACACACTCACATTAACACACTCACTTTTTTTTTTTTTTTAATTTAACCCCCTTAATTTAATCCTTACTTTTGGGAATGCTGGGAGGGGTTCTCCCTCTCCCTGGGGTCTAGTGAGGCTGCTGGGCGGTCGGCGCTGGCGTCATATTCCGGCTCCCAGCATCACTCTGCGGCGCGCGAGGGAGCTGAGCAGAGCGCTCAGGGAAAAGTGCTCCCTCGCCAGCGCCGCCTGCCCGTCTTGTCAGTTAGCTGCAAGGCTAACAAGACATTTGCCTGGGCATTTGGGGGCGGCTTTTTTTGCCGCCCAACACAAATGCCTTGTTTGCTTCGTGGCTAAAACGTCCCTGAGTATCAGGGGTGGAGAATCTCACCCAGAATGGCAGTCTCTATATTGACAAAATCCTGAGACCATTTGTTGAACAACTCCCGTCATATATCAGGGACACCAAGCAAGCCCCTAACTTCATCACTAATCTGAAGATCATGAACATAGCCCACTTATGCAGTCTGGACGTTGAATCCCTATATTCATTAATCCCTCATGACAGAGGCATTGAGCATGTGAAGTTTTTCCTTGACCTAACAGTTGATGAACACGATGCACACACTGCATTCACTGTGAGACTTCTGGGGTTTATCCTGACACAAAACTATTTTCTGTTTAACAAAAAATTCTACCACCAAGTGAGATTGACAGCAATGGGGACTGCCTGTGCCCCCTCATATGCTAATCTCCACTTGGGTTGGTGGGAACAACGAATAAAGACCCTTTCGACTATGGCACAATACCATCCCAAAATTCATCTGTGGCGTTGATATATCGATGATATCTTAGTTATGTGGCAGGGTAACCCAGAAGAATTCAATGATCTGGTCTGCCTTCTAAATGTAAACAGTGACAATCTTAGGTTTACATCAGAATTTGGGGGACGCTCCCTCAATTTTCTGGACCTTATGATCTCTATTACGGATGATGGCAGACTACAAACAACCCTCTTCAGGAAACCATCAGCCTCTAACTCCCTGATGCGATGGGAGAGTTTTCATCCAAGAACCTTGAAACAGGGGATACCTGTGGGGCAATAACAATGGCTACGTAGAAATTGTAGTGGCATCTCCGACTTCAAAACAAAGGACCAACAACTGAGACAGCAGTTCAAAGAAAAGGGATACCCCAACAAATGCCTCAAAAGGGCATATAGAAGGGCATTGGAGGCAGACAGGAGTGAGCTCTTGTCAGATCACTATGTGAGGACAGATACACAAGAACAGAAATCAATTCGTATGATAGCCACATACGATCCAGGATGGCATGAGGTCAAGAATTCTATTCAGAGACTCTGGCCGATTTTGCTTAACGATATACACCTGAAGGAAGTCCTGGGCCCACATATCGACTTAACAGCGAGAAGAGGACGTAATATGCATGATATTATGGTCCCTAGCCATTTCTCTCCCAAACCACACTCATCGGGTACCTGGTTGGGTAATCCCCCGGTCGGTACTTATGGGTGTGGGAGATGCGTGGCTTGTAAATACATCCTGAAAGCGTCATTGACAGTGTGGGTCAACTCACCTACAAGATCATACATTTTTGTCAACTGTAATACGATGGGTCTTGTGTATCTATTGACCTGTACGTGGGTAAGACCTTTCGCGCATTTAAGGAGAGGATCAAGGAACATGTTAGGTCCCCTAAAAATCGACTTGAAACACCCATTTCCCAAGACCTCAAGGAACATCTTCAAGGCGACTCTAGTGGTATTAGGTTTTGTGGGTTAGAACTGGTCAAAAGGGATCAGAGATGAGGCGACTATGACAAAGTCTTGAGACAGAGAGTTGAGACACTCCAACCCCAGGGACTCAATGAAGGCTTTTCTTTTACCCCATTAATATAATAGATCCAATACATCTGAATTAGTCTCCTGTCTGAAAGTACTCTGATGGCACGTGACCACTCCTGTATCTACTTGGATCATATCATTTTATTTTAATTTATTTATTTTTTCTTTATTTGCTTAGACTGACAATATCCGCTATTCTTAAAACTTATTTCATCTGGAATTGGATACCACTCATATTCAATTTCATGATAATCAGTGACCAAGCTTTCTATATGAGTTGTAGATCTCATGGGTAAACTTAAATCAACAATTACATATGTAGCTGATGGAGTATCTAATTTAACATATAACTTTGAAAAATTCAATATCATAATATACATAACACCCTTCGAAGTCAGGGCATTTAGATCACCTGACCAACTTATAGATACTAAGTCGCATTGATAGTAATACAGCTTTTAGATCTTGCCTTTATTTATTTGTTTATTGGATTGAGGTATATATTTACACATTCCGCTACATCATACACATTGGGTCCATTAAATGAGTCCCTAAATATACGGAGGTTATTAATTCTTATATAGACGTACATAAATGTGTCTGCAAAGGTACATACCCAATTATATCCTTCCCATAAGTTTGGAGAAGCAAATAATAAATAGAGTGCTTTGCAAGATATCCTTAGCATGACATTACATCTCGTATCTTTGAAGGATTTAAGGTAATTAACCTACAATAATTGAATTGATCAATCCCCTGCTGCCTTCTAGTATTAACTGTCATTCCACAGTAATACTGGCACATATCTTTACATCGGGATTAACATACAAGCATTTACGCAAGTGCATGAATATGCGCCCCATAACTGCCGACAAACTTATAAGTATTCGCGCATGCGCACGAAACTCCTGACTTCCAGGGTAAGAAAATACCTCCGTCATCAGTGTGACCTGATTGGTCCCACCTGATTTAGGGTTGGACCTATTTCCCCTTAAAAACAGACTCTGTGAGAAATGGCGGCTATTAGCTCTTGACAAAGGCGGAGTTACCGCCGAAACGCGTGTCGGGCTACCGATGCTTTATTTAACTTTTTAGCCTCACCATCCTCTGATTGCTGTACCTGAACCGATTTAGGGGAGGGGGGAGGGGTTGACCTAGGAAGCACCTCTAGTGACTCTCTGAATTACTGCCACTAGAAGTGTTCCTACACAGCACTGTGAACACATCCTTTTTAAAAAGCCTGCAGGCTATATACACCAGAACCACTACATTAAGCTGTAGTGGTTCTGGTGACTATAGTGTCCCTTTAAGTTTTATTTTAGTTTTGATTATTATAATATAAAGCTTTTCATCCTTGGACCCAGGCAGGACAATGTCTTGGGCCGTCCCTGGATGGGGTGGTAGAAAACTCACTAAATAGATGCAAATTCAGGGATGTCTAACTCTCAAATACAGTACAGGAGATGGTATACTTCAAGCATGTCAAACTCAAAGTCTGGCACGGGCCACATACAAAGGTTCAAGTTTATGTGGGCCGCATTTTCATAGAAATTTAGGTTTATTTTTAAAATAAACCCCCCCCCCCATAGCATCCCCCTCTACTAAACCACAGCACCCCGTCTACTAAACTACAGCACCCCCCTCTACCACCCTGTGCCAAATCTGATCCTCCCGCTGACACACACACATACTCATACTTACTGACAGACACACACACACATACCTACTGACAGATGCACACACTCACTGACAGACACACACATACTTACTGACAGACGCACACAGTGACACACACACTCACTGACAGACAGACAGACATACACAGACACACACACTCACTGACAGACACACACACACCACTCACTGACAGGCACTCACACACTCACTGACACACACACACACAGACACTCACATCCACACTTACAAATTCTTGCACATACATACTTAACTTTATTGCTCTGGGGTCCTTTTATCTGCTCCTCACAGCTCCCGCACGCAGTTTAGTGATGCTGGGTGCCGGAATATGATGTCATATTCCGGCACCCGGCTTTACTACAGACGGCGCGCGAGGGAGCAGTGAGAAACTGGATCACTGAGCTCCCTCGCTGGCCCTCCTCCCCGGCCGGGTAAGTGTTAGCAGAGTAGGCACCTGCATTATGGGGAAAGCAAGTGCCTACTCTGCTTTCACACCAGCATGTACTCGTGGTTCGCCTGTGTTCTATCAAATTTCCCTACCCGTGAAAATCCCCTACCCTCCTCACTTCTCGTCAGATGCTTGCTAGCACTCCTGCTACTCCTCCTGGAAGGTAAGTAAAACTAGTTTTACACTTTCATTATAGTTAGTGCATTCACTAAGCTTAGGACATGGGACATTTAGGGTTAATGTTAGGGTTCAAATTAGGGTTAGGATTCGGGACTTGTTCATATTTAGTGATATTTCACATTAGGGGAATATTACTAAATTGTGATTTTTCACACTTTATTTTAACCCTTACCCCAAGGGTTAGGGTAAGAATAGAGTGTGAGAGAGGTTAGAATCACTTACCTAACCCTAATTTGAACCCTCACTTAACCCTAAATGTCCCGTGTGCCTAAGCTTAGTGAATGCACTAACTATAATGAAAGTGTAAAACTAGTTTTACTTACCTTCCAGGAGCTTGCTGTGGAGGAGTAGCAGGAGTGCTAGCACGCATGTGCAGCACAGGATCCAGCTGATTCCCCTAACCGGAAGTGACGAGGGTAGGGGATTTTCACGATGTAGAGGAATTTTATAGAACACCGGGCTGCAAAGATGGTCCTTGTGGGCTGCGAGTTTGACATGCTTGGTATACATTGATAATCTTCAAAGAAGATCTTCTCCCATTTGAAGATTGTCAATGTATACCATCTCCTGTACTCTTTTAGGGATTTTTCTACAACCCCATCCCTCCCCCATGTGCTAATTATACTGACTATATTTATTTCCTTTTTCCAGATTCTATTTGATTTACTGGTTCATTGATTATATTGTATACTTGTTGTATATTTGCTATTATATATTCACTTTGGTGATTTTCCAAACAGATTTGATTTTCCATTTTAGTTTTTTTGGTTTTCTGTATTCTCTGAGTGTTTGTAGGAGACATTTTTCCTTAAAGAGCTAGATATGTTCTTAAAGCATATAGTGATTTTTCTGTTTTTGCACTTATGTTTATTATACCTAGGCATTTGTATATATTTTCTAATAGCCTATCTCCTCTTTATGAACACTGATGTGGTGCACTCCTGGCAATGTTTTAAGTTGATAGATCATTCAAATGCAGCAATAATGTTTATTAGTAGTTTAGGAATAAGTACAAATACATTTCTACACTGTTTCCTGGATACTTACGGTACTTGATAATTATCTTTATAAGTACCAATCTTAAGTACAGTGAAGCTGCATTATGCTTTTTCTGGTTAGATGTTTTTGCTTCTATGGCCGTTTGCGATACCTTAACTGATATAAGAGTGAATGATAATAATGTCTTTTGTAAGCTGTATTGCTATGCGTTCTCCTTGATTCGGTTAGGTCGACAATACTTTTAGGTCCCCACAAAGGTTGCGGCAAACTTTCTTTTATTATTAGTTTTACGATTTTGGGTGATGTGAGGGGTTTCGATTTATGTGTTAGGAGAGTTCTTCATATGGAAGGATTTAGATCACGGTAATGCTGATGTGACGCAGCTTATTAGGCATTAGTGTGGGATAGTAACTGTGTGACTAAGAGAATAAAATCCCTTTACTCCCTGCCCTACCTGTTGTACTTATCCTCTCAATAGATCTCACTTAACTGCGGTTAATGGGGATTTGGATCATCTCCTGCTTATAAGTAGCCTTAGCTAATAAAAGTGCATCTATAGCTAAATATTTATCTATATTATCATATGTATAAGGCTTTAGACCTCTGTACTTAGTTAATGAAAGTCTATCTCTAGCTAGATATCTAACTATATTTTCATATTTATAAGACTTTAAACCTCTGTACTTTGTTACTGAAATGTCATCTCCAGTTAGATAACTCTTTATAGACAATAAAGCTGTATATTTTGGTACTTGGTCACTGGAGTTTCATCCTTAGTTATATCAAGTTCTATACCCTAACAGATATTTAATCTGTATTTGTGGTTTAATTTGACTAATTTTGCAATAACTGTATTTGGTTCGAATTTACCGTTTAGTGAGGGACTAAAGATCACTAAGTAACTGCTCAATATACAAAAGACATTGTATAATTTATTTATAATTTAATGTAAATAAATTAGTATTATTTTTAACCTTTTGATTAAAAGTTAATTTTAACTATGTATAATGAAGTCATCTCATCGCGGTCACATGACGAAAATTCTAAATGTTGTATTTTAGAAGCCTATATATATGCTAAGCTGGCAGGTATGTGTTTTATTCTACTTGATAAAGCTCCAATAGGGTGAAATGCATTGTGGTTTTATATCAGTCTGTTAATAAAAGTATTTTTGACTACTTTATTAAAAGTGGTTAGCTTTTATACTTTTTTATATTTTACTTTATACCTGGCAGTGTTTTTATCATCAAAAGTGCCAGAATTACCATAAAAAGAATCCAAGGTAAGTTTCTTCCACCCACGCCTGGCACATGGAGCAGTTTGTCTGCTCTGTGTATTGTAGGTATATTTCCTATTACTACTTATACTTGCCTGTATGTAAAACACTATCTTCTTTTATTGCATATGATCTACAATGCAACAACCAGCAGAGAGATATTCTGCAAGTGGAGATTTTATACCACTACACGCTGTTTTACCTAGAGCTGGGAATAGCTCTATGATATGTGAGTTGGAATTCTTATACCTCAGTGTTGTTTGTAGGACATTGTCTATGGCTGTGCTTCAATTGAGATTGATCAGTTATCATCTGGGTATATAAGCACTGCTTCGCCCTGGGAACAATATCAAGTCTTTGATCCTGTTGTTGTGTTCAGTTCCTGTGTTCCAGTCTCTTTAACTTTTACTCCATATTGACCCTGGCTTCTGTCTTTGTTTATCCTGATCTCTGGCATCCCTTGACTTTGGCTACACTTTGTTAATCCTGACCTCTGGCATCCTTTGCCTTCTGTTATCCCTTGACTATCCTGCTGTTTTTGTTCTTGTCGGTACTGCATTGGAATCACCTTTCCTGCACAGCCCCCATGCACAGATTCACAGTCCAGGTGGCTTCTTATCTGGTCACTTTGGACTGTGTCTATCTGCAAGGGTGAGCAACATATCTGCGCTACAGACTCCCACCTCAGGTAAGAACATCTGCTTTCTTTCCTATGCTGTTGCTGAATTGAGATGTATCAAGGATTTCGCATGAACATTTAAAGACATATTGTGTCTTTAGGACTAGTTACCTTTGGTATTTTTATTGGACTTTTAATTTTTTTTATTCACTGTTTAGTTAGCTTTTTGTGGTCCATTATATCTTTCTGGCGCACCCTGTATATTATTCTGTATATTATTCTAGACATGATCTGTGAAGATTTGCACTTACACATTTACTGGGTTCATAGAAACCTTGATTTGGGATTTAATCTTGAGATCTTTTAGAATATGAAGGTCATTTCCATGCCGAGCATCACCGAGGTATAAAAAACACGGTATTATCTCAACTGGATGTGGCTTAAAGTCATCTATTTCCTGTAAATGTGAGAGAGAGCACATATTGTAGAATATCCTCTACAGTCTAGAATACTGAGTGAATTGTGTTTTTATAAAGTATGTTCAATATTTCTATGGACAAGCAGATATCTTTGGATCTGTTGTTAACAGGAAAAATGATAATGATAAAGTTACTAGGTGTTTTAGCATTCAATGGTATATTAAGACAACTTAACACTGAGCAAAACCACCCTTCTATCTCTACAACTATCCCACAAAGAAACCTATGGCAAAGAAGAAAAAAAATCAAAATCTGCAATACACTATGAAAATGGTTAGACTGCAATCAATATAACAAAGTAATATTCAAACTCTTATAGTTATATATACTTATTGATGGCTACTAACAAATAATAAATAAGCACCACAATTAAATAATATAAAATAGACTCAATTTGTATCCATGGCACAGCCATCCAATAATGAAAGATTAAGTGAATGGCCAGGTCACTCGTCCTATTTGCTGAATTGGACTCTCAAAAAATGTAGTAGCTTTAGAATATTATTTATGACTACAAATCCTTTTAGTAAATGCATATAAAAATGAACAGGAAATTCAGGAAATTTAACAGGATAACCTTTATATATGATAAATTTTATTTTTTTTAATTCAAATGTATTGAGCTATATTAAATATTTGTATATTCTATGTTTTGGAAAGAATATCTTTGTGCGTATCTTCCCAATATATATGTTCTCAATAACCATTAAAACTATATAAAGTTTTAATATGTCTTCAACTAACACAATAAGCATTATTTAAGTTAATCACAATTTATTTTATTTTTTGTTAAAGCTACTATTTTCTGATATTTTATTATTATTGGACAAAAATGTTTTCCTTACCTGAGGCATCCAAAACACTTTCTGAGACCTAAAGAAGTGGTAATGAGCAGAAAATAATTCATAGCCCCCTTTGAGCACCATGACTGGTAGACGGCAGACCTGGGCCATGACCCTGGCACATTCAATAGCTGGACCTGGTAAGGAAACATGGTCATTAAACAAGGGATCTGCTTTATGTTACTATATAAGCATGCTAAAATGAGCGCTGTCGTCTTCACCCGGCGGGTCCTCTTCAGCTCCTGGCATAACAGAGGAGCCGACGTCAATGCTGAACTCTCGTGCATGCGTGAGAGCACAGCATTGCGGTATATGGAGGAGACCGCGATATCCTCGATAGATAAAGCCAATTCCCTGCAGCCAGCACTGGTGACAGCTGAGGGACTGACATTTCTAGACGGCAGTAGCTCTGCCCAGTGTCTAGGTGTCAGGTGTAGGAAATATACAGAGATAAAGTAGTCCCTACTTCGTATGAGTATATCTCTGAACTGGGCTGTAATTTCAGTGAAATTCCAACACAGTCCATATGAGTATTTCACCCTTTTTATAACATGGTACCCTAGATTTTCTAATGCCATAAGCATAAATACAGTTCTGATGGATCCAAAAGGAATCCATTTGTCATAGGTAATGTATGTAGATAATGTTTACCACTCATAACTGGACAATAAAGCAAACACATATTAACTGGGTTATTCACTACATTGAGAATTGCTGTGAATTCAAAGTGGATTTCTAAATTTAGGCCAAAGTAACTGAATTAGAAAAATTCTTCAATTCTGTTCTCACTTTGAATTCCCGCCAATTCTCCCTTTAGTAAATAACCATGTTAATTCAAAGATCACTTAAAATATCACAGAAAATTGAAAATAAAACACTGACTTTACTGCTCTTGTAATGTTGTTTTATGATGGCAATGGATTTACAACTTTGCTGAGGACGTGAGTTAAACTGCTTTTTTTTTCAATTCTTTATTTTTGCTCAATAGACACAGCGAGTTTACATCAACTTCGTTGACAATCAAGTCACATTCAATAAGGATGTTTATATCTTAGGCTCATTCCCATATGTGGGAGGCCCTCAGTCTCTACTCGAGCCCACTATACTATTGTCCCATGGTTCCCACGTTTTTTGGAATGTCGTGATGGTCCCTCTCACCCTTGCCATTAGATCGTCCATAATTCTACAATCTTTGATTCTGGAAATAACCCCTGTGAATTCTGGGCCCTCAGGTGTGAGCCACGCTGTCGCAATTGCTCGGCGTGCACACAAAGTAATCTTGTGTACTAATTTCTGTTCCCTTTTGGTCCACCCGTCCACAGATCTATTCAACAAGTATATCCACGGATCCATTTTTAGGGGCCTATCGAACGTCTGTCTTAACAGATCCTCCACGGATCTCCAAAATCCCCGTAGCTTCGGGCGAGTTAAACTGCTTTTAAAGAAAAAAAAAACAAAGAAAAAAAACAAACAAATGTGCTTCAAAACATTTCTTTAATTCTCTCACAGTTGGAGAAATGTATTTAAGACTTTTACCTTCTTCATCCAAAGAATTTGTGTGTCCGTCATACACTATAAAATATGTGAAGCAGTCCAGCTCTGTAGACTCTGGAAACATGAAGTTTTTATCATATTGATCCTGTAGGAAGTGAAAGTGACTTTGCTTAGCATCTTAGAACTAAATGATTATTTTAAGATTATTTGCTAAGCACACACATTTGTAAGAATGGACAAAATTCTATGAAAATGAACAGATTCCCAAGTCTTATAGTTATTAAAACCAAATCTGGTTTAAACTCAATCATTATAACTGTAAGAGCTCCGTTTAGTGTCTAGTAAATGTGCAAATTCTATATCTTACACAGAATTTCCATGCAAAAAATGATTGGTTTTAAACCAAATATTGAAGAAATACTAAATTTCAACCCGATCCTGTTTAGAGACAGGCAAGTCTAGTGAATACAATCACTTGCTTTTTAAAAAGGAATCCACTGAAATTCAGACAAGCAGGCAAAAAGCTATAAAACTCTCGGTTGCATTAGAGTTAAAGGAACACTATTGTCACCTAGACAACTTCATCTCAATGAAGTAGCCTGGGTGAAGTGTCTTTATGAGAAACTGCAATGTTTATATTGCAGGGTTAAGTACTCCTCTAGTGGCTGTCAGTATGGCAGTCACTAGAGGTGCTTCCTCTGTGCTGATCGAGTAAAATGCGATCACATGAATCCCCGTAGGGAATCATTAATTCAATACTTTTCTGAGGGGATGTTTGAGCCTGAATTTGGGAGGGGGCACTACTGGATTTTGTGTCACATTTTAGCTTAGAAAATGGACACATACATCTATACCCACACATAAACAAATTCATAAACATTTGCCCAAACACAGATACCGAAAACCCACAGACAGACACACTTATACAACACAGAGGCAGATATTCAGATTCATTTATACAATATGACTACAAGAATTTGATGGAGGTGGTCATTAATTAGCCCCTGCCACTGGCCAGGCACTGTCCCTTTGATGGAATCCTTGGGAATTTCTCTTTTTTTGTAAAAAATAAATAAATGTCCTTATAGTATCTCGTATGTTAATTGTACCTTACAGAAAAGACCCTTCCTCTCAATTTCTGCTTGTTTAACCCCTTAAGGACACATGACATGTGTGACATGTCATGATTCCCTTTTATTCCAGAAGTTTGGTCCTTAAGGGGTTAATAATGTGTATTTTGAATGTGACAACTGACAGGTGAGTTTGAAACAACTACAGTATATACTCGAGTATAAGTCTAGTTTTTCAGCACATTTTTTGTGCTTAAAAACCCCCACTCGACTTATACTCGAGTCACTGTCTGTATTAGGGCAACTTAGAGAGCCGCGGCTGTCAGAGCCATGGCAACTATCCGCGCGGCAACCAGACCGGAAAAAGACTTACAGTGGAGCTGACCGGAACGGAGGAGAAGGGAGCTGCAGGAAAGGTAAGTAAATGCTTCCTGCCGGCCCCCCCACTTCACAGCCCATGCCACTGGACCACCAGGGATTAAGATAGCCCCCTCCCTGACCAGTTAACAAGCAGGGAGGGGGGACAATTTTTTTTTTTAAATAATAAAAAAATATATTAAAAAAATTTTTTTAAAATAATAAAAACGCCCTCCCCCCACCTCTTTGACACAGAGTGTGTGTATATAATGGAGAGTGTGTGTTTGTATGAGTGTGTGTGTATATATAATGGAGAGTGTGTGTTTGTATGAGTGTGTGTGTATATATAATGCAGAGTGTATGTTTGTATGAGTGTGTGTGTGTATATATAAAATGCAGAGTGTGTGTTTGTAAGAGTGTGTGTGTATATAATTATAAAAATCACAGAATTTCATAGCCCCAAGTTTTACCCTCGACTTATCCACGAGGCATAGCATATTTCACAATTGTTGGTCACAAAACTGCACTCGACTTATACATGAGATCGACTTATACACGAGTATATACGGTAAATATTTGAACAATTCAGAAAAGATAGCAATGCCCTTTTTATTTTGTGACAGCAATCATGTTTCTTCTGATCAGTTCATAAAAACGTTTGTATGTTACAGAGAAACATGTATATATATACTTGTTATAAAATATCACACATTTTTACCTTCTTGGTTCTCCGTGCTGTTATAATATGACCCTCATTGTACTCTCGCTTAGATCGTGCATCTACAAGTAGATAAGTCATAGTTAACTGTAGTTTATAAATATAAATCGCAAAAAAAAAAAAAAAAATTAATATCGCACTCATCAAAATTTACTGCAGAAAAAAAAAAAATTATAATGTGTTATTGCATACAAGGGGGCAAAAAATAGGTATCATCCACAGGTATATGATAAAAAAAAGTATATTGTCAACTATACCCAAAGGTTAAGAATATATTGTGTCTAGGGACAACTTTGTCTTATGTATTTTTCCTATGCTTGACTTTCTCAGAGACTGGGTGGAGCTACAGTGACAATCCCAAAAGCGGTCACCAGTGACGGCTACAGGGAATTGGCTCTAACTATGGAGGGATCCTCCATAGACCTTAATGCTGTACTCAAGCAGTGATGTCAACTCTTGGTGCTGAAGTTCCAGGCTGTGAAGAGGACCTGCTGGAGGAAGATGGTGGAATCCATGAAGGAAAGGTTCAGGTAAGTAGAGCTCACCTTTCCCTGCCCCCCTCCACCCGGGCCACTGGACCACTAGCTGCAATGTCACAGTCGGAGGTCTTTGGAAATTCTGCAAGGTTCCCAGACGGTGACCATGCCGCTTTAGCGTAAGAGTAAAGTTTAGGCCAAAATACCTTTAGGCCACATCTTGTGTTGGACATTTGTTTCTTGATGCATGTTTTCTCATATACTATTGGTATGCATATACAACTTTATCCTTGTTTACATTAACCTTGCATTTAAACTTGTATGTGTTAAATAATTTAATTACAAAAATAGCCAAACTGGAAACATAACAGACTATTTTTTCCAACTTGTATACTGTAGTCTATAATTTAAGATTTACTTTGAATTATTTTTGAATTCAAAAACAATTGTTTAAGGCACCTATTTAGGAAACTGATTGCACTTGGAATGCTGAAAAAAACTTGTCGTCTGTGTGTCAAAGTACAACATAAAAGCTGGGAAAAATAAAAAAAATAAGGAGCTGAAGACATGGACTGATAACAAGATGGTGTTGCCAAGTAGCAAGGGGTTAGATACGTATAACTACCTTCCCCCACCCAGCCCAGGTAAACATTGTAGTGATCTTGTAAACATCGTAGTGAACATGTAGGAAATATGTCATTTTGGGTGGGTCTTTGCAAAATATGCAAATATTAAAAAGGACAATGCTTTTAAATAACGTTATATTATTAATCCCTCTTTTGACTGATATCTTCAGTGAAATTCCAATGCAATCTTTTTCACAAAGCATTTGTCTTTAACCACAAAAACCTGTCACTTTTGAGATCATTTAGATGCTGGGTTAGGTAGACAGCATGGTAGCTTAGAGTCATATATGCTCACATCTTGGTGACAGAAGGGGAACTCCGGGAGGCGGAGCTTAGCGCTTGAAGCGGACGGTCACATGGCAGTGGAGCTCCAGACTAGCGAGCCGATTAAGCACTATTTTCGGCACTTAAACCCAAGCCAAATTTACCCCGGGACGACCCTGAGAATCCCACGGTCCGAATGGGCCGCAAAAACAAGAAGGCGAAACCCGCCAAACCCCGCCAGGGTATGGATATTGGGGAACTATGGGGGCAGGCGCACAATGTAGCAGGAGCCAAGCTGGCGTCCCTGCATGGAGGCTGCTCAGACTTCACGGATGGGTCGTCAGATGAAGATGGCCATGCTGATCCCGCCACCACCACGGGCGCAGCTTATGGGGAGCTTATGGCCGACGTGGCCCTGCTTAGAGAGGAAATTAAAGGCATTACTAACAGGCTGGCAGCAGTAGAGGCCACCTCAACCAGGCACACTAACCAGATCGCGGACCTTTAAACAGCGATCCGAGACCTGCAGCAAAAATCCTGGCAACACGAGCAACAACTCGCCGCCCAAGAAGACAAGAACAGCTGAAACAACCTAAAGCTCAGGGGAGTCGCCGACTCCGTTCCAGAGGCTGAACTCCCACATTTCATCAGGAGACTACTAACAGAGCTGTTAACCCCAAGGGCAGCGAAAGCAACTGTCCTGGAGGGACTATTTCGCATACCGTGATCAGCGAAAGCCCCACCTGCCGCACCAGGGGATCTAATTCTCCAGTTCCAGTCATCCAGGGACAAAAAGGCGGTCCTGAAAGCTACTAGAGGTCTGCCCACATACCCCTTTGAAGGGATGACCCTCTCCTTCTACGCGGACCTCTCGGGCGGGACACTGGTGTAGAGGAGATCCATGAACCCATTCACGGCCCTCCTGCGCCTCCAACAAATCCGATACCGCTGGGGACCAGGCCGCACCCTCACCATAGACAAGGGAGGCACCAAGCATGTAATCCACGACATGCAAGAGGACACTGGGTTTATCTCCCCACAGATCCACTGGCTCCGGTGATGCAACCAGCAGGACATACGCGCCCACACGGAAGATACACTGCAAATGCCCCAGAGTTTGTACCCTGGAGGCCACCCGCAAACCCATATGCCAAGGCCACCACATGAAGCAGAACTTTACCTCATATGACCTACATCAGAACTGTACCATGTCACACATGTCTTCCTAAATTCAATTTCTGGATGTTGCTTTCAGCTTCCTCAATGCCACGCAGATAGCGGACCAAGTGTGTCCTAAGGTTGCAATAAGCCTGACATTCAAACTAACGTAGCTGAACTATGTATGCTCATTCTAGTTCTTACCACCTTTGCAAGCCTACTTCCACACATTTGAATAGGCATATATGTTTAATGATACAAGCCTGTTGGTTCCACCGTGACCCCTCGCATTAGTTATACTACTCCAGCTTGCACCATATCATAAATAGCATGTTTACTTTATTATGTATCTCTGGTGAACAGCATAGCATACGCATTTTTTCATTATTTTACAAGCCTGTTGACTCCACCGTGACTCCTCACATTAGTTATACTTATGCAGCTTGCACCATATATTGTACATAGCATGTTTACTTTACTAGGTACATCCGGTGGAAAGTGCAGCATCCGTTTTTTGTTTGGTTTTTTTCTCCTTAATTTAAAGCACTAGTTAAACCCAGCCTGTATTAACCTGTTTATATAACATGAAAATGTGGCAGTCTTTCCTGGGCGTGTATTACAAACGATGCTGACACATATGTTTTGTTTTATCCAGTAATGAGAATCAAATGTCACAATAAAAGAAAGATTGACAAAAAAGAAGGGGAACTCCTCCAACCCTGTGATATAGCAAAAGGGCAAAATTATTTAGCAATCTCCTAGGAACTTTATCAAACCTGAATATTTATTTTTTAATTCTTTTTTTTTTGCCATGCAGAAAAGTAACACATAGATTTAAATAAACATGTCACACAGTATTGAGTAAGACAAGGAAGATGATGACCATGTAACATGATATGTAGAGAATGCTGCATTTCCCCCCCTCCCCCCCAAACAGGACTTGGGGGATACATAGGGCCTAGTCCATCCCTTTAAGGGAATAGCAGGAGACTTTGGTGGTGATGGTCTTTTTCTTGTGTGGACGATGCTTCAGTGTACAACCCTTTGGGGTCCGCAGCCTGGGTGGGCAAGTATGATTAACGAAAGATGCTTGCAGAGTCGCTGTGCCCAGAGTAGGCCCTAAATCTTCATGCTCTTCTTCTATTTGCTCATCTTCTGGGGGCAGGTGTGGAGTTGCGGCGAGTTTTGATTCCAGCTTAGCCCAGAGGTATGCAAAGATTTCCTCCAACCTCTGGATAGAGCCCGCAACTGAGCCATGCAGGGTCTGTTTCGGGTCCTGCCCATGATGCAAGGATGCATCCGCCATCTTGGCTGATTCCACACAGTAGGGTTGATAGGCAGCAAGGATGGTAAGTATGTTGGTCCAGTGGGGACCAGGATGACCACCCCAGTCCAGAGGGGGGGAAGCAGGGCCGCAGAAGGTCTCTGCACCGAGGCTGTGCTGCGCGGAGCAGGAGAGTGACCACCTCTCCCACCGGATGGCCCCGCTATGCCTCACTTGGTGCTTCGTGAATAGCTGGCAGCCAGCACTTCATGGGCCCAAACCTAGGCACTCCGCTGATAACAGACGGTGGGTACGTCCCAATGAAAGCTGGAAGAGAGTGCCCTAAGAGAGTATAATGTCAGATTGCATTGGATTGTGGAGGAGCACTCACAAGCTGTATCTGACCGTCATGATGGTCGGGCCACCCACACCTGAATATCTTTATCATGTGCATGATGTCTTGTAAATCTGACATTGACCAATATTGATGGCAAGCAGTACTTACCTAGAAGGCACAAATAATTGGGTTCTGCTAGCCTTGAAAATTTTGTAGCTTGATTCAGAATGTTGTATAATTCAGTTGGCTTGCACAGTGTCAGTTTGGCCATTTTGCTGTAACATAAAAGATAAATGGGACTATGAGTAATTTATTTACAAAACTTACTTCACAAAACCTATCCAATATTAAACGAACACCGTAGCGCCTAGAATACAAATGTATATTCCTAATGCTATAGTGCCCCGATGGCCGTTACATAGCCTTTCTCCCTTGCAGCACAGGTGACCATGCTCCCTCCTCCTTGGCTGAGATCATCGAGGCTAGCCCTCTCAGCCAATGGACTAGCCGGCATTGTAGGGTTTGGCTCAGGAGATCTAAAGGAAGCTCCTCTTCACTGAGAAGTTGTAAACGTACTAAAACAGTAGTACTCGTGTCAGCATGCCTTAGTGGTTTCGATGCTTGGAGTGTTTCTTTAAGCAAGTAATGCTGTCAAAACGTGATCCCAAGTGTTCATCAGGACACAAGGCAGGTGGATTTACAGCCACATTATACTCTCCTTATTTCCTGGTGTTCAAATATATCAACAAACAATAAAGGGGATTATTTACTGCATTGGCCCATAGGGAGAACTGACATAAAGACTACAAAATCTTCTCACACACTTGAGTTTGTGTTTGTTTAAAACGTATCGAATAAATATTAAAACTTATAATACACTATAAGAAAAATAACATATCTAAAAAATTATTGGTTGCAACCTTGATAAAAATTTGCTGTCCTTGCCCATGATTGTAAAAGCTCTGTAGTTCAGTATCTGGGCTGAAATAAGTTTACTTGCTAGCTGTAGGATCCAATGGTGAAGTTTTAGATGTCAAGCTTTAGAGCAGGGCTGTCCAAAAGGTAGATTCCCCAGAAGTTGCAGAACTACAACTCCCATGATGCTTTGCACGCCATAAGCCTGCAAAGCATCAAGGGAGTTGTAGTTTTCAAAACATCTGGGGATCTACCTTTTGGGCAGCCCTGCTTTAGAGACTATGGGTGCACTGAACTAAATGGGTGTATAGGAGTTGAAGAGGGCAGCGGGCCAGTTCTGGATAAATCCTTCCGTCCAAACACTGCCAGATACACTGATACTCATACACACATTCTATTCGCCCTCTCTCTCACCGCCCGGCTCCATACCTGGAATATGTTGTCACGGACGCCGATATGGTAACTGGGTGTGACGTCATCACAGCAAACTGGCTCCTGAGAGAAATCCTCCGCCAGGCTCCGCCCCCTGCTCCCCGTCTGTCAGCACGTCACACCCAGGCTCCGCCTCCCTCTCGCCCTCCCCAACTCTGTGTCACTCACAGTAAGGGGCCCGTGGTAGTGGCCACATTGGAGAAAGTAGAGCGAGACCTGACGGTATGCTACGTCATAACTCTGCGTCCCCAGGAACCTGTCAAGCGGTACTGGGAGGCCCGAGGGGGAGGGCGGCTAGTCACGTGATTACGTGTCATGTATGTAAAGTAAGGGCATAGCTAATGTGAGCCATGTCTGGGAGGAAGGTGGGTAAGGGTAAAGAGCGGAATGAGGAACAGGAGTTTACTGGATGGATGGATGGGTAAAAGATCTTTTAGACATGGCAGGAAAATAAAAGGTTGGAATGGGGGCACAGGTTAGTATGTCAAAGAAGGACTAGGCATTGGGAATGAAAGCATGACTAGGAGGGGGAATAGGGTATGGTAGGAGTAGGGTTGCCACCTTTCTTGGAAAAACAAAAAAGTATGCGGGATGTCACAGGATGTTGCGTAACATTTGGGAAGAGGAAAGTTCCCTAAATTGCTAAAATACTGTTTCTAGTGCATACTATGTGTGACTGTGTGTGTATCATTGTGTATGTGTAGCCATGAGTGTAAGTGTGTATACTGTGTTAGAGTGTGGTTTTAGTATTGTGTGTATACCATATCCAACAAAATACTTATATAGGTGGAGCGCAAAATCAGATCCACATTTCCATGGAATCCTTTACACAGCTTCAACTCAGATGGATATAAAAAAGATAAAATGCATATAATAGTGAAGTACAGTTATAGTAAGTTGCAAATATTTAATAAACGTTTCACTAGACATAAAACACTCCTAGCAATAAAAGTAATAAATCAAAATCAATATTGAATAAAATTACATAAATTAAATGAAATAAACAATGAGCCTCTTACAGGATAAAAATAAGTGAGTGTATGCAGTCCCAGCTGCTACTCACTAACGCTTTATAGTTGCCTTAGTCCAGGCACAGGGTTGACAGGTAGCCGGCTTCTCTCTTGTCTCCTCCACGGATGTCGTAGAGAAAGCGGGCCGCTGAAAGATCCTGGATGCCGGTCTGGGGTTCTCTGAGCTTCCCGGGTGCTCCGCCCCTTTTGCGTCACTCCGTAACAGGCGTGCGTCACTGCGTCGTCTACGCGTTTCGCCGAAGCTTCCTCAGGACACAGAGCAGTGATGCTGACTTGTCTTACTCGTCCACTATTTAAAGCGATCCTTCCGCTTCCTATTGGATCCCTAATCATAGTGTCTTTTATACAGGTGTATTAAAACCATACATCCTCTACTTAACTCCATAATTACCTATACTAAATAGACATATTAATGCAGATATCATAGGGACATTTAAACATTTAAACATATAATTGACAAACATTTCTCAATTTTATTCTACCATACCTGGTTTTAAGAGAAGAGAGAAAATTGGTAACAGGGAGTTAATACAAATATAAATACAACTTTCCATCAAACTTTTAAACTTTTCTATGTCAATTTTAACTTTTAACCATTTTTAAATGTTTTTAAATAAGTATTACCTTCCCCAAAGGGGTGCCCATATTTAAAGTGCCCCAAAACCAATTTAAAGTGCTATATTCAAAATTCAGAACCATTTGCTACAAAGTGCAGATCATATATATAATTGTAAATTATTCATACAGTCATCTAAAATATATCTAAATATATATCTAAAAATGTATCTAAAAATATATAATAATATAAAAAAAATTATATATATTATAAGAAATGGCACAACTCAAAATCATTATTAAGGCCAAACGGAATGAGAGTATTGAGTTCAAAAATTTTTAGAAGTATTTATTAAAGAAGTCAATTCGAATGATTGGGGAGTATCCCTAGTTTTTAATTATAGTAGATCTAAAGTAGATTTCCTTGATCTTTCGATTTTTATGGAGGATGAGATGATTAAAACTAAGACTTTCTTTAAAGCTGTCGATGTGAACAGCTATATAGAGTTGTCGAGTTGTCATTACAGTCCCTGGCTCAAGAATGTACCAAAAAGTCAACTGATCCGTATTCGAAGGAATTGTACGGACAAAGAGACATTCTTGGACCAGGGCCAGAAAATAATAGAAGATTTCAAAGCCAGAGGTTATGAAGGTAAAGATTTAAATAAGACACTAGAAGAGGTACAACAGATAGACAGGGAGTCTCTTTTGGAATATAACGGTCCAAAAAAGAATAAGAAGAATACAGAGGATGTACCCTTTATCTGCCAATTTGCAGGTAGACATAATGGCAGATTGAGGAGCATCATTAATAAGAATTGGCATTTTTTATTGAAAGATCCGGCACTACATAATCTTTTACCTACTCAGCCAAAAATTGTCCATAGAGGAGTTCCAAATATTAAAAATATTCTGACGTTTAAACAGGATAAAAACGACAATAAAACCTTAGGGTCGTTAGAAAAATACGTAGGGTTAAAGAAAGGCTTTTATAATTGTGGGACATGCAATGCGTGTAAAGCCACAGGCTCTCATAGAAATTTTAGAGATCAATTTATGTCACCAACTAAAACCTACAAGATAAAGGAATGTATAACCTGCCACACTAATAATGTAATCTATATGCTTGTCTGCCCCTGCGGATTAAGCTATATAGGTCGCACTACACGCCAGTTACATACCAGAGTAGGGGAGCATGTATACAATATCCGTAAGGGTTTTGCATTGCACCAGGTATCTTTACATTTTAAAGAACATCACAATAGTGACCCATCTGGTCTATCATTTGTTGGAATACAGAAAGCACTTTTTGATTGGAGAGGTGAAGACCGTACGAAAAAATTGGGCCAAATGGAAATGAGATGGATTTTTGAACTCAACACTCTCATTCCATTTGGCCTTAACAATGATTTTGAGTTGTGCCATTTCTTATAATTTATATATTTTTTAGATATATTTTTTAGATGACTGTATGAATAATTTTAAATTTTTAATTAAAACTATATATATGATCTGCACTTTGTAACAAATGGTTCTGAATTTTGAATATAGCACTTTAAATTGGTTTGGGGCACTTTAAATATGGGCACCCCTTTGGGGAAGGTAATACCTTTTTAAAAATGGTTAAAAGATAAGACTGATATAAAAAAGTTTAAAAGTTTGATGAAAATTTATATTTATATTTATATTAATTCCCTGTTACCAATTTTCTCTCTTCTCTTAAAACCAGGTATGGTGGAATAAGATTGAGAAATGTTTGTTAATAATATATTTAATGTTTAAATGTTTAAATGTCCCTATGATATTTGCATAAATATGTCTATTTAGTATAGGTAACTATGGAGTTAAGCAGAGACTGCATGGTTTTAACACACCTGTATAAGAGACACTATTATTAGGGATCCAATAGGAAGCGAAATGATCGCTTTAAATAGTGGACTAGTGAGACAAGTCAGCATCACTGCTTTGTGTCCTGAGGAAGCTTCGGCGAAACGCGTAGACGACGCAGTGACGCACGCCTGTTACGGAGTGACGCAAAAGGGGCGGAGCACCCGGGAAGCTCAGAGAACCCCAGACCGGCATTCAGGATCTTTCAGCGGCCCGCTTTCTCTACGACATCCGTGGAGGAGACAAGAGAGAAGCCGGCTACCTGTCAACCCTGTGCCTGGACTAAGGCAACTATAAAGCGTTAGTGAGTAGCAGCTGGGACTGCATACACTCACTTATTTTTATCCTGTAAGAGGCTCATTGTTTATTTCATTTAATTTATGTAATTTTATTCAATATTGATTTTGATTTTGATTTATTACTTTTATTGCTAGGAGTGTTTTATGTCTAGTGAAACGATTATTAAATATTTGCAACTTACTATAACTGTACTTCACTATTATATGCATTTTATCTCTTTTATATCCATCTGAGTTGAAGCTGTGTAAAGGATTCCATGGAAATGTGGATCTGATTTTGCGCTCCACCTATATAAGTATTTTGTTTGATTTTTGGTGTGGGAGTTGGGTTCACACAGGTGTGTAGCAGCTTTTTGGAATTTAACCCTGTAACAGAGGTGTTTAACATTTTGAAGGTGATACAGAAACTTTTCACATTTTTTTCTGCCACCTCATCTGTGTATACAGAATTATAGGCTTAGCGCTTTTATACTTTAAATATATTGTATACCATATCCGATTGTGTATGCTGTGTGAGTTTGTGTCATTATGTGTAGTGCAGTGCAAGGATTTTTGGCTACACAGGCTAAGATGCATTTTACCGCACCCCCCCACCAAAAAGCATCTCTTAACCCCCTCTTTGAATCTCTTCCCTTCTTTAGCCACTTTCATATTTCTTATTCCATCTTTTGAATCTTACCCCATTTTGCCCCTTTAGTGAATTGTATTCACCCTTGTGTGTCTCTTACAATCTCCCTTGTGTATCTCTTACTTTCCCAGACCCTTTTTGTCTCTTAATTCCCCAAGACCCTTTTTAGTGTCTCTTACTTCCCCACCAGCCGATGTGTGTCTCTTACCGTCCCCAGTCCCATTGTGTGTCCATTTCTCCCCTCTTAGCCCTGTCGGGTGTCTCTTTTCTCCCCAGCCATACAGACATAAATATACAGGCAAAAAGATATACATGCACAGACACAGTCATACAATCTACAAATACAGGTACATTGTAATACATACACAGATATACGGTCATACAGAGACATGCAGACAATCTCATATAGAAACATACAGTCATACAGTGACATGCAGACAATGTCCTACAAAGATATACAGCCATAGTGTGACATACGGACACAGTCATACAGTGACATACAGACACTGTCCTACACAAACGTAGTCATACACTGATGTACAGACAGTTGTACACAGACATAGTGACATACAGACAAACATTCAGATACCGTCATATACAGACACAGTCATACAGAGACATACAGGCACAGACATTCAGATACAGACACTGACATACACAAACAGATATTGAGATACACACACAGTCATACACAGATATTCAGGCATACAGTCATACATGCAGTCATAATTAAGAACTAAATATAGCAACATGTATTTCTATGTCCCTAAGTGTTCCCATCTTTTCATTACTGAGCAGATCTACTCTCCCTCTATAAGCCCTCACTGCAGAAAGAGCTGGCCTCTTACAAGCTTTATCTCTATGTGTCTGTTTGTGGAGGGGGATCAGGAGTGAATACTGCAGGGCTGTAAAAAGCTGCTCTGCATGTTAACCTTTTGAGTGCTGGTATGGCAGGAGGCAGCTACAGCACACTCACAGCAGCACTCCTCGCTGAACATGAGTGTGAGGAGAGGTAGCAGGAGGAAGGGGGCAGAGCTAAACATCGATCCTAGAGGATCTCCCAGATCTGTAAGTATGTATCTCTCCCCACTCTGCCTGTCTCAGGAAGCATGTGGAGAGATACATGCAGATCTGGGAGGACCTCTTAGAGTTCCATCAGACAGAAATACCGGCCCCTGCATTGCCGGTACTCCTGTAATATGGGTACCAGCCACACAGCCTCAAATACCGGCTGTGCTTGTAAAATACTGGTCAGGTGGCAATCCTAGGTATGAGTGGCAGTACTAGCAACGTAGATACACTGTAGAATCCCAGCATGTTTTTAGCCTATAATGTCTTGTCCCTCCATCATCCGCTATTGCTCTCCTGGGAAGAGTGGTATAATGGAGGCATGATCTAACGGCAAAGCGATATCCTGCCGATATTCTTCCATGCACCATTTGTCCATTCGCTGCTTGCATTACACAAAGGGGAGGGGAGGAGAAGAAAGTGAGCTGATATTAGCTCACTCCATTGACATGATCTACAAAGGCGTGCAGATGGTGTGATTTGCATCCCTAGTTTAAAAATGTATATTTCTTTTTAAAAATGACAGGCTGAGGGACAATCTATTTCAGGCCTGCACAACATACGGCCCGTTGGCCCCCCAAAAAATGTAGCGGGCATGGAGTAGGGAGAGCCCAGGAGGAGGGAGAGCCCAGAAGAGCTGGTACTGGCATGGACGAGGGAGAGCCCAGGAGAGCTGGTACCAACATGGAGGAGGGAGAGCACAGCCCAGTACTGGAGACTGTCAGTGAGTTGCTGTGGGGTAAAAGTGAGGGCTATTATAATTTAAGGAGAGATAAACGGTAAGCAGTAAACGGATGAAAGGAAAATATATATAGTAAGGAGTAAAACCATAACCTGAAATGATACCCAGTAAGGAAAAATTGAAAAAAGGGGATTTACTGTAGGAGTAAAATAATAAAATAAGCCGGGCAAACACTAATGCACTAAAAACATATCTGCGGCCCAAAGTAGTTTAGCTTATTTAAATTTTTGCCCCTACCTAAAGCCAAGTTGTGAAGGACTGATCTATATAAATACAAGGCAGGGTTTTCCTGCACATTTTGAGACTGAGCTTAGACAGAGACACACTTGTCACAGCAAGGGTATATAATTAAATTTTGCAGTATAGAATATTGCTATTTAATGTAAATTTAGTAGTGTATACATAAATTGGCCGCTTGGTAAAGGAAGATGTCAGAAAGGGTAAACCCCTTGTGTGACATTTCATGAGTCCCTTTTGTTCCAGAAGTTTGATCCTTAGGTGGTTAAAGGGACTCTCCAGTGCCAGGAAAACAATCTGTTTTCCTGGCACTGCAGGTCCCCTCTCCCTCCCACCTCCCATCCCCGATTGCTGAAGGGGTGAAAACCCCTTCAGTCACTTACCAGAGGCAGCGACATGTCCCACGTCGCTGCTTCTTCCTCCGCCACTACTCCTCCGATTCATCACGTCAACCGGCGGGGGAGACCTAATGCGCATGCTTTTCAATGGTTTCCTATGAGGATTTTAGCGATGCTGGAGCACAGATAATCTGTGCTATGATCCTGGAAGTGCCCTGTAGTGGCTGTCACTTTAAGTTGTGCAAATCATGTTTATGCTTGTTTAAATAGTGATATATATTTTTTACAATTCAGTATGGGTGGTATTAAGGGGGATTTTCATAATTACTTCTGGTCTAGTGCAGGCAAATAATAAACTTTAACCCTTTCACCACCAGAACGAAGTCACACACACTCTTGGATTTGGATGCGTTCGTGACAACATTGCTGTAGCCTTTGTAGTTTATGCAGTTGTACTTCATTGAGTCTTGTTTATAAGACTTGGTGAGGTATGCCACTCTCCCAGCAGCCTTTTTTTTTTTTGTCTTGTTTTAAAGAGGACTGGTATACTGCCACCTGGTATTCAGAGGACAAAAATCCAGTCAACGAAAGGTATAAGTTGCAACACACAGTAGTGCAGTTGCTGTAAGAAACTTGCTGGGTCTTTTAAAGGTAGTGCTAGGGTTATTAGAAAGAAATCAGGTAGCTCCAAGTTACCCTTCCTTTCCTACCCCTAATACAATGTTTGTATTATTATCACTTGTTATACAAAATTTTAAAACTTTAATAAAAATTATTTGAAAAGAAGTCAGGTAGCTTCAAAGCAAGTTGTTCTCACAGCCTCTTCCACTACTAGCACCCTCTCTTTATTTGTTTGTGAAAAAAAGGAAGGTGTCAAAGAGAGAAAGATTAACACAAAGCATAGCGTGACATGCAGCAGAAGAGGGGAATTCTGGATGAGGTAAAAGTGCAACCATAGCCTATGACGTCTGCAAATCCATGCATCAGCAGCTGCACTGCCACCAAAATACATGTGAGCATCAACATTTTGGGTAGATGTGCTTGGAACTGTAGTTGGACACCAGAAAAAACGAGAAAGGAGAGTGGTGCCTCCCTAAGAGTTTACCTCTCGAAATCTCCTTTGCACCCAACTGTTGACCCTTTTAGCTACTGGAATGGCAAAGAGAATATGTGTAGCCTGCAGTAGGCTTACAGAGCAACATTCTGCAAAAAAAAAAAAAAACCACACAAAACAATAACAACGTATAAGAACCTTCAAAATATATTAATGATGTAAAAACCTATCAAATGCATTATATTATATTAATGAAGTGTAAAGTAGCAAAGCATAAACCAATAAAATGTGGATAAATAGTGGAACATGCTAAAAGGATAACTGGAATATGCTTTTAAAGAGATACTCCATAGCCATAAAGCACTTCAGGCATCCACTCTGTTCCGTTGGTTGTAAGGCTAATTCAACACCTGTAAAAACTATAGTATTTGTTGATATAGTGCATTACAATTTTTTACGAATAAACACTTATTATTGCAAAAGAAAAAAAAAACTGGTGACAATTTTAAGCATGTTTAGTATGTATGTATTTGTGTGTAGTGTTGCTATTTGAGAGCAGTGGTGTACTAGTGTTTGTATTTGTATGTACAGTTGGTGTTTGATTGCTGGATGCACATCATACTGAAACACACACAGACACACACACACAAACTCATACACACACATTTACACACTGATTTAAAACACTTACTGCCAGACACACACACAACTTTATACACTGACAGACACTCTCAATGGCAGACACACAATTTCACTGATTTGAAATAATCACTGACAGACACACACATATAGTGACAAACACACTTTACTGAGAGACAAAACACATACACACTTACTAACAGACACAATCTCACTGATTTGAAGAACACTGACAGAGACACGCACACTTACTGACAGACAGTTTTATAAATTGGACTGACACACTCATGGATTTGAAACACTTACTGACAAACATACTGACTGGCACACTCATACATTCACAGATTCTTGCACACACACTCACAAATTAATTACATTTTTTGTAGTTTTATTTTTCTAGACCCATCCAGCCTCCCTACATTTGGGAGAGCTGGTGTGGGTCCTCTCCCTGGGATCCAGTGGGGAATGCATCTTCTGCATGGGGTTTAGTGGCTCCTGCAATTTTGCAGCTCCTCACTGCTCCCTCGTGCGCTGTTTAGTGATGTCTTACTCTAGCTACCGGCATCACCGCAGAGGGCACGAGGGACTGTTAGGAATTGGAAGAACATCAGTGCTCCCTCACCGCTGCCTGCCTCCACTCTCCCCAGTATATTTCGGCAGAGCAGGCACCTTCCATCTGGGATAATAAGGTGCCTAGGCTGCCTTACTGAATAAGCACTCGCTTTGGGGGCGCACTAAGGTGACCAAATGGCCACCTCCTGGGTCCCCTGTGACATGCCATCGGCCCGCTCCTCTCAGTGCCCATTTTTGCACCTGGGGCAGTCGCACCACTGCCCCCCTTCCCTCTCCCAGAAGTAATGCTACTGGCAGGGCTTAGCTTATTGGTTAAGAACAATCATCTGGCAGCATCACATAAGCACTGCATTACAGGGCTAAACCCGGAGTGCTTAGGAACCTCTGATTCTCTTACTTTGGTAATAGAGGCTGGGAGCACTGCCAAGTGGACCCCAGGTAAGAAGTTAAAAAAATATTTTGCCAGCTTTAGACAACTATTTTAGACCATCCCAAAAGCTATTATCTTGTTAGACATCAACAGTAACGATAATAGAACATTACCTATGGCTATGTAAAAACATGTAACTTATAAATGCTATTAATGTCTTACTAGATAGTGTGTGACTGCAACACACCATAATAAAAAGCATCTGTCTGCTACTGTTAGTGTATCTCTTACACTGCAGGCTAGGTAAGTCCCACACATCAATCCCAGTAGTTCCAAGAATCATTTTGATCAGTCCTCCTGTAACTGCTGTAAATGTCCTGAGCCTCATGTGGCTGTCATGTCACAAGATGGAAAACTAGGGGGTTTTAGGTTTATAGGCAAGCAATGAGATGTAACAAAAAATAAAAAAAAGTGTGCAAGGCGCTCCAAACAATATGTGTAAGTGGTTAAATAATAGCAAACTGGTATGTAAAAGTGCTTCCTCAACACTCAAAAAGACAATAAAGCATAACATATATATATACCAGCTACAAAAACCCCTTTAAGTGCACTAAAGAAAATGCGTTTCAGCTACAAAAAAAGCCCTCTTGCAGTGAGCACTGGAAGAAAGCTTTTTTTTGTAGCCAAAATGCATTAGCTTTATAGACTTGGGTTACTATTAGGTGGTGAAGGGGATTTTAAGTATACAATTTTTACCCTTAAAACCATTCTTGTTTTTAGTACGCAGAGACTATTTTATGTTTATTTTTTTGAATAATAAAAAAAATATTTTTTTTTGAGAATCCATTGAATCTTTCTATATTTCATCTTGTGAAGTGATCTTTAAATTGGCACCCTTGAGCCCTGTATACAGAGCCTGGCACGGCTCTGGAGCATGTGAGTGATATTCCGCCCCGTTACCTTATATATTTTACAGTTCACACTATGTGGTATCTTTTCTGTTTTTATATGTATCTTATGTATATAGTGTGGTACCAAAAAAAACTTGAATAAGTTTGTATATCAATTTTTTCACTTACGCACTAAAGGGGATTTTGTAACTGATATATATATGTTGGAAGGCCATTTGGCCTGAATTTGTGGAAGGAGTTATGACCCTATTTAAACCCTTACCACCCTACTTATCCCCGGTCGTTCAAGCGGTTTGTCGTCTCCATAGTTACCTGCACTTCTGGTTCATTGTTCCCGCTAAGTCCTGTCTCGAGCAAACAGTCTGTCACCAGCAGCTCCTGCCACAACCTCCGGGCCTGTCCACCGACTTCTAGCCGTCTTCGCTACCCGCTTCCGGTCATGAGACCGGCACATACACGTAAGCATAAATGTGTGAAATAGCGTCCGGCTATTTCCCACGTTCGGGCCTAAAAACGCGGGGATAGGCTCCCTTCATTACTTACCCATTCGTGCACTTACTCTATTTGTGTACTTCTGCGTCTGTGCGGCTAACAGTCCACAGAGTACACACACTTTCGTTTTTCTTTCATCTAAATTAACTGCCGACTTACGTTCGCCTGTTCTTTTGTACGTTCGTACAGCCGAACACTTATAAACGGCTTTCGTGCAGTCTTTCGCATGTTCCACTTAACCGACTGCAGGTGGTCTTTTCTGTTTATTTTCCTCTCGTTCGTTCACTTAGCCGAACGCAGGAGTTGTCAGCACAAAATTTTTTCAATATATGTCATGTATGTACTTCATTATGCCATTTACTGTATAAAAGCACTCCCCCCTTTTCATTTATTTATCTTATCAATTTATGTGTAGTATACGGTTTCCAATACCTAAATAACTAAGTCTGTGTGGCACTATTTCCCCGTCCATGGTCTCATTAAATTATGGATCAACAGCAAAAACATATGTGAGGAAGGCTGAACTTGATGGACGCAAGTCTCTTTTCAGCTATGTATCTATCTATGTAATGTATTCAGGGGAATCTTTTTAAAGACACAGTTCGGCCTCAAATCACTTTCATATCGGTAGGCTAATACACCATCAAGCACCTAATTTTAACCCCACTGTTACTTAGTCCATCATAGTACCTTTTCTTTCCCCTAGTATACAAACTAGTCATCTGCGTGACTAAGTTCACCCCACCCACTACATTCAGAGCATTAGCTCAAATTGCAAATCTCTGTTTCCTTAAATAACCTTATACTCTGGTTCCTTATACTTAGAATGCATATGTTTTAGATTCAACTACTCTTCTTCAAACAAATCTTCAGGAAGTGGTATCAATATCCCGTTTCACGGTATCAGGTATGAAGGTTTACCATTTTTAAGTTTCTCTTGAGGCCTCATTCAGCCTCCACGGCCTTATACAGCCTCCCCACCTCCCAAAGTGGGTCCTAAACTTTATAACACACCAGGTCTAAGATTCCTCACTAAGATGTCTACAACAATCTCATAAATCTACAACGCCGTGTTACTATTTTATTAACATGTCA